ACTTCAGGTACACCGACCCAAACATAAAGCTGAGTCGGCGTCCCCTAGCCAGGATCGCAGGCACAACGTCCTCAGGGATCGAAACCACAACGAATGTGGCCCCGATGGAAGGCTGCTGTTGGATGCCGTTAAGCAGCCAACGTTCGGGTGTCAGGTCTGGATTCCCGATCTGTAGGCATTTGCCTAGCAACGCCTGATCGTGTTTCCAGAGCTTAGGCAGCACAAAACCACACCTGACTCTCTTGGGGATCTCGTCGTCCCGGAGGACAACAAGCTCTTCCAGGTCCGAGTCGTGGAGGTCTCGTACCACCTGTTGGAACCACCCAAACGTTGCGGTGTTGGTGCAAGTGAAGCGAAGGCACCCGTCCGCGTAGAGGGGTTTCCCGCTAAATGCAAGACCCTCCCTCATACAGGCCGGACGCTCCGTGCTCATCGCTGCCTGTAAAAAGGCTTCCTCGAGCTTCTCCTCAATTAGCTCCGCCGTCGGTCTCGAGATAAACCCGGTCTTCGACGTAACGGCGCACCTGATGAGAGCCGAGGAGGCCGCTGCAGCTGCGTAGGATTTTGGGGCGGTCTCGGTCGCCGTCGTCTTAGGCCGTTTGGATTCGCCTCGAGGAGACACTGTCTCATCGAGCCTAGCCCGCTTGGCCCCAGACTTCGTCTTCGCGGGTCCTTTCCCCTTTTGCTTTGGGCGGTCCAGCTTCCGACTCGGGCCCGGCATCACCTGGGGTTGCTTGGGCAGCTGGCTGCCTTTCGCTCCCCCTGGAGTTCCAGAGCCCTTGTCTTCTGACTGGGCAATACGGTCGCTAGCAGAGGCCGTCAAACGGGCGGCCCGTTTGAGCTGCCGTCTCCTTCGCGTCCGCTCCCTCTGCTTCTCCAAACGCCTCGAGGTCTGACCGGATGGTGCAGGGGTCTGAGTTTCCTCTACCTTCCTAGCTCCTTTCCTGGTCACGACCGTCCAGTTCTGCTCTAGCAGATGTAGGGTGTCCTCAATTTGAGGTGTGGTGGTGCTTTTCTCAAGCACGCATTCCGATTTCTCGGTCTGCATGCGAGTAGCATTGCCCTCTGGTTTCCCATCGGGTGTTGGCGGAACGTTGAACCTGTTGGTGTCCATAGTTCTTGTGTTTAATCTTCATCCAGTCAGCTTCCCACCCTCCTTGGAGCCCGCACATTTGGGAGTGCCCATAGTGGTGCACTAGGATTACCGACTGGATATAGGAGCAGAGAGTTGGTGTCAGGTGCGACATCGGAAGCTCGAAATGTGTGGCTGGTTTACCGGTTCAGAGTACCCCAGTTGTTCCACACACCCTTGCCTCGTCAGCATGACCCTAACCATCCAGAACGGCAAGCCGCCCCGGACCCCTCCACTCCTCGCTGCGGCCCTCTGACGGGACGCGTGACCGTTTCCTCTCTGGCGCTACCCAAAGAGGCTACCGTTTCGGTTGAAATCCGGACCAAAGAGGGCGTGTTGTGTCGCGAAGGTACTACCGCCGACCTCGCTTCACTCAACCCTCCAGGACTCCTTCATCCCCCCTTACGGCGCTCAACTGCGCAGGCCATAGCGCAGGAGAGGCTAATAGTCTACCGGGCCGCCTCCCATTTTCCCGGTAGAGCCGAAGGCCTTTGTTAGGGTCGGCCTTAAGGAGTGACAGGATTCAGGATAAGGGAGGGGTTGACGATTAATTGGAGTTGGAGAGAAGGGAGTGCGGGTCACGGGAAATGTCTCCCTTGATGTTGGAGTGCATCAGTGGGATAGCATCACTAAATTCAGCTACGAGGATCCCAGGGTAGGTGTTAGTGTACGTTGCCTGTTAGCAGATCCAAGTATTACCGGGGTGAACGACGTGGACGTAAGAGTGACACTTGACGGTAGACGTGAATTGCCCAACAACGTACACTTGGGCTCACATCAGCCGCCCCTCCCCCCAAAATTTTGCATTTGCTTATAACGTCCTAAAGCGTCCTGGAGTAGAGTAGTGGCTAGTGGGTATCGCTGAAGTCCTGATTAAATAAAATCGGACAAGTGCGTGTCGGACTCGCCGACCGAAGGTTCCGTTCAAAATAGTTTTCCTTTGAAGTTTGATGTTTTTAACAGATTTAAAAAACCGTGTACCTGAGTGTACGTTTAAATTTTTAATTCGGTTCCTTCATGCATTGTCGAGATAAAGGGTCTTGAAAGAAAAATAGATAAATGCCTGTAACTTTTTTATGTGAAATTTAAGTTTTAATTTTTTGACAGCTTTAAGGAACCGTAGACTTTAATATATCGTTTAAATTTAAACTCGCTACCTCCACGTGTTGCTAAAATAAAGTGTCTTGGCAAACAGACAGACAAACGGAAAACAAAGTAATCTTATAAGGGTTCCGTTTTATTTCTTTTGAAGTACGCAACTCTAAAAAAATACATATGGAGCTTCATGATATATTTTTAATACTTTTTTATTAAACGCTCTTCAGTATCGACATCAGTAAGTAGGCAAAAGGCATTGGACATTATAAACGCATTGAAAATTTAACAACAATATATTTTTTGCAAATAGGAAAACATTTTGATTTAGACCAATTTCAAACAAACAAGGAGGGGGTTCTAAATACTTTTGGATATTTTAGGACATGTGTTCTGGTCCCATATTCACCCAATCCGGATCTGATGGGATTTTGGCGAAGGATAATTTTAAAGTGTTCAGCTTTATTTACTACCGTAAGTGAGGGTTACTTTAGCTCGGGCGGGTAACTTTGTCCGAAATCAGAAAAAATATTGAACTTGCCGCCCCATCAGTATCTCTTGGGTGACCGTAATAGTTCCAGTTGAAAATCACAGATAGCCATATAGGCGCGTAGTGTGGTGTTGTTTTACCGACATCGTTCCTGTATCAAGTTGTCATTGTAACGCGGGATTTTTTGTAACTGAAATAGTTCGCAAGTTCATGCGCAAACTTTCTCAAAACTGTGGTTTTCGGTAAGTTTACTATTTTTTCTAAATTTAAAGTTATATATTTTATTTAACTTAATTATTTTTGGGCAAAAACATCCATTTGTGTATTCAGTATGCTAATGGTGATCTGTTATAAGGGTTACTTAACCCCAACATGGCTTAAAATGAGTTTTTTTCACAGAAAAAACTCAACGAGCTAAAGTAACCCTCTTTAAGGCCAACTTTGGCCCAAAATTAAAAAAAAAATATATTAATCCTTAAATATTATTTTTTCCTATTTTCGTTTGATAACTTTGTAACTTTTACTTTAAAGTTCACAATGGCAAGATATAAACGTAACATATTCATCACAAAGAGAAGCTACAATTTTATTTGAAAATAAAGTGCACATTTTAGGTCACAGTAACCCGCAGTTACTCGGTGTATAAAAGAATATATATATGAAATAAAATATCTGTAATGTATATATGTAAATATTATATATATCAGTAAGAAACAAGAGTCTGCATGGTTAAATGATGTTGATCTTAATTAAAAAAGCGTTTTCACAAAAAAAAATATACTTTGTAAATATTGAATTGTAAAACGGCATATATTCAAAAGATCATCATAAAATAGTAATTGATTCTCAAAAAAATACTATTCGTAACGTAAACAAACTTTTAATTTGAGTAAATAAAAAGTAAATGCCTTTATTATCACGGATTCCTTGTCTACTTTGCAAGATCTATCAAATCCTGACTCTTTTAACCCACAGTCCGTAATAAAATTCCGATATGAATTATCGGAAAAAGAAATAACTTATAATATAATTAAATTGGTTTGGGCGAAAGCACATAATCAAATAGCTGGAAACGAACTAGCAGACCACGAAGCAAAGAGTGCTCTCTCTTTTCCACAGAAATACGAACATTTTCCCATGTTACCAATGATATTAAATACCCATGTTACACATAAAATATATCAACAGAAAAGAATTAGATAAAGCAAAGAACAATTGTATAACAAAGAAGAAAACTGCTAGTACACTCAACCATGTTTCCCGACTATGAGACGCTAAAAACTTTTGTAACAAAGATTCTCCCACTTACGAAATTACAGTTTTTTTCAGACACGGTTACAAACCAAATCTCCAATGCTTTAAAATAACCTCTGATGATAGCTGCCCTTGTAATGGTGAAAGTATACCAACATTGGACCACTTAATAAATAAATATTTCCAACACTCACACCAATTAGCCTAGCCTCAAAGTAAACACTGTAAGGCTTGTGTTATGGGATACTAGGGTAACGGATAGAATACTTATATAAGTATATTTATAAAGAAATACATATTTAACATCCATAACTGGAGTACAAATGCTCGTATTCATCACACAAACATCTGCCCCCACCAGGATTCGAACCCGGGTCTTCTCGAGTATGACCATGAAACCACTCGGCCACAGAAATACACCACTGTCCAAAATTTCAAAATACCAGATTAAATTTCTATACAATAAGCAACATACACCGAATAAATGCCCAAAATTACAATAAAATAATAAACAAAAATTAAATAATAGAACATTTCAAAACTCATACAAATTATATTGTAAATAATGAAAAGAAATTCAATAACACATAACTTAATAAATCCTTTAAACCCCAACATGCCAGACACAAAATCGCTCACGAGCAACTTGACGAAACTTGCACAATATCATATAGGATGGAGTCATTTGCTGAGCCTCGGATAAAATATCGTGCAAACTTAATACAAACTAAATTATCTGGTACTACTTAATTGCATAATTAAAATTACAGCTTCGAAAAAGAAACTACTCAATTTATACATTTTCAAAGCAGCTAGTGGAAATCTATGAACAGCCAGGGCACTATCGAAAACTACTGTTGGCAACTAAACTAACTATTGGCTACCAAGGCAAGTTATTACTATTGTTATCAAACAGCAACTTAGTCCAGACCAAGTGTTAAAGTGGCGCTGTTGCAATGTGGTTGGGAGTGTTAGTTATAATAAAGTTACGTAATTTTGTTTATAAAACTGTTATTATTCTGCCAACAGCGGAAGGCGCGTTCAAAAAATTAAAACCGGAGCCAGGCGGGAGTAGTACAGGCACGTCTGGTGGGTCCTCTGCCTTGTCCCCATCGCTGGGCCCCCAGCACGCCGGCCACACGCCGACCACAGCCTCGTGTCCCACGCCCGCGCGCCGGAGACACCGCACCACCTTCACGCAGGTGAGTCAACAGACGGAAGTGATTCAGGAGTAGTAAATACACGTCTGGTGGGTCCTCTACTTTGTCCCCTTCGCTGGGCGACCAGCACGCGGGCCACACGCCGACCACAGCCTCGTGTCGCACACCCGCGTGCCGGAGAAACCACACCACCTTCACACAAGTGAGTCAACACACTGAAGTCAGTCCGGTGTAGTAAAGTCACGTCTGGTGGGTCTTCTGCCTTGTCTCCATCGCTGCGCCCCCAACACGCGAGCCGCACGCCGACCACAGCCTCGTGTCCTACGCCCACGCGCCGACGACGTGTAGACACTGCACCACCTTCACACAGATGAGTCAACAGACTGAAGTCAGTCAGGAGTAATAAAGGCACGTCTGGTGGGTCCTCTGCTTTGTCCCCTTCGCTGGGCCCCCAGCACGCGAGCCACACGCTGACCACAGCCTCGTGTCGCACACCCGCGCGCCAGAGAAACAGCACCACCTTCACACAAGTGAGTCAACAAACTGAAGTCAGTCAGGTGTAGTAAAATCACGTCTGGTGGGTCTTCTGCCTTGTCTCCATCGCTGCGCCCCCAACACGCGAGCCGCACGCCGACCACAGCCTCATGTCCTACGCCCACGCGACGACCATGCGTAAACACCGCACCACCTTTACACAGGTGAGTCTACAGACAAAAGTCAGTTAAGAATAGTACTTCGTAAAAATATGAGGTGTCAAGGTGGTCAAATACTTGTAAAAATATCTAATTATTGCAGGTACTCAACCAATTGAATTTATATTATTCACATCGAGTCTCAAAATACATAATTATACACATTACAAGGCTCTTTTGTATGAACATACGCTTCATAAAACTGATCGTAGATCATTTAATTTCTAGTACATCTAGATAATTATGGGAATTTAATTTGCGTACCTCAGATAATTTTGATTAGTCTTCACCATAGAAACTTTATGAAGACACACCCGGTGACTCCTATACCTTGTCCGAGATACCAAACCACATCCACGAGCTAATAGACATTATAATAATAGATTTCTCGCACTAAATATATCTAAAGAATATATTTAGTGCGAGAAATCAGACGAACTACAAGCGCGTATTTTTCACCAAGTAGGTATTTTTCCCATAGTTTAATAAAAGTTTCTTCAGTTATTTCCTCTCCATTACTGAAGAGCTGCAGTTGATTTCCTAAACCTCATCTAGTACATAGTTTAAACAGTTCTTCTACTAACTTGATTCCTTTCCACTCTCTGATTTTGCAAAGCCATGATGTAGATGTACTTCATGTTCCAACTGTTCATTTACCTGCATGAAGAGGAAGATAACCTCTCCATGGGAGATCACACATCATTATCTTTTGGACCAATTTGTCTCTCTCTCTCTCATGCCCGAGAATGCAACTCAAATATAGCACTATATTTTCTCATAGGATCGGACTAATTCTACATTCTGAAAGCGTATAACATACCCATATTTTCATTGCTTGCTTGGTATTATCAGATTATGCCCCACATTCGAGAGCTTTAACAAGTCAACTAATTATTTTCATTCAATATTTGTTTTGTATTCTTGTTCGCAGGAGCAATTAGCAGAATTAGAAGCGGCATTCGCGAAGTCACATTATCCTGACATCTACTGTCGGGAGGAGCTCGCGAGGACCACCAAATTGAACGAGGCGAGGATACAGGTCGGTCCCTTTTAAGTATCACCTTAGGAAGTTATTCCAAATCACTTTTTTTGCATAATGAAATGAACTCTCAAATTGAGAATCCACTTCGGATTTGCGAATTTTGTATTATTCCTGATAGGTAAAGTAGTCATGCTTATCAAGTATAACACAAAATACGCAAAATTTATGTGAAAATTATGACAAACAAGCAACCTCCATAACGAGAACAAGGTATCAATATCTTCAAAACCTTTCGATAAATGGCAATGTTGTACAGATACCAATGGAAGAAAAATCCAGTGCGTGTAGGGAAAACCATGATTTATTATTTATTCATTAATAAGAAAATACTCTATGTAATATGTGAAATATAATATAATAGTGATTTATTCGATATCCTAGAAAAATATGTACGATAGGAGAAGGTTTACGACTACACTCAAAAGCTTATCAAAGTGATTCTTTCTTGAAACTCCTCTTATTGTCACACAGTTCAGTTTCAAGCTGCATCCACATTTCTGCTATTTCAAAACAAATAATATTTAATAACAATTAAAAATCGGACAAATTGCGAAACAACATGCGGAAACTTTTCCATTGCACCATACAGACAGAGGAATTTATAGTAAAGAGGACCACCCACGGCCAGCCTATTATAAATCGATAGCGGCAGCAGCAGCCGTCACGGCACAATGCCTAGCGGCTCGTTCTTCGGAATTGTCGAAATATCAATGATGCGCGAATGCGCGCGTAATACAATTTGGAGCAGGCCGGAGGCGGATTGAATTAAAGCGCCATCTGTCGTCCGCGGCTGTGTGAATACGAAATACTTACTGTAACTCGCGACAGATCCTTATCTCAGTTTTAAAACGAACAACCCCCAGGAGGCTCCGTATTGATTCGTTGGAACACCTAATTTGCTGATATTAATATTTCGTGCCCAAAACACACATACGGAACTTTGAACGAAAGTAAAGATAATATATCTTTTATCAATTTCTAATTCTCTTTCTGTATTCTTTGGCAGTAAAAGCACACCACCAGAGTAAAGGTGACATTAAATTGAGTGTCACGTTTTAACAATAAAGATTTCGACGCTATTTATATTTCAGTGGAGCACATGCCGCGTGTAATGTTTTATTCATCATCACTCCATCATAGACAATTACTCTTTTCTTTCAAGAGCAATGAGTGACAAAGTTCTATTGAGAAAATGGAAGGTTGCTCGAAACGACATTACGGGATACACTCCCGCCACGGTTAAAAGCATGTGAAATGCGCGATGCTAGCGCGCGCGTGTGTGTGTGTGTGTGTGTGTGTGTGTGTGTGTGTAAGTTCGTGCGCTCCGTACGAGGCTATTAGCGTTTAGACGACGCTACATAAGAATGTAAACGTTAAAGACGACATCGATGTCGGAGCACCCTCCTAAAGGAAATTTCGATATAAAAATACGAGTTGCGGGGTACGGCGTGCCGCGGCGGCGAGGGGCCAGGGGCGCGGGGAGGGTCGGCGGCCCCTGAGGCATTGCAATCCCATCAAATGGATCCGTAACGAAGTTAGCCGCTCATCCTCCCCGCGCGCCCTCGACATTGTCTCTGCCCTCAAATGAATTCTACAATTGGAAATAAGAAAATGTTTTGTTGGATCCCGTGCTTTTTCAGTTTAAAGGCGACCGTTTCCTTCGGATAACTCGACGCGCTCACAGTAAAATGGTTACCTATCGTTTTTGTTGGAACACGAACGAAACGTTTCCGCGAGGGATCTTTACTGAATTAAGTTCCGTTCTCGTTGGAATTGTTGCTCATAGATGTTTATGTAATTTGCATCGAAACAATTGCTTATTGCCCTATTCACTAAAACATTCACAAATTATGTTGTGCTCCTATATATATAAGTAAGTATATTTATAAATCTGAGTAGGTATTTAAAATCTTTTGTAAGTTTCGTTTATTTATTGTGTTATACAAATTTAAAAATATATATAGCATTTTAAATTAAATCATTACAGGCCTTGCCTACCTAAAAATATAATAGAGATTCTGAGAAGATAAACTCAAACATAATCGGATTAAAGAAAACCCGCAATGAGGAAACAAACCAATATCTCACATAATGAACCATAAAATGATATATCTGAAATTGTTTTTCGTTAGAACGCGCACCAACACGCAGCGGGCGGATGTACACTTGTCTCGCGAAAAAACTTAATATCCCATTTACGTTTCCTCCCCGGGCTATATAGCGCGCACATAACTATGAATGTAGCTACGACCTACGTACATACATACACACACATAGGGTACGGTTAGGTGGTTGTATCGACTTATTTATACGTTCGCTATTCGTGCGTGGGAGGCCCCCGACCCACCCTCTAATCAGTTGTAATCACCATATCAAACGACGAGGCCCTCATTCGCTCTGACAACGCGGTCATTAGGATGCCACCCGGCGTTGTTTGTAGGTTTACAGCTACAGATTTTAAAAGCGCCATCTATCGCGTTACTGCCGGCTCATTTGATTAGACGTATGCTTTTTTCATTGTTGACTTCAACTGGAGTTGTGACAATGGAAAAAGGATACCTTTGTTGTAGCAAAAGTTCTGCAGTGGTCCTATTGAGAAAATACGTACTAGGTTGTTTTTAAGATAAATGTGTTTTTGTACTGGAACTTTTTCTTCTTGATATGTTTGATATTAGAGCTTATTAATTAATATACCCGCCAATTTTATGTAACTTTAGCTGCTACCGTTTTTGTAACTTCAAGTGTGCTTACGTCATTTTACTATTTCATACTTACTTACCGTACTGATAGCTAAAGCTGACCGGTATCTTGTAAAAGTTTTGGGAGTATTCGAAAAATATGAATAACTTAGCTGACCCGGTGAAAATCGTACCGCCTTAAAAAGTACCGGAAATGTTACACGTTACGTAGTTAATGAAAAAATATTTCGTTTTTAATAGAATTTTTGTATGAGCCTCTATAGAATTTTCTAATTTAAAGGCTTAAGCTTGGCTGAAATTGTAAAAAATGTGTATAATTTAGTCATATATTAAAAATACCTTAAAAGTTGAATTAAAACCACGTTCTTCAATAATATTATCACCAAATGGTGTCACTTGAAGCTTGAAACACAATGTTGACCACCGACCGATATTTTGACGCCTCATCAATAACTATGAAAGCCGCCGCCGCGGCACGCTCGCTTTGCTCGCTCAGCTAGCGCGTTATATCACAACGCTATCCTAACCTTTTTTTAATTAACCATTGGGGGAGCGAGAAGAAGGTATGTGGGACTCCTCCCTGTCCCCTTCAGCAAGCCCTGGAGCTCGCTGATTTGAACAAAGCCCTACCTACGCCCTGAACAGCGCCACTAAAAACCAGACAATAATCCTGCACCGTCACCTGACACGCACTATGAGGACCGCAGTCCCCCTAGTGCGTGCCGCAAGGGCGGCTATGGTCGCGGAACCCGTCTCCGAATGGCCGCGCAGACGCTATCCTAACCTAACCTTGTGTGAAGTATCACCTCTTGGACCTGGAAGAACAGTATATCCAAAGCGACGATAAATCTCTAAACACAAATCAAAACACACGTAATACCGTTTTACTGTTGCAAAAGAAACGGCGATTGTATTTAAAAAAGAAATTTCGTATGGATTTCTAGATAGCCAGTTATTTAAAAAATAATTCTGTTGTGTTTTTATTGCTGTTTTTTACAAACATTATCCTTATAGCAACGAACAAATTAAAAAAAAATCCAATTTGGTTCAATCGTTCGGAAGTGATGCGCATACATACTTTTCGACGATTCCTGTATGTCTTTAATCCTTTAATCTAATTTATATGGACTTTTACCACGTAAAAGAGGTAAAAGATCGTACGTACGTTGTAGATACGATCGAAGTAATAAAAACTACCATAAGTGCGTAATAAAACCTTTTTTTAATCTGTATTCATCTTTACAGTTTTTTTATTTATTTTTTTATATTTAGTTTCACAGCCTCCAGCCTATTTATAAAAACTGGCTAAGTGCGAATCAATCATGTGTTTGTTTTTGTCACTTCTTACAAAGTAACTACAATATGAATCGGCGTTTTCGGTATTTGTTGTTAAAATACAGATATTACATCATATATACAAAAATTTCACATTCTTAACAAGTTTCGATTTTGAGATAGACTTCGTAAGAAAAATAGTCTATATATAACAACTTTGAACGAGAGCCTTCAAAGTTATCATTTATAGATCATTTCTTAATTATTGAAAATAAATAAAAAATATATTTATATCCTACACAATAAAGTATTAAATGCTGGGATAAAAAAGAAAAAAAATCGCCTCCTTTTCATCTACGAGAACAAAATCTCTTTGCCCCTAAGTAATAACAAAGACATTCCGCAGGTGTGGTTTCAAAACCGGCGTGCGAAGTACCGCAAGCAAGAGAAGCAACTGCAGAAGGCTCTCGCGCCCGCGGTGCTGCCTGGCTGCAACGGCATGATGCGAAACATCCAGGGGTACCGTGGGTACCAACCTTACCCGCACCCTAACACCATCAACAGATACCCACAGGTATGTACTCAACCCGATTGCTACGACATGATGCGGAACATCCAGGGGTACCGCGGGTACCAGCCCTGCCTGCACCCTAAAACCATCAACAGATACCCGCAAGTATATAGGTACATAACTTAGGCCCGGATTGCAAAGGCTTGTTGCCGAACATCCAGGAGTACCGCAGGTTCCGGACCTAACCGCACCCATACAGAATCAACAGAAACCCGCAAGTATATAGGTACATAATTTAGGCCCGGACTGCAAAGGCATGTTGCGGAACATCCAGGGTAACCGCAGGAACTAGACCTACCCGCACCCTTACACCATCAACAGATACCCGCAAGTATATAGGTACATAACTTAATCCCGGACTGCAAAGGCATGTTTCAGAACATCCAGGAGTACCGCGGGTACCAGACCTACCCGCACCCTTATACCATTAACAGATACCCGCAAGTATATAGGTACATAACTTAGGCCCGGACTGAAAACGCATGTTGCGGAACATCCAGGAGTACCGCGGATACCAGACCAACCTGCACTCTTACACCATCAACAGATACCCGCAAGTATATAGGTGCATAACTTAATCCCGGACTGCAAAGGCATGTTTCAGAACATCCAGGAGTACCGCGGGTACCAGACCTACCCGCACCCTTACACCATCAACAGATACCCGCAAGAATATAGGTGCATAACATAGGCTCGGACTACAAAGGCATGTTGCGGAACATCTAGGAGTACCGCGGATACCAGACCTACCCGCACCCTTACACCATCAACAGATACCAGCAAGTATATAGTTACATAACTTAGGCTCGGACTGCAAAGCCATGTTGCGGAACATCCAGGGTAACCGCAGGAACTAGACCTACCCACACCCTAACACCATCAACTAAAAGATAAAAATACGTAAGTCATCGTTGCAATATGTCCGTCGCGTGTCCGCAAATTTGGTGCTCATTACCATGCCGCGCTAATCAGCCGCTCTGATTGCGCGCTAACGCGATTGCAGCGCTCGCCCGACGCCCGCGGACAAAATAATGCAAATAACCGTTGACATCGGTATCGCTTGAAACGCTGAATGATGCTTTATTTACTAACTCATTATGACGAAGTAATATGAAATTTTTGAAGATGACCTAAAAGACTTGAATAACTATATTTATTTAGTAGATAGTGGGAACTGTCCACTGTTTGGAAAATTAGTAAAAAGGGTTATATTATCTTTTTTTAATATAATTTACTACTGTCCGAATAATAAATGATTAATTTTTTTTATTTGATACTTCAAAATATATGTGCCTATCTAATCGTTGATAGTTATATATGCAACTGTTTTATAATATGAGGTTTTAAAACACGAAAGTGGTTTTATTACACAAGTGATAATAGTTTCAGTATGTTGTAGAAAATATTGTAAACAATTTGAAATGAATACTGCCAGACACATTCTATCAGCAGTATTTATTGCCAGACATTTTAAATGTCAAAAGCAAAAACAACAAACTTACTTAAACCTGATATCTATCTATGATATTCAGGGGGCTTTATTACTATAATTTCATTTTAAGCTGCTAAACCAATCTTAGGGGCCAAAACTATCCTAAGTTTATTTAAAATGCCACTGTGAGCAAAAGCGCCCTCATGGTAATTAAGTGTCTTTTTGATATAGCTTCAATAAAATTATCTTATAAATAATGTAAACATAATAACATTATTATATTATTTGTAAGAACATTTGTAAACGTTACAAATACTATAATAATTTTATTATGTTTACGTTATTTATAAGGTAACGATTTTATCATTTCATCATCCACTTAGCTCAGGCACTAATAGGAAGCCTTTTACAATAATGAAATATTTTTTTTATTATCTAATCATATAAATTATTGCAGAAATTAAGGTTTTGAGTTTACTCCTTAAGAATCGATTTGCATAGATAAGGGGCCCGGTATGAGAAAAATGTGAGGAGTAAAATCTACTGAACAAATGACCTCGTTACGTTTTTGTGCGCAACCTCATCTGCGCACCTTTTACTTTTAGCCATGGCAACGGATAAAAAACATTAAGTTGTCACAAATGTCAATAAAATAAATAAACTAAAAAATGGTTGCCTGTAAAGTCGGTTTTACGGGCGAAGATTTTACGTGACAACGTCTTTTTCTCGGTAGAATATTTATTGATATGAATATAATTAAATTGCACAATAGGAACAAGGAATTGAATGAAAATAAGAATTGCACAAATTTTAACTATAGAAATATATTTTGTTTACTAAAACATTGTACATGTAAACTTAAACTTAACACGAGAGACTCATCGTAACGTTACCGAGCGTTACACTTTTTCATAAGTGACTCCCAGCCGCAACCTAATTTAAGACGTTGTCACGTCAAAACAGATAAAATCGGAGCAAAATTAATGAAAACAAATAAATATAGAATATAGAAAAATGCCGGTAAGTGTCCAGCACTCTGGAATAGTGATTTTCAGTACAGATGGAATTATAATACATATTTACAAAATGATGACTAGTGTATGATATTTTTGAAATTGTGTGTTTCCAGAAATACATAATAAAATATATGATGAATATCGATGATGTTAAATGATAAAATGAATGACATGGAATCTATGATAGTCGAAACCATGGGACGATTCCTGAGGTATCTCTACTTGTTACCGACTTCTTCGGACTTGATTTTGTTTTGTGTCTGTTCAAAGACAATCGTTTTTAGAGTGTAAACTCCGGTCGTGCGTCGGGGCTGACACACACAATTTTTCTTTTTTTTTCAGTAGCGAAATTAAGTGTCTAGCAATAAAAACTGCAAATCTGCTGCGTATTCGTATCGCATCGTCAAAGTTTCTCTGAAACGTAAGCAGCGCCCCCAGCAGACGTAAAAACAAACTGGCAAAATTTTACGATGATGATACGATTACGGATCTGTCAACGTTCATCCTTGGGACTCTGATGACTTAAAAATCTCGTAGGTAGATATATAACAGTACCCTTAGCACGAATCTTTATCGAATTCGAATAGTTTGCGAGTCCGAAATGTCATTGTCAAATTTTGGTATGTAAACTCGAACAGCAGCGCCGTAACGGACGTAACTAGAACTAAAAATCACGACACATTTGACAATGACATTTCGTACTCGCAAGCATTACGATAACGATACGAATTCGATTTTGGTTCGGGCTAACTATACAGCTGTGAGGTGCCACGTAATTGATAATAACATGGCGGTCGGACAGCCGCGGCCGCCGGGTGTTAATAAGTATAAAACAACCGGTTCATTACGGCCGATTATCATAACAGCCGGCCGAAAAATTAATGACCGCACCACGCGTGCCACGCTTTAGTTACTTTCAGTCCGCTTTTCAGAGGTTAATGAAATAAAATTGATTTAATATCATTGGAATCTCCATTGTTGACAATAATTTTAATTGTAGATCATCTTTAGAAACTGATATTTTACGAAAGATATATTCTCTATAAGATATATCCATATTCTCTCCATAGAGAGCTTTGCAACCTCACTTACTGTATTTGGTAGTATCTCCTTTTCAGCTTCAGTCTTATGTAAAACTAGCGGCCCGCCCTCGCTTAGCTTCGGTGTAGAGCTGAAGTGTAGACTACAGTTTTTGTTCTCAGGCTTGAATTATACACAATGACATTCATCTATGATTCTTCTTATACCTGCATGCAAAGTCTCAGCTCGATCGGTTTAAAATTGACAAAGTTTCATACAAACTTTCATTCCCTATTTTATCCCCTTGGGGGTAGAATACGTCATAACATCTACCTGCATGCCAAATTTCGGCCCGATCCGTGAAGTGGTTAGGGCTGTGCGTTGATAGATCACTATATCAGCCAGTCACCTTTGAGTTTTATATATATAGATCATTTTTAGGAATTCCAATCTGACCGAAAAATATCCTTCACTCAATCATAAGCAGAACAATTTAAAACCATGTTTATTATTTTTCATATCATTATTGACACCTTCGCATACCCCATTCAGGACAGAGCTTGGGAAGTGAGTATCACATCATCATCATCATAAACCTATTAATGACCCCACTGTTGGGGTACAGGCTTATCCTGTAGATGGAATAGGGAGATAGAAACATGAACCACCCCGCAATCCCAGTGCAGAATAATAGGAGCTGCAGATGCAACCGTCTCGCCACGACAACGGCTAACTAGTGCCGCGGTCCGAGTCTCAGAGGCACCCGCTAGTTGAGCCGACCCCCTCAGGTTCGAGTGGTCTAGAGACTCCAGACGGAGAGGACACTCCCCCCGTGGGGATGCCATCCGCCTGGAATACCTCGAGAAGCACTCGTCAATTCTCGGCTTGAGGTCCCCTTAGGATCTCGTCGACTCCAAACCCGGTGACACTGTAAAGGTCATCTACTACCAACAGCATATTAACACAAAAGAAAAACCGAACGCTTATGGTACCTTCAAAAGCACGGAGAAGCTTGAGATACTGCATTTTAATCACACATCCGATGAACGCCCATCGCTAAAGTTGCTTAGCTTTGTCGATCGCTGACCGAACGCCCTAATCACTTGCGCCATCAAACTCCTCATATTAACATGTTATTAATTTCGCAGCATCACGGGAGCTACGAGGAGCTGCAGAAGGACATATTCTCGCTGTCGCAGATGGGCGGCGGGTCGTATCCCATGCCACAAGGCTTCTCCATGGGCCACGGGGCCAACATGAGCGCCGTCGGCATGCGGCAAGATACTATGAGTGAGTATATCATTAAAAATACCATTTCTGAAACTGAAACGCCATTAACATAGCCCCAAAGTAAGCACTGTAAGGGTGCTTGTAACCAGACGGCAGAGTCTGTGCGGAAAGAGAATGGGATTTAGATTGGAGGGCGCTGTAGTGCTTTTCTACCGTATTTGTAAGGTTTTACCCCTTTAGACATGATTAAATACAAAGAAATCACAACTACAAAATAATCCGTATCAATACAAAACTTTACAGACGTTTTACAGATTGCTGGGTTTGATTGCTAAATAAAAATCTTTATGTTAAGTTCCGTTTTTCGCCAAGCCTATTCTCTTTCCGCACAGACTCTAAGCGGTTTTAAACCGTGTCTACGTCCGATCGTCATTTAAGTATGGGCCACTATCCCCCTTGTAAATGAACAAGGAATAAGCTTAGACTAGTTACGCCGTGTTTTGTTCCTGTCACTCAAATGCGTTATGTCGTTCGATGAACAGACACAATACATGGAGTCACTAATCCAAGCTTATTTTTAGTTTATTAATAAGGGGGTAGGTTGCTTTGTTAACAACACCGGCGCTAAAGACGGTATTGGGGTGGTGCAAACGTAAAAACCAGTGCTAAGGCAGAGGCCTTCAATATGGATGGAATAGGGAGATTGGGCTTTGACCCACCACGCGGGCCAAATGCGGATTGGTGGAGCCGGGACCAATGGCTTAACGTGCCTTCTGAAGCACGAAGGAGCTCGAGATAGTACATTTTTGGCCACCTATCCAATGACAGACCACTGCGTAAGTTGCTTAACTTTAACGACCAGCTGAATGCGCTAGCTACCTGCGCTATCGAGCTTCTCACCCAGATACCTTGATAAAACAACAACAACTTATCTGACCACAAAAAGCTAATATGACACTTCCGAGCTCCTACTTATAGTATAGACAACGCGGAGCACCCATCAAGTTTCCATTACAAGCGTCGAGACAATTATAAAGTTGTCTGTAGGATCCGCTCCGTTTTTACTCAAATACCCCATGGTAATGAGAAAACTTGCTCCGCCGGCCGGCGACCGCTAACTCCCGCAAGATGATATTGAAAAAAGTGAAAGTTAATTAAGATTCGTTAAAGCCCTCTTTATAAGAGGTCCTCAGAGAAAATGGGACGTTGTTTGTACGTAAAGAGCTGCCACGAAAATGATGGAACATGCTTTGATGTTCCTTTTTGATCTACAAGTAAGTATTTTGGTATTTCACATTTTTGTTACGGAATAGTAACCTAATGTGTTTTGCCGAAATGAATAATAAATGGTTCTTGTTTTATATAAATACGCATTTAATTCTGTCTGTTACGCTTTCATGCTCGAACCAGCGAACCGATTTTGAATTTAGTAATTTATAGTCTTTGGGGATATAAAACTTCTCGTGAAATAGGTGATGAAAATTTGTATGAAAAATTCAGCAGATGAGGTCCCTGGCACCCGCTAGGCTAGTAGTCACAAATATATATAAATACTAGCTGACCCAGCGAACTTCGTACCGCCCTAAAAAAATAGTTGTTGTCCAGCGGACAAAATTGTGAATCTAAACCATTCTCAGATCCCCTTGAACACACACAAAAAATTTCATCAAAATCGGTCCAGTCGTTTAAGTGAAGTTCAGTGACATACACACTCACAGAAGAATTATATATATAAAGATTAACAACATTGTCACCAACTAGCCTAGCCTAGGTAGAACTGCTTTACCAGCTATATTGACGTCTAGACTTCACCGTCACTTAACATCAGGTGGGGTGGAGTCATTTGTCGGACCTATTAATAAAAAAATAAATAAAAGGGCCGTTTCCTCGTGGTCGTACTTATTTATCCTACTAGTGGAATCGAGGGAAAGCCCTATTCCTCGTGGTTCTACTGCGTTGTTAAATTATTAAATTTTCCTAGATCATTTTTTAAACATATAAACTTTTTGGTCTAAATATTTATTTGTTTTTATGATTGTCACATGTCATCTAAAAAAGGCGGGAATCAAACTTGCGTCGTCCGCTGTTCGGGTGGATGCACTAACCGCTATACGTCTGTTATCGTTATGGCTCAATTACACTTGGTCGTTAACCCATATTCGGGTGCACGAAAGAGTGAAATCGGGCACTCGAAGCAATATTTACACTTACGGGCTAAAAGACAGTGTCTTGTAACCAAAACGAAAACTACCCGCATACGGGCGTACTCGACTGTATTCATGTACACTATGTCGTTTACCCGAATTCCATTGGCACTCGTATTCCGGCTAGCGACCAAGTGTAATTGCGCCATTAGTTTATCCGCCCGGACAGCGGAAGACGCAGGTTTGAGTCCTGCCTGAAACCTTACCGAGTCCAAGCGGGTGATCTAACCGCTATGCTACCATTACCTTTCAGCACGCACGAAAACGCAGGTTCGAGCCCTGACTGAAACCATGCCGAGTTGAATTTTTCTAATTGTTTTTTTTTTAGATTTATTTTGTTTTCTTTAGACTTATCATACTTCGAACATGACATAAGGAAACATGAAAATTTATCATTTAATAATTTGTTCTCCTCATAGGACGACAACGAGGAATAAGGCTTCCGACACAAATAATAAGGAAGCTCTGGGCTAAAACTGTATTTTCAGTCATTTCAATAGCCACTCCAAATCGGAGGGCAGCACGGGATTAACTAAACAAAATTTCAAAATAAACAACTTCTTCTAATTTTCGCGATGGAGATGAAGAAATTGATGAGATTTTTTATTAATTGATTTTGCAATGGATAGGTTCCCATCATCATCAGCATATGAATATCCCCACTGCTGGGCCTTCCCTATCCTGGAACAGGGGCCATGACCTACCACCACTCTATTGAATTTTCATTCTTGACAGTTCTTATTTGATCAATTTCTTAAGTATGTATCAAATGAAAAATGTTGCTCAAATCATTACTTAGCAGAACCAGCAGAATTAATGACTTGTACTTGTTTTTAAATACGCCAATAAGTCTCTCAATATTTGTCATTACAACTTTTGTAGCTACTTGTTCCTAAGTTGACGAAGATATTTTTTATCTTATCTAAATTAACTGCGTGATAGAGAATTTCTCCTAATTTATTCGCGTCATAATTTCACCTCTCTGTACTTTACCATTTTATAAAGTTCCTAGATTCTACAATTTACTCGCAACTTCATCCACTTCAAATTAAATAAAGATGTTTATTTGCATGAAACATCAAAGTGGAAAAGGTCAACATCCACACAAACACAGAATCTAACTCTCGAGCAATATGATCACATACATTACCTAAGTATAATTCATTTTTTGATGATCCCACAAAAAATCGAAAATTACCATATGTAGAAAATTAATGGTATGATAAATTTAGACATAGAGGATTTTCCGCTTGAATTGGAAGGCCTGTCAAGGGCTGTCGTTCTAATTTACAGAAGATAACAGAAAAATAACACTGCCTAAATAAAAATTTAACACATTTGCTCAAAAATTGCATTTACGGAGGTTGTATACATTGTTCGAAAGTTCTAAATTACTACCATACATGGCGCCGCTTTACGTTTTTTTTTTTAATTTTGGTGGAACCTCCTTGGAAACGCTTTTATTCTATGCCTTTGTTTTACTTTAATACTAAAAAGAAAAAGAGACGTAATTTTCACCACCCGTACGTGGAGCCATTTGGAAATGCGCGCTATTATCTTAAAGCTATTACTACGTATGACAAAAATGTGGAATATATTGTCGCCAGCAGCGTTTCCACACCAATACGACCCAAAAACCTTCAAAAGAAGAGCGTAGCGTTATTCCTGTTGATGGGTAGAATCACCCCTAAGAGGTTGTTGGTGTTTTAAAATTAACCCTGTATATATACGTGTATGTTCAATACATACATGTATGTACATACACATATTTCATTTACTAGCTATAAGAGAAAGAGAGAAAGAAAATGTGCGCGCGCACTGCTTCCTCTTGCTTATATCCAACTCCCGTTCGCCTCGCCTGAACACACTTTTCGTAACGCATAACGTATTCGCCAGCTTACCACCCAAGTCAAGCGTGTGTAAAGAAGTTTCACTTCAAAACCTTATGGTGGTTGCGTTTCTGTTAGGGAGTTTAAGGTTCCAAGGCGCGCTGAAAAAGTTAGGGGCACCGCGATTGGTGACTGGAGTGACACACTTTTTACCCATCTTCGCGACTGAACTCCGCTTACATTTAATATATGCTTATATGTAGTTCGTTCGAAACTCAGTAATTTGTGTGTGATTGACTAACAAACAGCATAACTTTAGTAATATTAGAAGTAATGCTAATGTGCTGTATTTGAAAAACCTAACTAGTTATACATTTGCAGAATGTTCTGTAAAAGGTTTGTAAAGCTGTCAAGTTTTTGTACAGAACTTGGAAGATTTATTAATATTTCATAAGAATTTGACTGTATAACCAACATCGAATGAATTTAAAATTGCTGTTTGAGATAGTTAATAACTAAAACAAGTACCTAACACTGAGAATACTGATTTGAAATAGTTACAAAAGTTTATTTTCACCGATATTCGCGACATTGTATCAATAATGTACGTAAATAGTAAGTCAAGTCAATATTATGTTATTAAGCCAAGTCAAATATAAAGTCAGTCACACAATCTATTACAAGACAGTTATATTTATTTGATGATGTCCGTGGCCGAGTTGTTTATACGCCCGGTTCGAATCCCGGCGGGGGCAGATGTTTGTGTGATGAATACGAGCATTTTTGTACTCCAGTCGTGGACGTTTAATATGTATTTCAATATAAATATACTTATTTAAGTACAATACATGTATTCTATCCGTTACCCTAGTGACACAAGCCTACAGTGCTTACTTTGGAGTGTTGTGAGTGTTGGAAATATTTATTTATTTATTTATATTTTCGTCAAAAAAAGAGAAACCATAAGATTTTCTTTTCTTCTACTCAATCGTTTCAGTGTGAGTGAGGAGCTCGATGGCGCAAGTGGTTAGCGCGTTCCGCTGCGATCGTTGAATTTAAGCAACTTTCGCAGTGGTCGGTCATTGGATGGGTGACCGAAAATTTTCTATCTCGAGCTCCTCCGTGCTTCGGAAGGCACGTTAAGCCGTTGATTCCGGCTGCATCTGCAGTCGTTAGCACCCACTAACACGCACTGGGCCCGCGTGGTGGGTCATGGCCCTATCTCCCTATTTCATCCATAGGGAAGGCCTGTGCCCCAGCAGTGGGGACATTAATAGGCTGATGATGATGAATTTTTTCAGTGAGCTTTCTGCTACTCTTCAATGTTTGTTTTAATCAGATTAATATTCGCGTGCTTACTGACAAACTCCTACTCATTGAAATGCGGCCAATTATAATTGAGTCGCAAGTTTCACGACCTGCTTACGGCCGTGTTAGTGTAGTGCACGTAACTGAATCAGTGTATACGTGGCGTCTACTAAATAATTACAGTAAGACGCTAAGTTCTCTAACTCGATGTCTAGTTGCCCAGAGATTACTAATCGGGCTTAACTCGACACGCGTGCTAATGTTTATATGTTAATGTTAACACGAGACGTAAAGTGAACTGTGAAATATTCACATGGTATTCGAGATACAGGCGGAATAGAACTTCTGTCATTAATGAACTTGCTAGCAGATTTAAAGGTCTTTGCTCGTAGAAGCATTTTTTTTTATTATATTTATTTATTCTCTTTTTAACAGTGGTCTGATTTATGCATTATGTGTTTTCTGTCTGTCTGTTTAATGATTTGTCAGACCCAGTCCCGGGGTGACGCTATTCCATACGTCCCCGGGGGCTGGGGCTGAGCGTAGAAGCATACTGGCGTCTGCTGCCTGGACTTTGTGGATTTTTTTTATGTTTTTTTTTTAGATTTAAACACCTAGCACTTAAGGGAGGCGGGCAATGTCCTTTCCATACAAACGTTCTTGACTGATTTCTTCTTGATTTTTAAAACTAAAAATCGAAAAAAGGATTTTTCGATAGATTGTGTTACAAAGAAACTAGAAACCCTCAAAAAAATCCAAAAATAAACAAATTTTTATCACCGCCTAGTGTGGAGATTAAATAAGTATTAAAAAAAGTGAAACATAGAGACATACTATAACTACTTATTATTCTTTGGATAAAATTTATTTTAAAATATAATTTTTTCAAGGACGTAATCGTCGAGGTACAAACCACGAATTTCGAAAATTTTATACGCAATTTTCAGCGTTCACTAAAGTTGTCCCTATTCCACGGTATTTGCCAATGCGTGACAACAATAGTTTTTTCAAATACCTATGTTAAATGTTATCTTAATTAGTTATCTCAAATGTCTCACAGCTCGCGTCCGCTCTTAGAGGCTTTTAATAAAAATAGGTATAATGAATTAGTCAACCTTCCCAAACGTGACGAAATATAGTAATTTTCCGTTGCCCTTTGATACGTTTTTCTCTTCATATTAAGTATTTGTTATACCAAAGTAGAATAACATCCTCTATAGATTAATTGGTAATTCAAGATCGCAATAAAGCTAAATATTTTTCTCGTTATCCAAGGGAGACATTAGTATTATATACAAAATCCGGATAAGTAGGCTTGTATGTGTTAACATGAACGAGCATGTAGCCAATTTCGCGAACAGGAAAAGCAATAAGATTTTTTCTCACGAAACCGCACATTTCTGTAACGAGCGGACGCGTCGGAGCGCGAAACGCCGCCAGCGCAGATTCCTGCGTCAGAAAAAAGAGGAAAGTGATGGAAGGCATCGTACCGTAGATATTCTAATAAGAAAATTTCCACTACATTTACTTTGGCGGGCGTCCTCGCGGCGTCTCGGCAAATATCTTATTTCCTGAGGCGAGATTGCATCTTGAGAAAACGCAGGGTCGATTCCTTGCCTCGCTATTAGTCTACCCCTCCGTGGCTCGTAGCTGTAGCTGTGTTGTGTCTACGGGGGCGTACTTGGGGCGTGCTACGACCGCTACGAATTCTTGCGGAGCACTTTTATTAACATCTATGTACGCAGTTCTATATTTTGTTATTATTTTTATATACTGATGTAGGGTTGCTGATGACCTCCGTGGCCAACTTGTCTCCTACTAGAGACGTCCCGGGTTCGAATCCCGGTGGGGGCAGATGTTTGTGTGATGAATACGAGCATTCGTACGTTGTACGCAAGTCATGGATGTTTATCAGTTTATATCTGTATCAGTTATGTATTCTATCCATTACCCTAGTATCCCATAACACAAACCTGCAGTACCTACTTTGGGGCTAGGCTAATTGGTGTGAGTGTTAGAAATATGATTATTAATGTATCATTATTATTAAAATTTATTAATTATGTACATTTTAATAGATTATTTATTTGTGATCAAAAGTAATTTTCGGTAGATATCAAAATGCGTTTACAATTGCTGGCTTTTATAAGGCATTTACAGTTAATTACTGTAACAATTATACTTAGACTCATTTATTTTATACTACATATTTTATTAATATTATAAAATTAGGAAAGTTTATTTCTTTAATTGATTGGACGCGCCAATCTCAGAGACACCTGGTTCGAATTGAAAAAATATTTTTGTTTTGAATAGTAGGTACCTTTATTGAAGATGGCTATTGGCTTTAATGAGTATGGCTAAATATTATCACATATGTCCAACAGAAGCGAGGAATCTATGAAAAATTTTGTGAAAACGGGAATACAACCTCCTTTAAGTCCTGAGTGTAAGCCGATCCAAAAGTTCGTGGTCCCACCCAGTTAATCCAACGATCGAACAACTTTAGTCAAACTAAAAAGATAATAGGACTAAGGACAAACTTTTTTTTATTCGGTAGGTAGATAATTTAGTTATAACTGCTGTACCAGCTATTTTCGCGTTTTGGAATTTATCACCACTTAACATCAGGTGGGGAGTTGAGTCATTTGCCTACCTAGCTATAAAAAAAAATATCAATAAGTATTAGACACGATTTTTTTTTTTACATAATTAAAGCATTTCAGAGATATATTGATTTCAAATGTCGCATGACGTCACGTCACGAGCCACCAATCCCAAACTTGGCGCACTTTGTGTAATTTTTTGGTTGATTTACAAAAGAAAAAAATAATTTTCTATTATATTTTGATAATGTAACTAACGGGCTATATAAAATATCGTTTACTTTAGCTCCGTAATACTCTGGACATGTTCCACTGAATCCATTTAAATCTTTGATGGGCAAAATAAATAATCTATATTCAGACAGTTGTCAAAATGCTATAGAAGATTTAATGCACATACTGATGTAGTTTTCGCAGGACGACACACACAGAGTTGATCTCATTGATAACACTAAATGTAGTAGACAAGATTATTTTTTTATATTTCATCAATGTTTTAGTTCCAACTTTAGTGGTAGTAACAGCGACAAAATTCTTAGGTTTCTTTTATTATCCTTATCGAATTGTGATATTAATTAAAGTCATAGCTATGTAGCCGACTTAACCTTTAAGGTGTAGGACTTAATAAAGAATTTAAAAAAAAACCGGTAATCATGCCTATGACTTATCTAAGTAAGGCCCTTATTCATTCATTCACTTTGCCCTAACTTTTATTAAGCTATCTTATTTCTATTTGCAGGCATGAGCGCTGAAGACGAGTGGTATAACAAGTCTTTGTCCGCCCTACGGATGAACAGCGGCCACCACGCCAACCTAGCGGCCGCACCCATGCTGCAGTACCAGACCTAATCGCTGCTGCACGGCGCCGACTACTCGCCGGCGCCGGCGCACGACTACGCGCCGCCGTAGTCGCCGCGCAATAAATCGCGAGCCACAGCTCGAACACCAAGGACTCGAAGTGAATTTGTAGGGGTACGATACGACACACGACGCCAGGATATAGCAAACTTTGCTATAGTGAAAGAAGTCGTGACTAAAGGAAAGCCATTGTGTACAGTACGATTCAAACTTTATAGCAGTTGCAAGGTTTACATCATACTGCTCAAATTAACATACAATCTCAATGTGGAGCATGGATTGGGTAGGTATCTCGTGACACACGAGACTCTCCTTAAGGCACCTCGCGCGCTAGACGGCCACCACAACGGCCAGTGGTCGCAACGACCAGATTACTAAAGAAACCATACAAACTGACTGAAACTGAACTTAAAAGGATGCGAAACGTCAATAAATAGATAAATCAGTACATCTATACCGTTAAAAATTGTTTTATTTAATGAGTGGTGTACGTGAAAACCTAAGAAACAAATAACCATATTACAAACGTCACGCAGTTGGCCGCAATAGTCAACCTTAGTTAGTCTGGTCGTTGCGGCCACTGACCATGGTCGTAGCCGTCTACGGGGTGCCTTAAGTAGAATCACGTTTGTCACCAGGGGGTCAATCACCTAAAGAGATTGCTATGGCAATCGCTATTGCTTACGATCTCTCTTCTTCTTGCAACGGGCGTTTCCGCAACTCGGAGTCCTTATGGCGCCTGTTTTGCGTGAAAACTTGAGCGTGAGGCATTTGAAAACCTCTTCGGCGGCAGTTAGAAATAGCAAATTGAAATCGTAAGTGATAGCGGTAGCCATAGCAATCCCGTTAGGCGATTGGCCCCCCGGATACCTACCCAATCCAAGCTTGACATTGAGATTGTTAACGACCGGTTTTTGTTAATGCTCTTAAAACAATTGGTTTTTGTACAGCTTTCAAATTGTATTGATTGCTACAGTTTATATACTTTTTATTAACTTTCAGTTATGTTTTTATTTTTTAAGCATTTAACTGCTAGATGTTTAATCTAAAGAAAAGTTTACTAGAAAAAAATCCACGCGGATCCCGTCTGCTGCCTGGGCCGCATGGAATTTTTTTCTAGTAAACTCCTGATATTAACTTACTTAATGTAGTATGAGAGAACTTTGTACCCGATCAACTCGTAAAATAGTGTCGACTCTCTGATCGGAAATGTGAGATGTAAAATTGTATTGTAGATTCGTTGACTGCTGTAATGATAAGGATGGATGTTCCTTAAATTATAAAAATCTTCTAATAAGAAATTCGCGTATGAAATGCCAAATCAGGCAGTCAGACTCCAACGTTTTTGACGTGACAACGTCTTAAATTAGGTTGCGGCTGGGAGTCACTTATGAAAAAGTGTAACGCTCGGTAACGTTACGATGAGTTTAAGTTTACATGTACAATGTTTTAGTAAACAAAATATATTTCTATAGTTAAAATTTGTGCAATTCTTATTTTCATTCAATTCCTTGTTCCTATTGTGCAATTTAATTATATTCATATCAATAAATATTCTACCGAGAAAAAGACGTTGTCACGTAAAATCTTCGCCCGTAAAACCGACTTTACAGGCAACCATTTTTTTAATAAATTTCAGCATTGAAAATAGAATCAAAATTTAAACTATTTTAACACATAAAATTATCTTTAAGGAAAAAAAGTAATTGAACCGCAAAAAACCTTACCCTTTGGGTAACCAATTGTTTTTGAGGTGTTTTTATAAGTCCCAATTTAAACAACACACTCCCGAAATAGTTTTCAAAATAATAACGGCAGCTTTTTTCTTAATTTGTTATATTGATTACATTTTGGGCCATGCAATTTTTTTGTTAGCAATAATATATTGACTATTATCTCAGCAACACTAACGAAAGATTTTTCGATATGTCGCGACTCATAAAGTTTCTAATGCAAAAGTTCACAACAGCAAAGTTCACGGTACACAGCGATTTTCGATTTTAAAAGCACAGCCCCAGAGCCCTATTTCAACCAGCCGATATATGTCACTGACATTCTGTAAGCCGACGGTTTGTTATGGGGTGGTGGTTTTTTGGTAATTTTGAAGTAATTGTCGCTGAAGTAAGTTAAGGATAATTGTAACAAATGCTTGACATTTTTGTGACATATATCAGTGACAAATATCGACTTGGAGAAAGAGAGAAATAGGCCTGTTGTATATAAACTACTGAATATCTGTCATTTGTCAAACGCATTAGGTAGAGATTTAAGTCACAACAAGGTACGGGTGATATAAGGTTTTCCTTATTCATCATAACCAGCCGCTCGACGCCTACTACTACTACTACTACTGAGCATAGGCCTTATATATTTTATTTTACATTAATTATGTACGTTCTTTATCATATTCTAGTCATGGAAAACACTACTTTCGGTACCAGGGACGATGACGGAGCAAAAATACCGAAATTGTATTTAGTCCGTCAGTTAGATTACCAAAAATAGGACACTTATTTTTTCTTTTGTCAATCTACCAAACAGAGGGTTCGTGACGGTAAAAAATGTAGCCGGACTTGACGTCATGCGACATTTCAAATTAACCTATTATATTGACATGACGTCATGCAACATTTCAAATTAACATATTATATATGTATAATATGAGGATATTATCTCTGTAATGTTTTGATTATGAATGAACAAAAATACGTGACCCATTACTTTTTTTTAATCTTGATAGAGGAAGAGAAGTTTGTCATCATCCCTATTAAACACTGAGTTTTAGGTACGAAATTAAATTTGATCTCAAACATACCTACCGTATACCGATTTGAAACATTAACGAAAAAATTTTATATTAAAACAAACAGAAATATAATATATATATTAACCCACTACCATTTCAACATCGAAGGAAGGGGAAGGAAGTGGCATTTGAAAGAATCGATATAGTATTAGACTTCAACGACTCCGTGAGAAAATGTTTGTTATGAACTTTATTAAAAATATTATTAAATTGCTTCGAGTAATCGTATTACCTATAAGTTCATTCAACTTTTTAAGATATCGTCGCTCACTTACCATATGGGGAGTCGGATAAATAAATACGTTATATTATGACAAAAAGTAGTATTTAATAATCCCAACAACAAATAACTTGAATTATCGCAGATCGAGATCGGAGACAGTCAAGATATACAGGGTTACAAGAAAAGTCGACCAAGATAAATATCTATGTCGACTTTTGACTAAGGACTTTATTATTTAGGTCACTGCTAATAGATTTGACCTACTGTGAAAAGTCAACCGTTTTAAAAAAATCTTTTGATTTTTTTTTTCCTAAAAGTTCCATTTTTGCTGTAACTTCGTGTTTTATTATATTTTTTCGTCTCTTTGGTCAGATTTTTAATAATTTATGTAGAAAGCGTGACAGTCCATAAAATAAATAAATAAACTTAAAAAACTGCTATCTGGTTAAAATGGCAGCAATTAACTGTTTGAATGTAGATTTTCCACTCTAATTTCGCAACTTATTAACCCTGAATAAAATAACCTATTGGAAACAAAAAGTTATAAATAAATAATAATAAATAAATAAATATTTCCGACACTCACACCAATTAGCCCAGCCCCAAAGTAAGCACTGTAAGGCTTGTGTTATGGGATGCTAGGGTAACGGATAGAATACATATACTGTACATATATAAGTATATTTATATAAATACATATTAAACATCCATGACTGGAGTACAAATGCTCGTATTCATCACACAAACATCTGCCCCCACCGGGATTCGAACCCGGGACCTCTCGAGTCGGCGACAGCCATGAAACCCGGCGTACAAACCACTCGGCCACGGAGGTCGTCGTAAGTTGTAAGGCTTTTGATGATTAAATACCACAAAAATAATATATTATGTTCTATTATTATTTATTCGTATTTCGTTCAAAATGCTACGACCTTGTTATTTCCTGTGTTATTGGGTATACGCAACTCGCGTCCTAGATTATAGGTACAAATAGTTTTAATTTCGTTAAGGGATTTGTTCCAAGAAATTCTTACGTAAATTGTGTATGCTAGTCATAATATTGTACAGCTATTTTAAATCGATTAAGTGATAAGTAATGTATTTTCTTGATTGTTGTATTGAAATAAAAAAAAATCGTGTGGATTCGTACATTTGACATTCAAAATTTTTCTTATAATGCATAATATACGTATCTCACTTTCGCACTCGGTTAAAAATATCCTTACCTTTAAAAAAACTTCCTAATTTTATCTCTACATAAACATGTTTATTACCTACTTTCCAAGATATAACTGCCCTGTATGATGATGTGACGTTTTAGGGCGTGCGCTGCTTTAAGCGGGAGCACGGAGCCGACGTTCGCTCCGCGTTTTGCCTTTTTTTCATGTTGTTATTTCATAGAAATGCTGCGAGAGGTGAGACTCCCATATCGCAATGCTACTCTATGGAATGACATTAAACTGCAAGCTGAGCGGACGTCCGCTCCGTGCTCCCGCTTAAGGCAGCGCACGCCCTTACGCTTATAAACTTTGATCGCTCAAATTGACGAATCCTTTATATTGATTGCGAAACAAATAGTGTAAATATAAAGTTTTGCATGTTAATTTTCTAAGGTGTTAAACGGCTCAACGATATCGTAACGTTAACTGTCGATTAGTAAAATTTATCCCTAAGAGGCCATTTCAATTTTAAACAGATAACTAAGAAAATACAATCACGATCTAGTCATCTCTAATCTCCTACATTATAAATTCAAAAGTAGTTTTATATAATAATGTAATCGAAATTATTTTCAATTTCTTTGTAATAAAACCCATTAATCGTTAAGACTGTTTTTTAAAAGATGTTGATTCTCCGTCGATGGCCATACTGTGCATTCCATGTAAATATATTTATTAAGGAAACTTGTCTAATAATGAACATGTGTAAAATGAAATAAATTGTCTAAAATGTATTTTTATATTTGATTTCTTGGAAACCAATATACCAGTTCATAGGAATACAGTCCAATAATTGATAGTCCCCATAGGACGATTTACCTTTATGAATAATCCAAGTTTGTAATCTCAAACGCAACTATCTAAAAACGATAAAAGATTTTGGCGATTAACATTTTAAAATATCAGTTCTCGATAGTATTCTCTCAACCCTTTTCAAAAAATACAAAATTTACTACAATAAGAGAGTAGAATTGACTCTGAAAATACTCTGTACAATAAATAATTTCAGAGATAGTCTTTCAAAGTTTATCATTTCTAGTTTAGAGCAATTGTTACTCGCTTTCCTGCTGCTGGTCTCGTCATCTGGTCAGGTGTAGAGTTGGAGCTGTAACTTCATACTAGCAACACTATGACACTCTTACGGATGTAAAAGACATAAAAAATATTGTAAAAAAAGGTAGTTCAAAAATATATATTTTTGACTAGCTTTATCGCGGAAACTATTGAGACAGCAGAAAAAAACTATTCTCATATTGTAGCAAATTTAGTCAACTTTAAAAACGTCCTGGGAAGATACTATCAAAAACTAGTCTTATTGAACAGCGCTGCGTGAGGCGAGTCTCCCGCGCGGCTGGTATCTATGAAATGACGTAAAAACTGCAAGCCGCCCGCTCCGTGCTCCGCTTTGCACAGAGCAGGCTCTTAGGCCCGTATTAAAGAATGACAACTAAGTGTTGATATTTTCTTGAGTACAGTAAGAAAGGGATGTCGCTATGTGCTATATATAGCGACATCCCTTTCTTACTATGCTCAAGACTAGATCAAACACTGAGAATCTTTCTATAATACGGGTCTTAGTGTTATAATCGCCAAAATCTGAAAATTGCTGAACATTCCAAGTTTTTACATTTTTGACTTGATTGCGTTCGGCGTTCGAGGTAACAAACTTGGATTATTCTTTGGTCCAACATCATAAAGAAGTCTGCAAAAATTAAGAACTATCAGGTTTGACGCAAACTACCCCGTACTTTCAGACGACAATTTTACTGTACTGATCAAGGAAAAAGTAAGCAAGTTCTGATAATTAAAAGAAGACGGTAAATGAGATGAGAATGAGACCTACTTTATAAATGCACACACACAAAAATCTTGTTTTAAAAAATACTTATCAGAAAAAAGCTAAATATTTATCAGTGGTGAAAATTTTAATGCATTCATTACAAAATAAAGTCAGACATTTTATAAATATAGTGTCTGGACTGGTACAGTGCGATTCAAAATTTAAGGCAGTGAAGTTAGCAGCGAACGCAACAATGACAGAATATAATAATAATACGCAGGTAACAAACTGAATCAGTGACATCCCACCATCACCCTACAGTTCGTTTACTCAGCCAGTGCCGCAACTTTCGTTAACTTTACAGTCCCCATTAGTTTGAATCGCACTATATAGAAATTAGGCTAAGAACTCACTGAGCGGCTTTTCCCGCACCGGCCGCGAGCAACCGCAGAACTGTATTGTTTTAAAACTCACGAGACCGCCGTTTTCTGCGGGATCACGTACCCGCGCGCGCTTTGCAGACGCAAATCGCGTCGTGAGTTTTTGCCTCTACCTACAATTTCATATTCTATGCGAGTTGCGGTACCGCAGCCTCGACGTGCGCAGGAAAATATCGCTCTGTGGATTCTTAAGTATACAGGGTTAATTTTAAAACACCAACAACCTCTTAGGGAGTGATTCTACCCATCAACATGAACAACTTTTATTATGGGACCAACGCTGAAATCGCGAAAAAAAAATATGCTGCTGTTTCATACAATAGTACATCCGCTTAGTCGACCGAAATGTATGAAACATCTGTTTTTTTTTCACGATTTCAGAGTTGGTCCTATAATAAAAGTTATTCCTGTTGATGGGTAGAATCACCACCTAAGAAGTTGTTGATGTGTGACATCTTTCCTCTTGCTTTCGTGCAATTTGGGAGTGAATACGTGAAGTGGAATGGAAGTGTGTAACAGGAAGTTTGGGAAGCGCGCGCTATTTGATTTGATTTTAGAACATGTTCAAATAGCTTATTCCTTTTGTAGTAGGTTGTATTTCTTTTTTTACAAATATAAGGTAAGGTTTCAAATGTTACACATCATGCGCGACTACTGTAAGGCTTGCTCGTTTTTTGGTGTTTTAAAATTAACCCTGTATACAGGGTATACGCCTAGAGGCGTCGAGGTAAAGTTTCAGTCGGGCATCATCCTCGCATAGTGCGGGTTGGTAGCTTGGTGTCGCGCGAGATACTGCGCGAGGTGCGCGCGCACCGCCCCCTCCCCTCCCCCGCGCACCCACAGCGCGCGCGCCTCGTGTCGCGCCCCCGCGCCCTGACCGCACTCCTGCGCCTGCGCCTGCGCCAAGCAATCATCACTGAAAAAGCTCCGTTCAGTCTACATAGGGCTGCCATCCGTCCGGGTTTCCCCGGATTTGTCCTAGTTTACAGGGCGTCCGGGCGGGGTTTTATTTGTAGTCCGGGTTTAAAAATTTACGGCAACGCATGAGTGGCCCTTGGTGCTGCAAGTGTCCATGGGCAGCAGTGACCACTTATTATGAGGTAGCCCGCTAGCTCTTTGCCTAGATCAACATAAAAAAGTTGATTTGTGACATTTTTAACTGTTTTTTATTGGTCTGTCCGGGTTCTGGGCTTCAAAATCCGGGGTTATCACGCGTGTTATTCTAGTTGCCACATTTTAGAGATGGCAGCCCTAAGTCTACATCATCCCCCTCTCAGGAGATGACCACTTCAGATGAAGATTGTAAGGCTATTCCGGCCATAAGCATGAACTACGGGTGTGCTTTAGTCAGTAGGGTATCCATGAGGATTTCACATCCGTTCCCCCGCCTGGGAGGAATCAAAAAAAAATGACAAGGATCTTTATGACCCCCCTTGGTCGAGGTTCGAGTGGTCTAGAGGGATCAGACGGAGAGGAGATTCCCCCCGTGGGGAGATGCCTCGGCTTGAGGACCCCTTAGGATCTCGCCGTCCCCAAACCCGGTGAAGATGTAGAGGTCATCTGCGACCACCAGCATACACACTCAAAAAAAATATTTTTGAATGTGGGTAAAAATTTGGAACTAACGCCACCGATTTCCTAAGCGTTACCTATATTTTGTGTGTCATTATCGGCTTTTTACGTAGGCAATGGCGCCCTCCCTGAACTGTCACTCACATTAGATCATCAAGATCATATAAATCAACAACAAAAATGTAAGATAACTATATGAGTCGACTTTATGAATTGAAATAAAACTGTTTCTACACTTTAGTTCTTGTTCCGAGGCCTGCGACAATCAATCATCATTGACTGAACTTTGACGCCACACACTACGATCACTGAATGATATTTTATATGCATACAATAAAAAAAACACTCACAATTTCTGTAGAGCTTCTTTTTTCAATAAAATTATTAATAACTGAGCGGAATGTACCGTGTTTCTCAGTATCCTGTAAGAAATAAAGGCGCCTTTGAATTTTAGTATGTTGGGTGATAGTGTCCGGTTATAATAAATGCACTACGTAGTTACACACACACACACTTATAAAATAAAACATACAATACTATTATGAAACATTTCATGTGGCCCACTTTTGTGTCATTCACTGTTGTGTTGATTTAGGTACATATTTTTTTTTCAAACTATCACAGGATTGTCCATCAAAATTCATAAGACAACAGGTATTTTTTTTAATTATACACGGAAAATGAATAAATATGAACACGTAGATACCTCAAGTTCCATGTCGCAGCTACTGTCGTAAAGGCACGTGGTCAATGAAGACAACGCCCTGCCAACGTCACCCAGAGAAAGGCGGGACTCATTAAATTGGGAAACCTAAAATACAAGAAAAATAATCAACCATTCATATATATATTATATACAGTTCGCAGAGATTGAATAGACCCAAAACTGAAATATCAGTAAGCATTTAACTTGAACAGTTAAGGTGTTCGAAATGACAGTTGAAAATAGATTGTATTTTTTTTACAGGTCGTAGCATGGAGGTTAGGGAGAATGAGAACGATCGCTACGTAATAAAGCATTAGCCCGTCTGACCCCGAAAATTTGTAGAATTTATAGTTCATTTTTCGGCCACCAGTAGCGCTGCCGTCGGTAAGTAGTATATGTGAAGTTAGCTGGTTATGAGTACAAGTAGATGAAATTAGTTGAATATTGTATAAATTTTCTTCGCGGCATTGGTTATTTCAAATTAGCCAGCTTTTATTGAGACAACTTAGCGAACGCAGCGCCTCACTTATTTTGTCCATATTTCTGGGACACTATTTTTTACAGCGATCGTTCTCCTTATCTCTAACCTCCGTGGGTCGTAGTTTCCCTGACGTTCTTTTGATTTTACACAAAAACATTACGAATCTTACTCTTACAGAAAATATTAAAAGGCATAAAACGCTAAACAAGCACTACAACTGTAGTTAGATACCGGACTTTTTGGCGGGATCGGAAAGCGTCACTTTAGCAGTTTTGTTTTTCTTGTTAAAAATTGTGTTGAGGCGGATGTTAGTGTCTAATAATGGTGGATTATTAACCACTAAGTGTTCGGGAACATGCACAAGTGTTGGCAAGTGAAACAAAATAGCGGAAAGTGTCTTTTGACGTTCCCTCAACAAGTCCACGGGGAGGTTCCAGTAATTCCCCACACATTTACTGAAACATATGGAAAGGGGGATAGACTTAGCTGCCACTTACTTTGACTTGATTTATTACTTTGACCACGAGTGCTATAGAATTTGCAAACATTTTAACACGCACATGGCTAAATGCACAAGCCATGTGAAGCCATTTAGGAAAAAAACTGTAGTTACAAAACTTATAGAGCTACATCAACAAATCTTAACTTTTAAGATCGCCCTTTTAAATATAATATCCCAAAGAGCAATCAGAAAATCTTTCAGCATATTCATCAGACAAGGGGAGAACAAAAAACATAAATGCTAACTTCTACTCGAGGATAGTTCCAAAAATTTATATTAATCCTAACCAATCTGACATTTTGTTCATTGATATTCTTGAGGAGATCGCTGAAAGTCTCTTGGTACATCGCCGCCATCCACGGCTGCTTGAAGAACTCGAAGAGGTCATCGATCTCATTAGACTGGGTGGTAACAGTAATAAACATAAATACACTCAATACTGGGTACTGGCTAGGTACTTATTATATTTAAGCAAACTAAACAAATCTTCAGGGGGGCTATTTCAATTTGGATTGCCTAATTAAAATTTTAAACAGTGATTCCCAATACATAGACATCAGTACCCTTAGCACGAACCAATATCGAATTCGTATCGTTTGCGAGTACGAAATGTCATTGTCAAATGTGTACTGATTTTTAGTTCCCGTTACGTCCATGGTGGCGCTGCTGTTCAAGATCCATTCAAATTTTGACAATGTCATTTTGCACTCGCAAACTATTCGAATTCGATATTGGTTCGAGCTAAGAGTACAGATTGTATCTAAAACATAAAAATTAAGATGATGGCAGTTTTAACCAAATACTGATTTGTAGCCAGTATTCATTTTCGAGTACAATCCCATTTTCGCAATATTATTAACATGGCACGGCCAAAAATCTGATATTACAATTCGTAATTCACACCATTTCTGGGTTCTTTGAAAAATGCTTTAACGCACAATATGCCAAAGAAAGGCATAAATCGAAACAATTATGTTAAGTAAACTAGTAACCGAATACATCCTTAATCCTGTCTGATTTTTACGTTGACAATACTGATGATGACTATAGGCAGAAACATATTTACGTGTAGTGGCGTGCCGTGACGCGCCAGAATACACACATAACATAACATATTTGTAGTTGTAGGTCGTGGCCTAGCGTGTCGACGTGTATTTGTATTTCACATAATCAAAACATTACTGTACAAAGACAAATTGATTTGAAATGCTGCGTGACGTCATGTTGTCGTAATTTTTTGCTAAATAGTGACATCATGAGCCCTTGATGGCTCAAAGGTCAAACATGACTTCCCAAGTTTGACCCACTTTATCATTGCCCTTTTTTGGTTTATTGATAAAAAAAATTTCATTTCATTTCGTAAAGGTTTTTCAATTCATTTCATTTCATTCATTTCATAAAAGAAAAATATAAGTGTCCATTTTTTTTTGTTAATCTAAATGACAATCTAAATAGAATGGCGGTGACTTTATCTCGTCAACATCCCTTCATCATCAGCTTATTAATGTCCCCACTGCTAGGTCCATCCTATGGATGCAATAGGGAGATTGGGCTATAACCCACCACGCGGGCCCAGTGCGGATTGGCGGGTGCTAACGACTGCAGATGCAGCCGGAACCAACGGCTTACGTGCCTTCCAAAGCACGGAGTATCTTCAGATAGAAGATTTTTGGTCACATATTCAATGAACATTTATTATTATAAAAAAAATAAAAAAATGACCGACCACTGCGAAAGTTGCTTAACTTCAATGATCACAGCCAAACGCGCTTACAACCTGCGCCATCGAGCTCCGCTACGAACAACATCCCTATTATGGTAGACATACAACTTTGCTTACTATGTATTTTTTTTTTATGTTATAGGGGGCATAAGAGCTGACGGCTCACCTGATGGTAAGTGATCACCGTCGCCCATGGACACTTGCAACACCAGGAGTATCACAAATGCGATGCCGGCCTTTAAGGAAGGAGTACGCTCTTTTTTTGAAGGTTTTTACCTATATGCATTTGCCTTTATGTTTTAACTATATGATGCAATAAAGAGTATTATAATACACACTACGAGAAATCGTTACGATTAGACTGTACAGTCCGAACGGTACCGATAAATCGTAGCGTGTATGTTATAAAACTGCACAGTTTCCTATACGTACGCCACGTACGATAAACTGTTCCGTTCGAACTGTACAGTCTGATCGTAACGATTTCTCGTAGTGTGTATGGCTACCATTAGACATGTAATATTTACTTACCCAGTGTTCTTACCTATAACACAATGAATGTATATTTCATGGATGTATTTAGTTATAAATTATACCTGATACCGATGCAAGAGGTGGTTAAAGAACGCCTCGTGTTTCCCATACAGCTGGGAATAAAGCTCCGGGCAGAAACTCTTCTTGGAGAGGCAAGTTATGGCGTCTACGCAGTGCAGAGAATTTAAATGCAAACGAAAAAAATTCCCACGTTTATCCGTAACCAGGGTGTGACCCTAGAATTGCGATGCAGAATTGAAGTACCGATTACATCAAGTTTACTTCTTTTCTTGGGAGGAACGAAAATCAGTCTATATAAAGTAACTTTTAATATAATAATTCTAAATCAAAAGTTAAAACCATGTCGTTTAAAGCTATAAAGCCATTTTCAGATTTCACATCACATCATCGGCCTATTAATGTCTCCACTGCTGGGGCACAGGCCTTCCTTATGGATGGAATAGGGAAATTGGGCCATAACCCACCACGCGGGCCCAGTGCGGATTGGTAAGTGCTAACGACTGCAGAAGCAGGTGGAACCAACGGCTTAACATGCCTTCCGTAGCACGGAGACGCTCGAGATAGTAAATTTTTGGTCACCCATCCAATGACCGACCACTACGAAAGTTGCTTAACTTCAACGATCGCAGCCTAATTAAATAAAAAATACAACCAGCTATAGAAGGTCATTTTATACACCTTTAAATAAGCTATGAAACTTTCGGACGAAATGGTGACAGAACTTGGATGGCGGTAGCAGTCCTAATTTAGTTATAAGTAATCCTATAGTAATATGTAACTACCAAAACAACCACTGTGAAACAGTTCGAAGAAAAGATTAAGGAGAGACTAAAAGATTGTTAAACTATATCTATACATATAATAAATGGAAGGAAAGTCAAAACTGTACATTAAATATTTTTTAAAAGAATACTTGGGGTGTGATCTACAATCGATACCGAAGCCAAAAATATAGTATTTAGAATTTTTGTCTGTTTAAATGTATGTATCTCCGGGATAAAAACAAAAAGTATGCATGGATTTACTTCAAATTTGGCACGAATATTATTAAGAAGTCGAGTCAACATATAGGCTACATATTATCACGCTATCACCTACGAAAAACGAGCAGTGAGCCTTTATTTGTAACTAACTCCACGCGTACGAAGTCCCGGGCGGCCGCTACTTATTAATATCTATCTACGAAATATTCGAATTACGAATTTAAAGATAGTTTTATAAAGACATATTTACATTATAAACGCACATACATATTATTAAAAATAAAACTTATTACAGTAGTAGCTGTATCGTAAATAACTTTTTAATCATTATATTACGCTTTTAATGATATTAGGCTGAATGTGAAAAAAAGAGGCGGACGCATTCCCATAAAATTTTCTGCCGATCGTTTTTTGATTTTCGGGATTTAAGAAAAGTTTTGCAAAGTAGGTACTTATTTGTTAACTATTTTGTTAAATTTCAATTGTTCCTATAGTACAGTCATTTGGTAGTTTTACCTGGAAAGTTTTCCGGGAGTTTTGAATTAGTAATTTTATAGATTTTGAGGTGCTCTTTCCGAATTTCGACTTTGCCACCTCGTACTTTTGCCGCTCGCGCCGCCATATTGAAAAAATGGCGCCTAAAAGCAGTTTTTTGACAATATCTCCTTTCCAACTCATTTCACGATAAAAACAGTTATTACAAAATGAAACTAGAGACGATTGCCTACAATTTATGTATCTACCTTTTTTTTCATAAAGTCAGTAGTTATGGCGTACGAGCGCCAGAAAGTGTACTCTAACGCGCGCTTTGGTCATTACTCATTATTCATGCAACCTGTGGCATTTAATTTCAACTCATTATATTTGTGAGTTATAAAATTAATATAAATCTAAACTATACTGATTATAGATATTATATTATACTATAATAGACCCATGATGTAGATGAAATACCAGTCTGAGACGTTTCGATTGGTACTACAGACGATGAATTTGCAACACCTGGTCCATCGAGAACAACAAAGCGAAGGAGAATACGCTAAATTTTAGCACATTGAATTGCATGTGGATAAGGCCTATTGGGGATACCACATTAAAAAAAACGCGCCACTTACTCTAACTCAAGGTGGTGTGGAAATGAGTTTTTGGCCAAAATGCGCGTTGGAGTACACTTTACGGCGCTCGTACGCCAAAACTATTGACTTTATGAAAAAAAGGTAGATACATAAATTGTAGGCAATTGTCTCTAGTTTCATTTTGTAGTAACTGTTTTTATCGTAAAATGAGTTGGAAAGGAGATATTGTCAAAAAACTGCTTTTAGGTGCCATTTTTCCAATATGGCGGCGCGAGCGGCAAAAATACGAGGTGGCAAAGTCTAAATTCGGAAAGAACACCTCAAAATTTATAAAATTACCAATTTTCAAAACTCCCGGAAAACTTTCCAGGTAACCACTATATTTCTTACCAAATAACTGTACTACTATGGTGAAGATGAAGTAGTGTATGCTACTACATTTAATTCAGGTAAAACACTCGAGTCAACCTATTATTAAGTACAGGCAGACAGACTCTCGTGTTTTAATACCCCTTCTTATATAACACTCGCATAAACTGCTATTATAGCCTACGTCACACGTATGTACGTAGTGTAATGTAGATTGTAGCTTTCTATTGATGAAATAATTATAAAAATCAGTTCAGTAGTTCCAGATTGTGGTTCGTACATGAAAAACTTACGAACTTTATCGCTGTATATATTCTGTATAGATTGGATAAGTCAAAAGTCACCTGAAGCGGTAAACACAACTGCACCTCCATGGGTAACTCAGGACCAGGTTTTCTCACTTTCATGTAATGAAGTTGGCCAGGGAGTACAGAATACTGTACTATTGGAGACTCGAATTTCATAACTGGTTGCCATCTGTATGAAAGGATTCCTTATTATCTCTTCAGAAGCGCGATCAGGCGTTTTTGGCGTGATATAGAAAACTTTAGTTGCTAATCGTAGGATCTGTTACAAGCAGTAAATATTATTATTATTATCAAATAAAAAATCAATCTTATTTATAAAATTCTCCTCCGAAATGGCCTGACCGATTTTTATGAAATTTTATATGCATATTCCGTGGGTCTGAGAATCGGCTACTATCTATTTTTCATATCCTTAAGTAATAATGGTTGTCTACCTGTAACGTAGTGTTCTTATATGGGTTAGGAGGAATGTTATCCCAGGAAATTGATAGAACACTACGTTACACACTCCTAAAATTTTTTTGGACATTTTTTTTGTAATGTGGTATTAAATTATGTGGGTACAAAGTTCGCTGGGTCAGCTAGTAACTATATAAGAATTACATGAACTTCGCCAACGTTGTTGTTGTGTTACTTACATATTTATTTTTGAGAATCCTAGAGGAACCTAATATTTTTTCTTGGTTAAAAATAATTCAATGTATTAATCTAGGTCAGTGATTCTTAACTGGTGGCCCCTGGAAGCACTGAAGTGGTCCGCGAAACCATTTGAAAAATATTACATAAGGAAGAATGCTTAATGATTTAACAATTTTTGTAGAGGGAGAGGGTGCAAATCGTCAGTGCTGGTCCGGAGAAGACAGATTTATTGACAAACAATCCCTAGTCACTAACCCCCTTATTAACAAACGAAGACTACGCTTGGATTAGTTACTCCATGTTTTGTCTCTGTCTATTTAATGACAAATGGCATTTGAGTGTCATGTACAAAACACGGCGTAACTAATCTAAGCTCATTTCTTGTTTATTAATATGGGGGTTAAAGTTCAAGAACCGCTAAATTACGTAATAAACTATATACCTTATACATATTTTTTATTATTTTAAAGCATGAAACTGCTTCATGTTAAATCTAAAGAAAATATAACTAGAAAACCATGAGGACCAGGCAGCAGACGGGACTCGAAACCGCACCCTTCGCAATCCGGGCGAATGCACTGACCAATTATACATACCTTATATATGTCAAATTCATTTAAAGCCGTCCAGCTGTTTTTGCGTGAAAGAGTAACAAACATCTATAAAACTTTCACATCTATAAAATTAGTAAGATATGATTTCTACTGGAACTAGCATCAAAATTTCATGTGCATAGTAAATTCATTAAATGAATTACCTTCTTGATGGCCCTGGTGTATCAGCATTCGTAACTTTAAAGCAACCGTGGGACCTTTTTAAACTGAAAAGCAATAAAATTTAAAGATATTATAATAGACACTCGTTTATGATAAAGTTGTGATTCGTGATTAAATCTAAGTAAAGCATGATCACGTAGAAATTAACAAATATAAAGAGACTGGCAAACGAAAAGTTACGCCTATAATATAAACGTAAACAATGGCAACTTATGATCTTTATTCGACAGAATCGCTGATTCTGTTTTGAATTTTTGGTCATCTCCCGAATTGCTCGACGAAATCGAGCAATTCGTGAGATCACCAAAAATTCAAAATGGTCACAAAAATATAAAAATTAAAATAAAATGGTAATATTGAGAAATCGCGCTTGTACACATTAAATAAAGTACAGGTTTAGCATAATTAGAAATCTTAACGATGGAAGTGATAAGAAGTTATCTGTGCCTCATCCGTGGAGAAAATCTATGAAATGCTTGACGTAAAATGAAAAGCACATACTCTGCTACTTAGATTGCTCATACTAAAATATCTTTTGACGCAACGATTATAAATACTCCTAGGATCTAAGGACGACATTACTATAGAAATGCGTGCACTATCGGTGTACCTGATAAAGCTCGCGCTATATTTAGGGAACAGTTCAGAATTGCCTCTACTTGCTTTAGGGTCTGCTGATACAAAGGGGTCCAATTTGTCCAAAAATATTGTCGCTAACTGCAACAACACGAAGGTATAAATCTTTAAGATATTATATTGTTTAATCCTTGAAAAATATCTTACAACGACAAATTCTGTATGTTGAACATAAACTTCTTAACTAATTCTCTCAAAACTAGCAAGTAGACGTAGTAGTTATCTAATCGGATACTACAACTCCTGTGCTCTCTAAAAATTCAAGAAATCCCATGAAATTATTAAAGGGTCGGTTTCTTTATTCGACTTATTCCGAGCAGTAAGTAGTACGAGTGTTGCTAGCGATTGACGTAAACATCTCGAGCTGCAGAACTTTTCCAATATGATTTTCCAGTTTCTAAGCCTCATAGAATTAAAGAAATCCTAAGACTTAATAAATCGATACATATACTGCTCTTCCGACTTCCTCCCAACAGTAGTACGTACTGATGTAGTAAGCAGTTTTCGTAGTGTCAAAATGGTGCTAACGATTGATTTTAACATCTCGAACAGACCTAATATTTTGTACAGACGACGGCACCATTAAGAGGCACACCGCCGAACGGACCTCACACCTGGCTCCCGCAAGCTTTACGGGCCCCCGCAGTGGCTGCCCACTGAGGACCCCGTAACTCTTACGGGTGCTTTACGACATAATATCCGCTAAAAATCCCTGCGAATACCCTCTAAGGTACTTAGTGCGAAGCCGCGGGATCCCCGTATAGGAATTCTTCCTCGTTTCCGCACCCAGCAACCTCCCGGACTAGCCGGGGCTCCCGTTCCTCATGCTACCTTAAAATTCAAGAAACCTATATATTTGTTAATTAATCGGTAAATACTGCTTCCCTGATTACCTCCGAACAGTATTTTGATTCTACACCGTGCTTAGCGATCGGCGTAGAGTCAAAATATTGCTAGCGATTTACCTAAAGATCTCGGGCAGCAGTAGCTGCACGATTACTCCTTCAATCCTTGTGATCCCCTTAAAATTCAAGCATTCTAGTACTTTGTATACATACGGCTTCAACGACTACTTCAGAACATTAGTACTGATGTTCTAAGCGGTCGGTGTAGAGTCAATATCTTGGCAATTTACCTAAAGATATCGGGCAGCAGTAGTTGCACGATTAGGTTCTCCAATTCTTGTGATTCCCTTTTCAAATTCAAGCATTCAGTACTTTGTATACATACTACGTCACCGACTTCCTCCGAACAGTGGCACTGATTTTCTTAGCGATTAGCGTAGTCAAAATATTGCTAGCAATTTACCTAAAGATATCGGGCAGCAGTAGTTGCAAGATTAGGTCCTCCAATTCTTGTGAGCCTCTTCAAATTCAAGCAATTAGTACTTTGTATACATACGGCTTCACCGACTTCCTCCGAGCAGTAGTACTGATGTTCTAAGCGGTCGGCGTAGAGACGGCGCGAGTAGCGGCAGCACGGGCCGGCGCCGTAAATGTTCGGATCGTTGGTCTCAAACTCTGGGCCGATCACTAACCCACCGTCGTAAACTAAGCCGCTCTCGTTTATCGCTAGATATATAAACACTTTTTAAATGTTATATTTAGAGCAAGCACATACAGAGCCTCTAGTGGCGGCCACTAAACGCGTCCACAAGCTGCAGTCGAGGTTTTTCATACATTTTGTATAGTATCGGTTAAAGGGGTTGGTTACCTACAATGCGAAGACATGACGCTGCCTTGCAGCCTAATACTAGAGAAATTTCGATGCGGACAATAAGGGCCGCTGTTGCAAAATGCTATCAGTGCACCCGCTCGGATAGCTGAGGGTGCGGGTTCGAGTCCCGTCTATTGTCTGGTTAGCGTGGATTATTTTCTGGAAAAATTTTCTTTAGTTTTATATATCTAGCTTCAAAAATAAAAATATAAAGATGATGTATTTTACAAAAGCTCACAAGAGACGTGATGATTGTGAAGTTTCAAAAGATAGTAAGTACCTTTAAAGGCGTTTATATCGATGGCTTTCAGTCCGTAGTAGAAGAAGGCGTAGCAGGGCAGTCGCACCGCTTGCATAGGCTTCATAAGATGAATAGCATTGATACGGGAATCCAGCTGCCGCCAGCCTGCCAGAGTACAGCGACGCAATACACGAATGCCCAGCTTCTCTATACTAGCTTGGATACGGCCATCCACCTACCACAAAATATAATTGCAATTTTTAGGCGTACAGTGTTGCGTACGCCTTGTCGTTGTGTTAAGTTAAAAACTGCTTATTCCTATAATGGAAACAATAATATTTTGCAGCGCGTACTGCGACTACATAAGGTATACTGTCTTGAATACGGCCATCCTCCAGCCTCCTTCCACAAATGCCATTACCGTTGTAAACATACTCAGTATCACTGTTGTATATATATATATATATAAACTTTTTCTATCATAGAGGCAAGTATAATTTTGCAACGCTGCGCGTACTGGGACTCTATGAGCTAAACTACTGCCATATATCTCAAAAGAAGATTGCTCAAATTGGCCCAAATGAACAAAAAATATTGACATATACGGTAATTCTTGGCGTAATTTATACTTTATTTTACAGTCATTAGATTTTAACGGACACCTTTGTATAATATATTCATTTTAAAAAGGACTTTTAATTTTAATGGTTTGGAAAACATACGAATCATTTTTAATGGCTATGGGTGTAGTAACATTCAGCCAAAGACTGATCGAGTTGTTTGTTTAACATCAAAACAAATGTTTTTTGTAAAGATCGATAAAATAAATCTTTTTTTTATTACACTGTGGTATTAGTATCCACAACTATATTATCATTTTCACTACATACAAATGTGCTAAGACAATTATTATAGATGGTAGGCGATATCATAAAGTCTATTACCATACATTTTTCGCCAAACACCTCCATAAACACATTATAAGGTGTGATACACAAAAAATCTAAAATATGATTATAATACAAACATAAAAAAAATAATGAAGCTACTGAAGTTATGGCTGGTATAACCTAAAACTCTTAGCTTTCTTTGGTTTCTGTCATAGAGTACCTTATTATAACCGGAAATGCATAAATGGTACCTGATTTTAAAAGTTAATCTTGTGTATTAACTTTAAAAACAGGCAACTATCTGTTAATGTACATGCTCTATATACCTGAATCTAATACATAATTTCGGTACTTGGCTTGATTTCCCTAGTTTTCTATATAACTTTTTTGTTTTTTATTATTTTAATACCTATTTACCCATTTGCAAACATAACCTCAAAATCATTCAGTGTATATGGTTTATAGAAGTTCTCAGGGGTGTCCGTCAATAATATTCGTTTCTACAGTAATATAAATATAATTTCGAATGTAAGAAACAATTTTCATGATTATTGGTCTTTAGGCCAAACATGTATGGTAGCTGAGCAATCTCCTTTGGATAACGAGTTGATTGGTATGGGGTTGAAAGAACTCTTATTAGATTAGGACATAGTTGCCTAGATGACTTTTATTATTTTGTTACACAAAGACAAATGTAGGTACATATTCAAAACAAATGAGTCGATAAAAAGAAGAAAAAAATGCTCCAAGTGTTCATCTGACTCTGTCTCTGTTAACTTGGCTAAAACTACTTATCATAAGTCACGTCATGTTATCATTACTGACCGTTTCATCGTTGAAGCAGTTAACCCTTAGCCTGGAGCTGTCTTCTGGGGGAAATGCCTCTACAAACGTGATCTTATCCGGGGCCAAGCCCAATTCAAGCAAGGCAGCCAAACAGTTGTACGCCTCTACGCATTCACCGTAAACGACTACAGTATTATCTTCACTAAGACGCCTATTTGTTACTTCTGCATAGAAATATATGAAGTTAGAACTGTAATATTGATGTCATGGATATCATATAAATCACAGACTTGTGATTGGTCTATCTACATCAAATCGTTGATGTAGATAAACTTAAGTATATAACGATCAACAGCACAATTGTATGTATGACATAAGATGCCACAACCATAATTATTCTAAGTATATTAACGCCAATGCTAACTTGAAGAAACATCAAAAACTTCAAAGTAAACATTATAATAACAAACATTCATTTTACTGCTTCTATTCCGACGTATTTGCGTTTAACACCGGAATAATCTACATGTTAAAATTGCGACACAAAAGATTTAAACTTTTAAATTCAAACGAAAAACAATTTTGTTACGGGTTCTTTGCGTTACTTATAATGGACTTTTATCTAAAAACTACTGGTTTCTTACTGTCGTCGCTCATCATTCGCAGCAACCTCCTCATGCAGATATGGGCTTGCAAGATGGAGTTGATCAGCATCAGGTTTTCAGGCGGGTCGGGAGGGAGGCTCACTTTGTCAGGCTGGTACTCGGGGTTATCCATCAGGATCCGTTCGCACGGTTTGCCTTTCCTAATATAGAATTTATATAACATATCCGACGTTCTATATACGTACAAACTTTCCAAATCATAAGCTGTATGTACAAGCTCTAGCGTGTAATGATCTCTATCCACTAGATCATTCCATTTACTGTCTTGAGATTGTGAAAGCTTGCTTTACCTTCCGCCAGAGGATGGCATATGTGGAATGCGCGTTCGGTCTGCTAACGTGGAAATTAAGCAACTTTTGAAATGGTCGGTCGTAGGATGGGTGACCTAAAACTTATAATCTTGTGCTCCTCGGTGCTTCGAAAGGCACGTTAAACCGTTGGTCCCGCTGAATCTGCAGTCTTTAGCACCCACCAATCCGCACTGGGTCCGCGTGGTGGGTCATGGTCCAATCTCCCTATTCTATCCATAGGAAACGCCTGTGCCCCAGCAGAGGGGGCATTAATAGGCTGTTGATGATGATGATCAGATTCAATATTCGGTAATGTTGTTCCTGTTAAACTCTACCATTTATGTAGATAATATTCTTCGTGAAGCTAAAAAGTTGAGTGGCTGTTGCAATGCTATTGTTACTGCACCAACTATCTTTAAATTTAGATTCCACAAACATTTGAGTCGTTTGCTCTTTTGATTAAAAATCTTTGAAATGAAATAGCATTATTCTGGACGGATGGAAAAATTCAGAATGATCATACTTATAGCTTGACCGCTGTAAAAAGAGCCTCCTAAATCCTAATGGTCTTCAGGACGCGGGGCGGCGGCGTGCACGGGTACACACGGCATTACCGACTCGGCGAGATATCTCGTGATATTTAAATCTTCGTGTTGTTATTTCAAAAATGTTAGTGTTTGCATCCCCTGTTCCATATATCCCTACTGACATATCTCTACTAGTAGGGATATTTATTAGTATAACGAATGAATTAGTGTCATAATTTGTTACTCATATTAAATACATTTTGACTTTGTAATATTTACCTACATTTATTTCAATGTATAGTCTTGCCATTAATATTGGTACAAGGAAAAATATATTAAAATATACTGGGAATTTTATTCCCAGCGGCACACCAATGTCTGTCACAAATATGTCTCCGACAACAACTAAGACCTCAAGGATAATTGCAAAGGGGCATTGTCAAAGTGCGGAATATTGATTGGTATCTCTGTTACTACCAGACTTTTGCTGATGCTGTTAATTTTGTGAAATGCGCGTGACGTAAAATCTCTTATCTATTAGACAAGTCCGTCCGTCCGTCCGTGGTGCTGTTTCAGCGGCCAAACCGTAAGAGATAGATAAAGAGAATGTTAAGTTATAAGTTGAGAATAGTCTGATAAGACTACAAACCGGATGTGAGTAACGTAGCACTTCCGGTTTTCGAGATATCACGAATTTCAAACGAAACCACACAAAATCTCCGAAGTTCTCAATTAATTAAATACATTTTTTTTTTGGTGAACATTTGGTTCACTGGTTTGCTAGTTATATATAATTACGTAAGAACTATTGAGCAACACGAAAGGGAGTAGCGACAATACTATTCAAATCATTCTACCGTTTTTACACACTGCACACAAACACGTACAGTTTAACGTACATGCGTAAAAAACAAAACTGTCATTATGTCATTATACGACACTCGCACGTAAACAATGACGCCCGCAATACACCGTCGAATCCTGGATACATGTATCGTATGTATGCCCAATTTTTATGACCAATTCGACAGAGTGGAAAGCTGTGTGTGCCTACTCCCCTCCTTGCCGCGTTGGCCGTGTGGCTCTGTGGTATGAACGTATTAGACACTAACTCGACCTCCTTGACAATCTCCAAAGCTTCGTGCAGATACTCCGGGTGCTGGTGCTGGTGGCCGCACGTCAGCACGAGCTGGTCGTAGAACTTCACGCCGCCACCTTTCAGCTGGATGCACTTCGTTTTCCTTCAGATCGTGTCAGTATCAATAATATTTATAGCCTATGTAAACTTTGATGGAAATAATTAGACTTGATAAGTAATATTAATTTTGTCTCTATACGACTTTTACTCCGTTTTGTATAAAGAAAATGGCAGCAAATTACCCTACACCACCTGATCTTAAGAGTAAGTCAAATTCAATCAAGAAGAATAGCTGGCTTTGTTTCCATCAAATAGTTCTCATACTTCAGTAACATCATCACTTCTCATTTTTTAAAGGGTAATGCTACTAAACACATATATCCTTATTACTTTAAGTAGACTAAAGTCAAAGTCTGCCTTAAAATAATTATGTCAAGTTTGTTTGCTAAAGAAAAGACGGAGAGAGGTTTAAACCTAGTCTAACTTGAGTCCAAGTTTTAAAAGGCACATATTCAAATGGTCATCAAAAAATACAGAGTTTGATCCTCGAAAATATACAATTGCTAACCTAACCTAACCTTTACGTTATGAACTGTATATTTAGGTGATCATTCATTTTAAATTTTTTTGACGACGAATTAAAATTTTCCCATTTTATCAACATTCGCCCCCACTATGGGTAGCCCGTGTTCCGACACCAGCGTGATATTGTTGAACATTAAGACCGATGCAGGTAAACAAAAGTTTTGATACTGACCTGTCGATCCTAGTCATGACCGCTGTCATAAATTCCACATAGTAATAGAAGGGAACGCTGCTCAGGTATCTTCCAGAGTATTGTCCCTCCTGAGGGACACAGATCTTCGAGGCCTTAAGACATTTTCGCACTGTGGGCAGCCCGTATTCCGACACCAGTGTGATGTAGGTGAACATTGAGATGATATAGGTAAATAAGTGTTTGATTCTGACCTGTCGATCCCCGTCATGACCGCTGTCATAAAATCCACATAGTAATAAAAGGGAACGCTCCTCAGATATCTGTCAGAGTATCGTCCCTCCTGAGGGACACATGTCTTTGCGGCCTTCAGACATTCCCCCACTGTGGGCAGTCCATGTTCTGACACCAGCGTGATGTTCGTGAACGTCAAGTACTTGCTGGCCGGCCTGTTAATAGCTTAAGTTTTAAAACTTCATCTAAGGGATAATAATAAAGTATCCACACATGGAGCCTTTGTTATCAACAGAATCACACGGAAAACGTGATGTAAAAAAATCCGAAATCCACAACACAACATATAAGGAAAGTATATCGGTAAAATAGTAAATAAAAAAACAGAAAACTCGCCTGCTTAAAAATTAAGTTTATAAATAACTAAAAAGGAAATAACAGGTCCCGTAGTCCTGAGTTCTTTTAAGTAAGTTTTGTTACTTAATTCTCGCTAGTTTAATTGTCGAGACCAATTATTAGGAAAATATGATCCATTCTAGAATATCTAATGCGTATTCGCGGTTCAATACTCTGTTTCCGCGTTTACTGTTATTACAAGTCCAGCTTCGGAGAAAACATGTTCTATTGAAATACAAATAAAATAACAATTGTCAACCAACGAACCCCATAATCAATGCCTCTAGAAACGCCAGGCCAGTTCTACTGGCGCCGACGACCACGATGCTATTGTTGACCGTCACCTTCGGAAGACTCGTCAGCGGTCGCTCCATCATCCACAGAGCAAACGGGGTGGTGCTGAAGATCGAATGAAAACATTGGTATCTCTAGGGTATGGTGGCCGCTTACCATCAGGCCAGCCGTATGGTTATTTGCCACATTTTAACATACAAAAAAATATGTCTTCCACCGTGTCAGTCTGTATGGTCTCAAAAACTACTGAACAGATTTTTATGACTCAGCTAGATAAATAAATCCTTTGTATGGTAGCTTTATATGTAGGTATAATACAAGCCTGAACATAAAAACTTAGTTTAGTTACAAATACAAGCCAAAGAACAAAATCTACTGTCTATAATCAATATCGAAATTAACCGAAACGAGAATATCTTCTGCCATATGAATGTAAACTTCTAGGAGATTAATGCAGTTTTGTCTCTAAAGATTAACAAATCTTTTTTTCCAAAAAAGAGGTGTAGGCCTCCGGGGGCTCATCAAAAAAGTCATAGAATGGACCTCCGCTAGATAAGTCCAGGGGGGAGTCCCACATAACCTCGCCGCTTCTTAGGCGGCGGGGTATGCACCACCCGTTTTCCCTAGGCCAAAAAAAAGGTCAAGTGGGCCATGACCCCAAGGCGGCCGGTAGCGAGGGGCAGCTGCAAAATGTGAGGATCGGCAGATGCTACAAAGAAAGGCATTCGTTACCGAACTGTATTTTGATTTGACCTACTAATCGTGGGTGTCCAGGGGCGCAGATGTAAATACGCCCCTGAACATCATGTGCTATAGATCACGACATCATGAAATAGAACTTACTCGTTCTGGAAGACGATATCAAGGCACTTGTTGCCACTGATGTTGGGTATGGAACGGCGCGGAGTCACCGGCACCATATGACCGGCCAATGACATCAGGTTACGGTTGGGACTCTACAAATGATAATATAACATTTCAAGACGTAATCATCTTTAACCTATCATTGTCCCCACTGTAGGGGAACATTCTTTGTCCATAGAAATATTTTGCTGTGCGTTTTTTACACAATTTTAACTAACGCTGGTTAATAAGTTTTAAAATCTTTTAATGGTGTATAAGTTCTATGTGAGATGTTTGTATGAAGAAAGTAAAGAGATATATGTAGTTCTTGCCAAACTTAAAGGATAAGTAAAATCCACTAACCTTGACCGTAGCAAGTGAACGTCACCAACTCGGGAGACTAACGCACGGCTTTGTGGTACTGAGGCAGCAAAATCTTGCAGCAAGAACGGAATGGTCACTCCAAACATAGGTCTATAGCAAGGTTGTTAACTAGAGATTTATTTCTTCACTTAACGTTAGTGGTATTGCAGACGAGAAAAAACGATCGTCCCAAGAAGATGCCCGACCAAAATTACTGAATATCTAAATTTTAACTTACCCTCTTAATATTAAGCAAGAACTGAACATTGCCCTGGTGAGAACGGGCCATAGCTCAACTCACCACGCTGGCATTGAATCGTGTATAGGTCATGCCTTCTCTAGATTGATCTTGCAGCAACCCCACATCAGGATGTCGGGTCAGCAAAGCCAAATTCTAATTTTTGCCCGACATCTCAGAGATCAGGGCCTAAATTATTTTACTTTTTGGGCTAATTATTGGTGTCTTCGACACAATTGTTATTGTTTTGGTATGAATAAATAAATAAAATTCATAAGTACAACGCGACCAAGATCAAAAAAAGGTACAAAAAACCCTTTTATATAAAAAAGAAGTTGTAAATAGGCCTTCTACATTTCCTATTACCCTTTTTAAGTTATTGTTAATTATAAAGTTCCCTTTAGTGAGGATTTTTTACGTACTTAGTAATCCTCATTTCACCACTTATTCACCAGCAGCACCCTCCTGTCAATGTCATCTAAGTGCCAAAAGATCATGGTCGCACTGTAATTGGGAAAGAGGTTATATCACATTGGCTTTTTTTTTGCTTTGAAGAGGAAAGTAAATAAATAAATAAATACTTTCAACACTCACACCAATTAGCCTAGCCATAAAGTAAGCACTGTAGGCTTGTGTTATGAGATACAAGACATCAATCAACAGACATCCATGACAGGAATACAAATGCTCGTATTCATCACATATACATTCGCCCCTACCGGGATTCGAAACCGGGACCTCTCGAGTAAGTGACACCATGAAACCCGGCGTACAAACCACTCAGCCAAGACGATCGTCAAAAAAGATAAAGTTAGACCGCACCGTGCTCCCGCTTAAGACAGCGTACGCCCTTAAATATCAGTTCTCTCCAAAGGTACGAAGGTACATTACCACTTCGCCCCTGGCGAACAGACTGCAGATCCAGAATAGCGACGAATAATGCGAATGCCGCAGCACGTCACGCATGTACCAGCGCGCGTGCGGCTCAAACGCTGGAGACATCACGCAGCTAACAGCCGCTTGTAAAGGAGGTACATTACCACGTCGCCTCTGGCGAACAGTCTGCAGATCCAGAAGAGCGACGAATAATGTGAATGCCGCAACACGTCACGCATGTACCAGCGCGCGTGCGGCTCAAACGCCGGCGACATCACGCCAGCTAACACCTGCGGGTACATTGTCAACTCCATAAAAAGATGTAAAGATGAGCAATTTGCGCTAGTGATCAAAAAATTTTATCTATGTATCGGTCGTCATGTGTGAGATCATCATCCATATAAATGAATATAGAAAGAACTACCCTACTGAACACTGGTGCGCACTGGTGGATGAAAACAACTCCTGATGCAGCCGAAAGAAATTTTTGAACGTAACATTGGGAAGAAGTGTGTAGAAGGATGCAGATACGATACACTGAAATGTTACAAATGTGGACGAAGCGTTACATTGTGGGTTGCTACTTCTTTTTACCATAACAAAATAATATATTGGTCATATATTATTTTACGAATACTCACCGTGCCATCGGTCCTAGGAGCTCGTGGTTCTGACGCCAATTTGTACTGAGTCCGTATAGAAGAACCAGCTTCCAAGGAACTGCGAAGAAAAAACTGTGCTTATCGTAACATTAAGTTTAAATACACATCAAAAGAAACAGGCTCACACCGATTCATATGCAAATTTATCAAAAACTGGTTAAGTGTTTCGAACCATTTCAAAGTTGAGTGATCTCTTCGATATAAAGAAAAACAAACAAAAAAAAATCTGTTTGTGGAGGGGAATGTTTAATTACCCGAGAATAACCATTCCGATGGGTTGCTTTTGGCTGAGTAGTATGAAGGAATCAATTCTGTGTGAATTGAGCGACGAACTGAACAAGTCGAGAAGGGAATTGGCTCTCGGTGCGTGCTCCAAAATGTCGTTCAAGAAGACCATGTCGCTCGCCTCCCCAGGGCGCACAGCGATCTCACTAAAACAACGATTATCTCTTTATAAGTAAAGATTTGGCTATTAGTGCCTGTCTCCACCTCACGACGCCGTTAACGTGGAACGGTGTGGTAACGGGTGCGTTCACATAATAGACAGGCACTTACTCCAACTAGCTGAGAAGGCTAAGATATAAGGTTATTTTTGGTATTTTTTTCACACCCTCGGTTACATTATCGAATTTTTCATACCCTAACTTTTTTGAAAATACTCTATAGTCTTTATTCATCCGGGTTAATGTAGGATTCTAAATGTGACAGAATTTTTAAAATAGTCCATTAGTTTCGGAGCGCATTCAATACAAACAAACAAATAATCAAATCTTTCCTCTTAATCACTATATAGTGTAAAGCAAAGTCGCTTTCCGCTGTCTGTCCCTAAATAGGGAAATCCCTATGTATGCTTAGATCTTTAAAACTACTAAACGGATTTTTATGCGTTTTTTTTAATAGATAACGTGATTCAAGAGGAAGGTTTATATGTATAACACATGTACAATATAGTAGAGAAACACTGATAATTTTAAAGGTTTTTAATGTAAGGTCGTAAATAAACACATTTTTTGCGCTTACATTGCAAACGCTGGATGAACCCTACGAGATAGATCAAAATAATGTACTACAGTATTGTACACCTTAAAAAAGTCTACAAAAAAGTCAGCGATGGTATACGTCTATCTCTTAGGGATAACCCACAATAACCATTTTTTATTCTATACTTTTTACGAGAAATAATAGCTTATTTACGAAGCGATTTTCAACAATATTATATTCATCCTTAACCAATTAAGTACCTGAAATACATTGTGTATTTAATACAGATCAATTTGGCCCTTTAAAGCATGTAATCTAAATGAATATTTTCGAAGATATTACAGATTTTAAAATGCAGGGACATAGCGGTTCCGACGCTACCGGACGGCCGGCGGCGGGCCTGGCGGCGCGTGCCTATTGTAATTAGGTATAAGAAGAATGTCATTGTGTATAATATAAGCCTGAGAACTAAAAATATAGTCTACACTTCAGCTCTACACCGAAGCGAAGCGAGGGTGGGGCCACTAGTAATATTATATTATATTATTTTATATGCTAGGTACGCAAAAGTTCAAAATGTATAAAATATTCAATTTTGTTTTATCTACTTCCAAACAAGTTAGTTCCATAACTATTACAATTGCAAACCAAACGAACTATCTGCTTGCCATCGAGGTCAATTTCATTAATTACAAGTATAATTAGATAAAAAAAAAATATCAGTACTCACCCTCTGACGGAATTCACATGAGCCACGTACAAAGTTTCATTGATGAATCTCACTTTTGTACTATACGATGCGACCAGCTGAAAAATAGCTTTATTTATTTCTGCCAATAAATTACACGTCACTAACGAGATTGGATTGCGGATTTAGACAAACAGCGGACGCGTAAGCGAACAGTATCTTTATAACACCCAATGTATAAACATCATTACCATGGCCACAGTACAACTCCACTTTTAGGAATTATTAGCGGCCGACCGTGACTTGGTACGCGTGGGGTTAGTTAGAAATAAAGATTCACTGCTCGTTCCCCGTAGGTGATATCGTGATAATATGTAGCCTATATGTTGACCCAACTTCTTTTTAATATTCGTGCCAAAGGATGATGGGCAAAAATCTATGGAACTTGGTATCCGTTCCAATAGAGATGTGTTACATATCATTTGAAAGGTCTACTTGAATACAATAATGTCTACTATGGCGCTTGCCCTGATACGTTGTCGAAACAGAGTTATATAATAAATAATAAAAAACGGTTTTTCCTTTTTAAATTGTTATACATTTAAGAATTTACATTATTTTAGCAGTGTTGTAAGTATTAACAATAGGCATTAGGTTAGAGAGTTGATATCTGCGATAGTTTAAAATAAAAATAGTGCAGATACCAGTGGCCTTCCGACTTAGTAACAATACAACCTCCTGAGAACTATTTAATGTTTATCTTTAACGAGAACGTTAATAAAAGAAAATGGTAAAAAAACATAATAAAAAAAACAATAACTAGCTTGTTATCTTGAACGGTAAACATAGGTGTATATAGATATATAGAGTGGGGGGCGAGTGGGCCGTGCCCACTCCAGGACCGTCTTGTGCCCACCCCAGGATGTTGGACTACCGATTCGAAATTCTATAATACTAATCACTAACTTTAGATGACTCTTCAGTGTCAGCCCCCCCCCCCCTGAAAAATAACCCTAGATTTTTTTAATAAGGATGTCATTTAGGAACAGTGCAGGAGCGACGAATCCGGCGTGCCTGGCATAGCCTAGGTACCATATAATTGATAATATGTGAGCACAAGTTCCTATGGTACGTCTACCGGTTAGACATGTACAATAATGTTGAATTATAATATTATAATTATTATTCGGTAAGTATAATAATGTAGTAATAATGGTAATAACGGTTCCGGCAAAAATGGTTCTGGTATTTTCTGGAAAAAATAATAACGGACAACAAATATCAGAATGCCGGCATAGTAACTAATATTCTACATGAAAAGAGGTATTCAATGATATATCACTCATCGCTATTGATACCAAACACCAATTGGATACCAAAATGCCCGTCCTCCTTTGAAGTAAATCCATGCAGTACTTTTTGAGTTTATCCCGGATATACATACAAACAGACAAAAATTCTAAAAACTATATTACTGGCTTTGGTATCGATTGTAGATCACACCCCAAGTATTCTTTTAAAAAAATATTCTTGACTTTCCTACCATTTTATTATCTGTATAGATTAGGCCTTCAATGATTTCGACTCTGGCACGATTTTCCGATCTAAAATTAAATTTGACAACAGTGTATCCTTGTCATTCTCTATACAGAATGAAAAGGAGAGAATGATGTTAAATTTAGTTTTATGTTTACAGAATCATGCCATTATCGTAGTGTGAAAAGAGAAGTAAATCATGTACGATGACATCCCTGGCCGAGTGGTTTGTACGCCGGGTTTCACGGCCGACTCGAGAGGTCCCGGGTTCGCATCCCGGTGGGGGCGGATGTTTGTATGATGAATACGAGCATCTGTACTCCAGTCATGGATGTTTAATATATATATCTATATAAATGTACAGTATATATGTACAGTATATGTATTCTATCCGTTACCCTAACTAGTATTCCATATCACAAGCCTTATAGTGCTTACTTTGGGGCTAGGCTTATTGGTGTGTGTTGGAAATATGTATATTTTTTTATGTACTTATTCTAGGTATGATGGGTGATTATTAACCGTAAAGTGTTCCAGTAGTGGGAAAGGGGGATGGTTTGATGGTAAGCACAGGATGCAGTAATCCCGGTCTGGGAACAACTCGTAAGCTGCTTCTAGCATGTCGAAACCATACCTAAACAAAATTAGAAAAAAGAAAGAAAATGATTTTTATTAAACCCTATTACTTATACACTAAACATCGTAAAAAAGAAGGTATATAAAATGACAATAATATTAACAAAATCATAGCAAACTATTAAATACATCTACCACTTATATCGTATCGTAAGTATCAAAAACAACATCGTATTTTTCTATATAAACATTTTTTCCCCTTTTAGCGAGGTAGATAAGAGAAAACATTAAAAAAAATATATAAAAAACCTTTCGTCGTAATCCTGGTGTATGGCAAACAATTCCAGCAGAAACGCGTTGGATGGGCCCGAGAAACGATGCGGCTCGGGCAATTTGGAGGGTTGCTTAGCCGCCTGAACAGTCGTCGCCACTACTCGGTGGAAACAAATGAGGAAATGAAAAATTTGCCCATTACGTAAGTTTCAGCTCTATGAACTCTTTCCATACAAAGTATAAGAAGAGACAAATTGTAGTGTTATCCAAGAATTGAAAAATCGGTTTATACGAATAATAAGTTTGAACTTCATAATTAGTACGGGAGGGACGTTAGGTAAGCTACCGAGAGAAACGAGCTAGGCTACGGAAAGACGTAAGCTAGACTACAAAGACATAAGCTAGTCTACGGAGAGACGTAAGCTAGGCTACGGGCAGGCGTAAGCTCGGCTAAGGAAAGATGTAAGCTAGGCTACGGAGAGATGTAAGTTAGGCTACGGGGAGACGTAAACTAGGCTACGGAAAGACGTATGCTATGCTACGGAGAGACGTATGCTAGGCTACGGAGAGACGTAAGCTAGGCTACGGAGATGTAAGTTAGGCTACGGGGAGACGTAAGCTAGGCTACGGAAAGACGTATGCTATGCTACGGAGAGACGTATGCTAGGCTACGGAGAGACGTAAGCTAGGCTACGGGTAGACGTCAGCAAGGCTACGGAGAGACGTAATCTAGGCTATGGAAAGGCGTAAGCTAGGCTACGGAGAGACGTAGCTTGGTTACGGAGAGACGTAGCTTGCCTAGGGAGAGACGTATCTTGGCTACGGAGAGACATGAAGTAGGCTACGGAGAGACGTAAGCTAGGCTACAGGGAGACGTATGCTAGGCTACGGAGAGAAGTATGCTAGGCTACGGAGAGACGGAAGCTAGGCTACGAGGAGACATAAGCTAGAGTACTCTCCGTAGCCTAGTTTACGCCTCTACGCAACACATTGATCACGCACGTTTGAGAGCTTACACGAGGCGGTGCGATTACGTTACCATTCCGATTAGTGTGCGTTACAGTAGGGAGTTTCATACAAAGAATACTGAATGGCCCGAGTTGATATGCTGCTTCGGCCGTAACTCACCCGCTCGTTTTTCTTTCCTGGTAGGTTTATCCTCTGCAGGTACTTCTTTATGTTTCGCTGTTTCATCTAATATTTTCATGATGCTATCGGCCAACCTTAATACAAAATATTTAATGTTGATATTGAAGGGAAAAACCTGACGCGGTTTTTTCTACTTATTCTTCAGGTCAACATGGCAAAGAAGAACCACCACTTTGTATGGGGGGTTGGTACAGATATGAAGTTCTTTATATTTTATATTATTTTACATAGCATAATGTTAATGTAGACTGCCAGTCTTTAATTGAATTCGATAGCTAGTTGGGTTCATGAGATATTTCTATTTGATTTTAATAAAAAAATATTTAATATATAAAATTCTCGTGTCACAGTGTGCGTAATTGAACTACTACTCCGAAACGGCTCGACCGATTTTCGTGAAATTTTATATGCATGTTAAAACGTGGGTGAAAGAATATTAATATTATTAATGTTATTTTTATCGTTTTTCTTCCAAGGATACGGCATATGTTTATACAATTCGATTATGTTACTCATAACTTCTTGTTCTCTTACCGCCAATATTGCGCGCACTTGCGTAATTCATAATCGTAAACAAAATAACGTCCTCACACAGTGATGCTTGCGGTCCGTCTAAAGCATCTAAACCCTATCACACGTTCGTAAATCGCTTTCTTATTAGGATACTAAATGATTTAGTCAGTCAGAAGCCACACTTCTTCCGATTTAGGATGCTAATTAGGACCCTAACTTCCTAAATGCTATTTCACTTGACTGAATTAATTACTGAATGATTTAGAACGTCTGAATTTAGTCAGGTGGATTACGCGGAAAACATAGCAGAAACTAACCCCCTTCCCAAACCGTCATAGGTGAGTATTTTCGGCACCTTCAATAGATCAGTATCAATATTGATGATATCAAATTCGAGTTCCTCCTCGTCTTCATCGAACATATCAAGGTAAGATTGATCTTCTACGACTTGCTTCACGAGCGTCCGAGGTGGGGATAATGATTCCTTGTTGACGATCATCGACGTCGGATTGTCCGTACCGAAGTCCATAAAGTCATCCGCGTTGATAGGATAGTTTTCCTGAAAGTTAATTTGCATAGTATGTGGTTCTTATTCTAAATTCTTAAACATTATAGGAGCTCGGTGGTGCGTTCGGCTGCGATCGTTGAAGTTAAGCAACTTTCGCAGTGGTTGGTTATTGGATGGGTGACCAAAAATCTTCTATCTCGTGTTCCTCCGTGGTTCGGAAGGCACATTAAGCCGTTGGTCCCGGCTGCATCTGCAGTCATTAGCACCCGCCAATCCGCTATTCCATACATAGGGAAGGCCTGTGCCGTGTGCTGTAGGTTGATGATGATGAAAACATTGGAACCACGCAGCGCCATGGATTGGTGCATCAACCTTACCGGACATACCATCGTCACCTTACCTTATATCCCTACTTGGGTAGTAGCATTCGTCAATACGTATTTGGGTCAAAAATCGTTGATAAAATCGCAAGTAAGTGCTTATTCCTTGTTTATAGCAATTTAAATCTTCATTATTCTGTGGCACATACTTGCCTACTCTAAATTATTGTTTATCCGTAGCCTCTTGTCCGACAATGAAGTAGTACTCAAATAAAAATATATATAATAGTGAGTAGGCATAACACGTAAAAAAATAATACTCACCACATAGCCTTTTTTAAACTTCACCTCCTGCATCCGCTTCACGCATTGTTCTATGTGCATTGACATCTGGGCCATTCGATCCATTGACATAACATTGGTCAAGCTAAACAATAAGAGTTATATTATTAAAAACTATATAAAAAAAAATTAAGAAAATTTTGGTCCAGGTTTCAGGCGGGATTTGAAACGATCGAAAAAAAATCGTATACACTCGTTGGCATTGAATCCGGGTCATTTAAATAATCCTAAAAATCTTACTAACTAAGAATGCTAGCTTAATGAAATAAATTCTAATTAATTGACAGTTAAATACTCCTTAAATGAAAGTAATAAAATTTATGAGTCACCGCATTTTATTTACATAAAAATACATAAAGAAACAAACTGTCTGATCTCGCCTTGAAACAAAAATAGCAATAGCAATTCTTAAACAACATTTGTGGTTTGTGAGATTTTTAGGATTTTTTATGTGACCCGGATTCATTGCTCTCGAGTGAAGATATCCAGCAGTTACGAGCTAGCCACGGGAAAGCGCGGGCGCATCGAGCGAAATGCTAACTCATAAATCATTTTGTTAACAAAATGTAAACTACTTACTACACAACGGCGCGCGGGCGCGTAATGCAACAGATACCTAAAACGCTCGTCGCGTTGGGCTGGTCGAACTGTCCCGTAGCCAGTCCGTTTGATGCTTAAAAAATATATAAACTTTAAAATTGTTGATTATAGGGGTGCAAATGGATTGGCAACGGATTTCAGTCTCAATTTCGAAGGCCCCTGACTTAGCAGCCACTTGCCTTTTGTTTTGTGTTCGTGCGGTGAGTCGCCAGAACTCTACGGAGTATGGTCGTTTAAACTGATAAAATCTATATGGCATACGAATTGTGGTCTTCACTCCAGAAACTCCTCATTGGTGTGAAATATGAGTTTTAAAAATATCTATTTATTTATCAGTTTAACCTCAAGTAAGAGGCCATGTCCCGCGTCGACGGGCAAGTTCCCAACTGCCTGTAGATGTCACACCCAGAGTGCCGCAGCCCCCCAAACGGAGACAGGTCAAAGCTCTCTTCGAGCGACTCGAAGTTGATCTGCGTGTTGAGGCACATCACGCCCACGGCCAACTCCTTGTGCTATAAATTTAATTAATGGGAACAAGATATGGGTAGGGCAAAGGTAAAGTGAATTCAACGCTCGAATTGGAAGGCCCTTCTGGAGAGCTTACCTCCATTTTACAGAAAATGAGAAGACTATAGTGGAATATCAGTATTCACCCCGGCAAACTCTTGAGCATCGACCATAGACAGACATGGAAGTCTGCGCAATAGCAAGTTTACTTGCCTGTGGTTCTACTCAAGAAGTTTGTCCATACCTTTGGGTGGTGTTCTGTTTCTGTCAGTAAGGCATTTCACGTTATTACATTAAATGTTACTTACATTAATTATTATTAATAAACGAGGAATAAGCTTTAACTATTGAACGTAATGTTTTGTAAATATCTCTCAAACCACTTCGTAGCTAAGACAAGCTTCAGCCAATTAATATCCCCACAGCTGGGGCGCAGCTCTTTCTTATGAATGGTATACGGGGAATGGCTACCCATAACGCCGGTCCAGTGAGTGCTATCAACTGCAGTAGCAGCCGGGACCAAAAGTTTGTCGTAACTTCCTAAGCACGAAAGATCTCAAGTGATAAATTCTTAGATTCTTAGGGCGCTTGTTAACGACACGATTTCTACTCGTGTTTAGGCACGGTATTAAACCGTATCTAATACGTCCGATCGTCAGTTAAATATGGGATACTGGCAAGGCCGGAGCGTGAGTTGAGGGGGCTCTGGGCCCATACTACTTAGGCCCACCTAATTACTCAAAGTATAGAAACAAATGAGACAGTAAATATTTAATTTATATTATAATATATTATGCCTTAGTGTTATACAACCGTAAATAAATATATAACCTTTCTGCACTTTCCTTTAGCACTTTAATTTGCCCCTCACATTCTAGGTGCTTAGTTATATCAACATTTATGGACAAAACGGATTAATGGTTAAGTCGTGAGTTTGACATCGTCATTCTGTATTTATTCTCTATATATGCCATTCTGGAAAAGGAGCGCTCGGCTTCACAGCTTATATATATTTTTAACATTGTATAAGCAGTTCGGGAATACGTCAACAAGCTTCTTTTGATAAATAATTGTAAAAATGTCTACGCAAGACGAGTAGGGTAGTTCTGTCAATTGAAACAAATAAGTTTTTAATTGGATGCATTCATTAACTAAATATTCATCCACATCATCGCGATAATAGTTAATAACCTTACGTGCGTTTTTTAAATCAATGTGTTGCATGTGTTTTTCAAAATCGACGGGGAAATCCCCGTCCCGTTTAATAGAGTTGCATACCGGGAGTTCAGGGTTGCCAACCCGTAAGCGGCCTTTACACATTCAATCTGGATCACGATCCGCTACATTCCTCCAAAACAAGACTATTTCTTTCTACCTTAAAGTTATATATAATAAAAATACAAAATAAAAATGATAAATAATGATACTTATAAATAATTCTAGCAAGATAGAAAGAGAGAGAGAGTCTGGGAGGGAAACAGCGGAGTAGGATTGAGATAAATGTGTAATGGCAGCGGAACATTTTAACGGTCAGTTCGAAGTACCAACACCTAAACGTAGACTTGAATTAAATAAATTGAATGGGTTTGTTTAATCGCAGGATTCACAGGGCAGCAAAATGTACGATCTGTTTAATTTAATAAAATTATGGGTTCTTTCGGATTATCGTCTATTTTTGACTTTGACTTGACTTAGCGGGGGGCCCTGAATCCACGGGGCCCTGTGCTGAAGCACAATAAGTCATATGTTAGATCCGGCTCTGAACACTGGAGGATTGTTAATGACACTGGCACGGTGTTAACGTTTTGGGGTCGGAAACACACAGATCATGCTCTTGAACAAGCTTTGCCGTCTCCAACCCGGGCAAAAATCATATGTCGTTATCAAGCGCCCTTAGTCATTGGCGAATATGAAATTTTAGAGAATAGAGGTTTACGTCCATTTTTCGCTGTTACCTCGCAGACCAGTAACACTCTCTCGGACTCCGGGTGTCGTGATATGAGCTCGCTAATGTAAAACTCCCCGTAAATCTTTTGTAAACGCGGCGTCTGTCTTTCTAGTATCGGCACTATGTCGTCGTTATCTTCCTCTCTGTATAGTGAAAAATCATTATGAGAGTATAATAATTGTTCTATCAAAATCGATACGAGAGTGACTTCTCATGCTCATTCATGATCAAATTGGAGCCGCCTTGTTACAAAACAAAGACTATGTTGTACTTTGAGGTGGTTTTTTTCATAGATAGTAAAATTCTCTAATAATAGCTTAAGCAATTTAGACGTGACAAAAATTTTAACATAATTACAAATCAAGGAGTTTCATGTCAACAAACCAGTTTGCCCAAAGTCCTTTCGACGGTAAACAGAATACTTAAATTGCACTGAGTAAAATAAGAGGTGACCCAATGATCTAGTGAAAGTCGCGGGAAGCCGCTGGCTGTACGAAAAATAGCACAGGAGTGTGGAGATACTACCTTTAGCGCAGTTTGATGTAACTGGAGATTATCATGGCAACTTTTACGGTTAGAGGTAAACTTTCGAAAAGTAAGGGGCAGATTATCCTGCCTTCCTTCGATACCCCTTTAAATTAACTTATGCGAATACGTCACACGATACTAACACAGCCCTCCTGATGCGCAGCCGCGGACTGACTTCATTGCGTTCAGCGACGCACAACGCTGGTAACATTTCACCGGGCACTCCCTTTTCAACTGCCTGCAGTCGCTTGAAAGACCCTTCGGCTCGCGACTGACCCGGTACTAGCACTGGCGCCCAAAAATTAATACATACTTTAGAAGTTATATTTTTCATTTTAAGCATTCAACTGCTAGATGTATAAATCTAACGAAAATTTTACAAAATAAATCACGAGGTCCAGGCATCACGCGGGACTCGAACCTAACCCCTTTCTTCTAGTAAAATTTTCTTTAGATTTACACATCTAGTAGTTGAATGCTTAAGTTAAAAAAAAATATAAAAACAATTGCTATTTCTTCATTTACATGTTTAATACTTGTAAAGGTATTCATTTGACATTGTGGGTTACCTACAATGCAAAACCCTGCCCTGCAATGAAATAGGCTGCAAGTCTAAGAAATACTAGAAATAATTCGCCAGCGACAATAAGGGCTACGGTAGCATAATGGTTAGTGCATCCGCCCTGATTGGGCTTTAGGTTCTTGGCCCTAGGGTAAATACACCCCTGATCATCAGACGTATTTTTGTCTCATCATGAATAAAGAGCTACCTATATCTTTTCTAATAAGTATTTATTAAGTATTGCAGTTGTTATTCTAATACAGAAACATACGTGGCTGGGATCGGACCGTTCTAATCATTGCAATGAACTGTAGGTATGGATCGTGCATGAACATTGATTTCAGGAGGCTGTCCACAAGCTCGCGTGCGTACAAGGGCTTCCAACAAAGCAGATGTATGAACAGCGTGTTACGAGCCCTCATCTCTATAGCTCTGTAAAGTACAACAACATCAGATATGAAAAATACATACTTTTACATTTATAATATTAATGGGACAAATTGCTTCATTTTTATACAAAAAAATGTAGTTATAGAAATTCAAAATATACTTGTATTTAGTCCAGAAGTAATACTCCCAGGCGGTTGGGTGCACCGAAGGCAGAAGAGGATGATCTTTAGCTGCCAGAAAACCCACAACATCGTCGTTGGCATCAAGTTGACAAATTGACAAAATACAGTTCTCTCTGGAAAATAACAATGGACGTTCTTATAAAATCAAAATAAGTATAGCCTACGCAATTTTTTTTACTATTTCTGCAAATCTGCACTACATCTTTTTGGTCAGACAGACCCCGTGACCAGACTTAATTTTCTTGTCCCAATGGTTTGACCCTGATTGTTTCATCTCTTAATCTCACTCTCCTCCTATGCACTTTTTATTTCTTTCTATTCCGGGTCTCCTCTTCTTCCTTCCTTGACTCACCGTTATTATTAGAGCGTCATCTCCACTTTCTCTCTTTACCCACCCTCCCGACCACTCTTCCCTGGCTGCATCTCGAAACATTCTCAGATTCAGATGGGCTCATTACAATCCTACTTACAAACTTTATATATCATTCATTATAGATTACCAAAAAAAAACTTTTTGCGTTGGGAAGCTAACAATGAAGCGTTTCAACTATCCTATCCTGCGTTACAAAGCTTTCATTTTTCTGGTGTGAAAATGGATATAAGGTTGTAGTTCTGAGAAAACGCACAAAACATGTAAATAGTATTGCATGAGCACCACAAATATGGTACTTTGCACATCTCTGAATAGGGGCGTATTTCCCTATGGCCAAGAGGGCCATGGCCCGCTCCGCCAGACTAGCTGCTATGGGCGGCAGAAACTATACTATACAGTGGCGAATGCCTTCACGAACTATATTTTGATTCGATTTGCTAATTCATGGAGAGGTGCAAATAGGAAATGGTCCGAGGAGCCAGATTTTAAAATACGCGACGCCACTGTCTGAATGTGGAATGGAAAACTGACGGACAGACCGAATTAGCGTCCAACCAGATAACTGAACAGCTATTGACCTTAAACATTAAGTAAAAAGCGAAAAACTTACATCAAATAAATTACATCATTCAAATCGGAGACGCGAAAATTAGCAGCGATGGACTCGTTCACCAGATCCAACACAACAGGAGCGTCTTCTACGCAGGCGAGCCGTATGCGACCCAACGCTGGACAAGGGAGTATTCTCGATACCATGGTATAGTAAAGAATAACTAGGTAAATACTCGAACTAAACTCCCCTTTTTCTCGTCCTTCTTCCTTTGATATGGTTGAGATTGAGTATTAATGGATTTCGCCAGTATTCCCGAATTGTTTTCGTTTCTTGGATTTTTTCTATAGTCAGTTTGAAAAAAAAGGAAACGTCAAAATTCTGAAATGACGTTAAGAGTAATCTTGTTCCGAGAGTATTCCTTTTATTTACTGCAACCATAGTGGTATAAGAACCAAGTAAAGTAAGTAGGGAAGATATACACTACTACAAGTGGAAGTATCCCTCTAATAGAAAGAGAAAGAAGATGAGATACTGCTAGCTTTCTCTCTCTAATCGCGCATGCGCATTGGCAACCGTAAGCATCTTACTTGGACCAACTATTGGACACGACTGCGTATGAGTCAAAAGAGAGAGATAGAGATAGCTAGCGGTCTCTCATCTTCTTTCTGTTTCTACTAGACGGATATTTTTAGAGCCGCCTTCCCCACTCTATTCATATACCTCTATGACTGCAACTCCGTTCAGCCGTTTTTGGGTGATTGATTAACAAAAATTCAAAATTTGACATCTATATTATCAGCCAATCGCCTAAGGGTATGGCTATGGCTACCGCTATCGATTTCAGTTTGTTATTTCTGACCACCGAAGATTTTCAAACAATTCGTACTCGTTTTCTTTAATATTGTATGTCAGTAGGGATATATGGAACAGGGGGTTTAAACCAATGCAAAAGAAAAAATAGCGCAAGACATTTGAAAACCTACGACGCACGGTCAGAAAAAAACAAAATGAAATCGTAAGCGATAGCAATACCGTTAGGCGATTGGCCCCCTTGTATATATTATCAAACTCCTAAGTAGATGGACAAATACAATGAAATTTTGCGTTCATTGAAATAGGTTCCTAGTGGTTCCTATATGGTTCAGTTCAGATTCGGTAGATAGCGCTGTAGTCGGGCTCTACGATTATTTCCATAATTTTAGAAAGCAGGACAACGCGATTCTAATACTCATATTAGAGTATTCATCTCGCCCATCCTTCCCCTACCATTCTAGTAGTCCGCAAAAAGTACCGACAATTATTTGGCTGCAATCTTTTGGATAAACAAGGATAGGTACTCCCGTAGAACATTACAATTCACGCGGGTCAAAATGTAGGTATATAAAAAAACAAGGTTTACATTCTTATCTTTATTTATTATTGTTTAAATCAAAACTCACAGAATTTCTGTTGAAATAATAGTTGCACTGCCAGATTCTATGGCATCAACTTTGTAGGTACTGTTTGAGCTTCACTTAATTAAATATAAAAAAAACTTCATTAACTGATTACTATCCTTAATATACAGAACACAATAAAATCTAATAGAAAATAATTTAATTCTGTAACAATATTCCTACTAGCTCTAATTAGCATCAATAAATAAGGTGACTTCTCATTATGTGGATCTCTTTGGGAGTGATTAGTTTTTATGCCACATGAATACACTATGATAAGATTTGAAAAAGGGTAATTTATTACAAGTAATTGACACAGAAAAAAGCGCTCTTTGAAATTATCAAAATGATTAACTTTTATTTTTGAGTATATATTAAGTAGATATTTAATATTGTAAAGAATGAAACACAATAAAATTTAAACGATTATCGTATAATTATATAATTCATAACGCTCGTATTTATTTTGCGTAATACAGTGTTTAATCGCTTTAATTTGTGTCAATTATACGTAACGAACATCATTTTTTAAATTACAAAACGGAATTTGATATTGATTTTTAATTTCGTTACCTAAAATTAATTTTACTAGATGCGCTTTATTTATTAAAGACATAAAAATATTTGCGTTTTGGTTGTAGAATATCATTTAGATATCTCATACCATGACTTATAATATAAATCAATTCATTACTAAAGTTAATATATTAAAACCCATGACCCGATTACCTTAAAATAAACAAACCAGCGTGAATAAGTTTGTGTTGCCTCATTGCATAAATCATTTTTTACGACAAATCTATACAAACACCAAACTTTTTTCACTTGCTCACGTCAATTTTAGGCGGATGTCGATATTTATCCTGATCATTTGAGTGCGTCCTTTTTATTTTATATGCGATAGTTGATAATGAATGACCAAATCTACGACTATATTTTGGTCAATTTATCATTTTTTATAGCTAGCTATGAAGCTTTCTATACTGTATGTATGGGACAAAATGAAATAGCTTCCTTCCAGAATCGCGCTACATAACTAAAGTCGACATCCTTTCTTGGGAGTCTATTCGATGTTTAAAATCAATTAAGGACAAGAACGCACTTGGTACTATCGCAAGTTTACAAACATTTTAAACTAAACTATCATAAGAATTTCACTGAAATTATACTAAGCAGTTATTTACAATTTTTTTCATGTTAATGAGTACAACAAAAACAAAATGTATGAACATTTCACTTATTCACAAACTCAAAATTTATGACGGTAACACCTCTTCGGTTCAATATTCATCACAAAACTACACTCTATTTAGTGATGTACACAGTATTAAAACTAGTAGAAAAATTATGCTAAAAATCATTATGTAAAATGCTTCACGCTAAACTAAACGATATTAGTCCCTATACACATGTTATAAGTATTAGTGATACAAACACAATACACAAAACTATACGACCGTAACTATTGCTTTCATCTATATTGAATTGGGATGTCTTTTGTGAGTATAAAAATATCATTATTAATATGTATTATTTTTATATTATCATTCTGTTCTAAGATTTAGAATCATTATCATTATATCATGTCACGTGTCCACTCGCATGTGCGAAGCGAACGCAGCTTTATTTTAACTATGCTAGAACATAAAAACACTATGTTTTTCAATCGATTTAATAAAAATTCCAACTATCATAAATGCGCCTTACCACAAGTATCGATTGATAAAAATATAATTAAAGGTAATTCATTTTAATTTTTAAACTAGAAGTAAAATGGACATAATTCAAAGATTGATAGTATACTTATCAAGATAAAACATTAGAAGTCTACACGAAACATTCTTAGCCACTAAGTATTTTTCTTATGATCCACTGTTAGTTATTATATAAAACTATTCCGAAATAACACCATGTATTGTTCAATACATTGAATACATATTAATATATTTGAATAGTTTATAGTTTAGCATGCGAGTATATAGGAAGTTAAATTACTTAAGGCAAGTGCTTATTATTATATTAACATTTTATTTAGACCATCGCACGACGCCAAATAAATTTTTGAAGAGATCATAACCAAAACATCAATACTATCGGCAAAAGAGCGCCGCTCTCAGCTTTTCGATACTACACACGAGAAAGAGATGCGCTTTAGGAAATCATGTCTATAATAATATAATTTCTTCCTAAAGCGCAATGACGATGACTCACTTACATCTAAGAAATGTATCTTAACTAATATATACAAATAGGTCCGTAATATGTCTCCTAAAGCGTATACTGACATTTTCTCTCAAAATCACACCGCATAATTGTACTGAGACATAAAGCATTCAATACTCGATTGCTATAAAAAAATTACATACATGCACCATTTATTTTAATTTCCTTTCGTAATGCTATTATTTTAATATTGCATTTGTCAATATGGCCAGCTGGTTCCGGCAACCTGGCTTGGCGATGCGTTGACATAATACCGGCACTTCACTTGGCTATTTGTGTTTGCTATTCGTAAACTTGACACCATTCTTTCTTTTTCATTCCTTATGTAGCATGATAAGGACAGACTGTTGTCATGATTACAAATAACAAATACGAATAGCCAAGTGAAGTGCCGGCGTGACTTCATTACAAATACGATAAATACATTGCTTATTATCATAAGTCCGCCTTAAGCGTTTAAAGTACACTTGTTACGTGAAAATGATTCAGTCATGTATAAATTAAATAAAAGCGTGTAAGACTATTTGTGCAAGTTAGAAAAAAAATACTAGTATATTATAATAATTATAGTATACATTGTGAATAGTTTGAGACACAAAGGTATTTTAAAAAATTGGGTTTTATTTAGGCTTCCGTCAAAGAAATAAAAGATTTATAGTGAATTCTGGTAACACTGTTATTCAAAATCAATATACCAGATAGAATTTGAATTGTTAATCATTACTTACTTATATTTATTATAATTTATCACCTTAAATGCAACTATCAGCAAAAAATAGATTAATAAAGCGGTTGGAACTGTAAGGTTACAAGATTTCACAACAGTCCTAAATGAAAAATAATAATAAGTTTCGAGTACAGTTTAATTTTTTTTCGAGTTTTACTTTCACAGAAAACCATACAGTACCATTAGCATGAACCACTATCGAATTCGTATAATTGAATTCGATCTATTTTATACGTCAAATGTGTACTGATTTTTCATTCTCGTTACGTCCGCTGTGGCGCTGGTGTTCAAGTTTCCATACAAAATTTGACAGTGACATATCGCACTCGCAAACTATTCGAACTCGATATTGGTTCGTGCTAAGGGTACATACAGATTGGTTTTAAACTGTTATCTTATTTGTCGTGTACAAGTTAGTATTACGTTTGTATAAATAGTTTAATAAATAAACGAGACGCGTAATGTTGTCAAATGAATACATTGCTCATATTAATAAAGAATTAATCATAGCAGAATTCGAAACTAACAGAGTGGACAAATTGGGGCTGAATTTATTACAGTTTTACAATGTTAAGTAGTTAAGTAATCAACAAAATTGTAATCTAAGTGACTTCAAACTATTAATCGATTCATCATTTACACGTCCTGAGCCACTTACAATTTTGATTTCTCAACTAATAATACGTGTAAACAAACTATTAGTGTTACACGGACGTACTGAACAGATCGGTGGCGTGTATTTTATAGGGACAAAATACTGCATAAGGAAGGTATGCACTTTTTTAATTTTGACAGATAATGTGGGCCATTCGACACTAGCGTCTCTAGAGGTAACAATTGTCAGTTTTCTTCCCCATCAGCCTTAGCACAAATGTTTGTGATTGCAGCCTAATCTGTGTAGGTGGCGATCGAGTTTGTGTTTGAATTAGTGGTTATAATACAGCCCGTTTAGTGTCAGTACGGCTACGTAGTTAGAATGGGGCCTGGCACGAATATTTGTGATCGCAGTGTAGGCGGTACGTGGTAGTGTGGTGTGTGCGCGGTGCTCACGGTTACTTGTTGGGATTGTGTTTGCGTTAGCGGTTGTATTACAGTCCGTTTAGTGTCAGTATTGCTACGTACTTTGAATGGGGCCTAGCACGAATGTTTGTGTATGAAATGTAGGCGTAGTTATGGCAGCAAGGTAGTGGGTGTGTGCGCGGTGCTCGCTGTTACTTGTTGGGACTGTTTTTGGGTTAGCGGTTGTATTACAGTCCGTTTAGTGTCAGTATGGCTACGTAGTTTGAATGGGGCCTAGCACGAATGTTTGTGGTCGCAGTGTAGGCGGTGTAATGGCTACGTGGTAGTGTGGTGTGTGCGCGGTGCTCGCGGTCACTTGTTGGGTTTGTGTTTGGGCGGGGTGGTGGGGGGGCCGCCTTGTTCCGCGGGCGCGCCTAGAGATACCCCCTCGCTGTCCACCTCGGGCTAAAATTAATGATTCCTTCGTAAATATTGACTCCTCCTTTTCATCATTATCATCATCATCACCATCAGCCTAATAATTTCCCCACTGCTGAGGCAAAGGCCTTCCCTATGAATGGAATAAGGAGATTGGGCGCTGACCTACCACTCGGGCGCAGTGCGGATTGATGGGTGCAAACGACTGCAGATGCAGCCGGGACCAACGGCTTAACGTACCTTCCGGAGCACGGAGGAGCTCGAGATAGTAAATTTTGGTCACCCATCCAATGACCGACCTCTGCGAAAGTTGCTTAACTTCAACGATCGCAGCCGAACGCGCTAACCACTTGCGCCATCGAGCTCCTCCTGTCCTCTACTCCGTTTTTAACTAATGAAAGTTTTACTAGAAAAAATTCCACGCACAGCAGGCAGCAGTCGGCTCGAACCCTTTTCTAGTAAAATTTTCTTTTTATGTAAATATCTAGCAGCCAAATGCTTAAAAGATAAAAATGTAATCCTTTTTTTAAGTGAAAAAGATGGAAGAAAGCCTTACGTCCTGGACACGGCCGCGGCGTCGAGCCAAATGCGAACTCATAGGCTTTTTCTGAGACCCAAACATGAATATTGAAATCTCCGTTTTCGTATCATCAAATTTTGTATGGAAAGAACCAGTTTGTTCTTTCCTCCGATAGGAGCGCTGCTTACCTTTCATCGAAACCTTTGCGCTGCAATACGATTTTCTGCTGTCAAAATTCGTGCTTGGGCCTCTATTAATAGACCGGGAGATGATGACACAAAATACTTGGTCATTTGTACCAGTATGGCGGTTCTTCAGGGGTCTAATTACGTAAAGGCAAAAAGGAAAATGATGGTCATAGCGCTCGCACCGGCGGCCCAATTGCGTGGGCGTTAATCGAACGCGTCGGATAAATAACGAGTGTCGAACGATTTGTTCCACAAAAATGCTTTATATTTTCAGATAGTCGAAAAAAAGAAGTAGGCGGTAGCGTAATGCCATACTTCTCGGGTGTGACTTACAGCCCGCCATACCGACGCGAATACATTAATTTAAATAAAACAATTCAACCATTTGTACCAGGCTAATTTTTGCACAGCTAATCATCGTCGAGTAGCCATTCACGAAAATCACCTTGCCATACTTTTCCGACAGTTCCCAATGGCCGCCATACCGCTGCAAAGGAGTAATTTTTTTTTTCGCCAAACGATTTGTACCAGTATTGCATTTGAATTTTTGGAAAGTATTTGGCAAAATGTGACCGTTATTATTTTTCCCATACTTCTAGTAGGGGCCATACTTGAAATACTTATTTATTTGACACGTTTTAAAAATACGACTGCAAAATACGTAAAATCATTTTTTAACATCATGACATCATTGTATTCTCGTCATTTGGATGCAATTGTACGTAAAAAAAATATTACAGATTGTAAACATGGGGCGGATGACTGTCGGACTTGAGCTAAAAGGTGAAAAAGAAAAAAAAATTTGACGATTTGTACCAGTATGGCATTTGGATTTTTGGAAATTATACGATACAATGTAACCATTATTATATTTGCCATACTTGTAGTAGAGGGAAAAAGTGGCGCCATACTGGTACAAATCGTTCGAATTACGAATAAAATCTTGGGACTTTGAAAAAATATTGTTCACATTCGCCACCTCCCACAGGTATGGCATTATCAGACTTCTATTTATGATCATACGGGGAACTGTTAAAAAAAGTTTCAGGGTGGTACAAATCGTTTGGCGAAAAAAAAAATTTTACTCCTTTGCAGCGGTATGGCGGCCATTGGGAACTGTCGGAAAAGTATGGCAAGGTGATTTTCGTGAATGGCTACTCGACGATGATTAGCTGTGCAAAAATTAGCCTGGTACAAATGGTTGAATTGTTTTATTTAAATTAATGTATTCGCGTCGGTATGGCGGGCTGTAAGTCACACCCGAGAAGTATGGCATTACGCTACCGCCTACTTCTTTTTTTCGACTATCTGAAAATATAAGCATTTTTGTGGAACAAATCGTTCGACACTCGTTATTTATCCGACGCGTTCGATTAACGCCCACGCAATTGGGCCGCCGGTGCGAGCGCTATGACCATCATTTTCCTTTTTGCCTTTACGTAATTAGACCCCTGAAGAACCGCCATACTGGTACAAATGACCAAGTATTTTGTGTCATCATCTCCCGGTCTATAACAAATGTAACTGTAACTACACAACAGCAGGCGCGTAATGTAGAGGTACAATGTGGCCAGCCCATGTAGCTCCCCTTTCATATATTTCTTACTTTTAATTATAAATGAGAAATCATGTCTGTCTGTCTGTTACCTCTTGGCCCTGAAACCGCTGAACAGATTTAAACGAATCTTGGTATTAAAATAGTTTGTGTGCCGGAAAAGGACAAAGGATAGTTTTTATCTCAAAAATCATCCTTCAAAGGTGGTGTTGGGTGAAAGTTTGTATGACAAAATACATTTTTTCACGCAGACGAAGTCGCAGGCACCCACCAGTAAAATATAAGCTCCTCTTTTGCTATAAGATTACCGATAAATAATCACGCATTTCACGTTTCATATTTTGTCGACGACATAGTAATTCATTCACAGCACAAACATCAGCGAGAGTTACCAAATATGCTACCTTGTGAAAGCATATTGAATTTTTTGCGCACAAGGTGTGATTTTCTATCCTTGTCGTTTGTATGCGACTGTGTGACAGAGAGAGCGCTTGACCAGATCATCACAATGAACAGAGTATAATATTTACATACTGATGAGCCAAATGCCGCAGTTGGTACCGCGTTTGGTTTGCGATCTGCAAGTTAAGCAACTTTCGCAATGGTCGGTCATAGGATAGGTGACCATTAAGGTATTATCGAGAGCCTCTCTCTAATTACCGATTGTAGTCGTTAATACCCTCCAATGTGTACTGGCCGATAAATTTCACATATTTGATACATAATTTAATGCAAAACTGAAATTATTGTATTAATACATCAAAAACTGACCTTTTCATCCTTGGTGGTCTGTGGTGACGACGTACCGTTATTTGCGGTCGTGATTTCAACCGGGTTCTCTGCATCTGTGCTTGTTGTACCTATGAAAGTGAAAAAATATCCATGTATGAACATTACGGGTATGCCCAAACGCTAATATAATTTCTTAGGTGAAAGCTACGACCGTAAAACACGAAATAAAAAAAAAAATGTTGCTATCATCAAAAACAATCGCTATGGGGTGTATTCCGTAATATATACCAGACTGGCCAGTGCTAATGACGTCATGAATTGACGCTATACTGGTGAATTGTTCCGAAATATATTGGCCAGTGCACTGACGTCATAAATCGACGAAATATTAAAAAGAGTGCGAATAAATAAGATTTTTTATTCACCTCATCAATTAAAAAATTGATTCCGACGAAGCAGCCTGTAAAAGCTGCGAAACGTCAATAAATAAATAAAGTTTCGTGCATTAACCCGTGAAAAACTAGTTTTATTTAATGAGTGATGTGCGTGAAAACCTAAGAAACAACTAAATTAAAAGGAGTTCTTTTTGTTCGGATGCCATTATTATTCTTTAAATAATAAAGAAATAAAATTCGAATGCATCTCACGCACGCTCGGTCATACGTCATATTCGTTTTCCCGGTAAAAATATGGTAGCATACCAGTACAAGATGGCGTCGGATTCGTGACGTCATTACCACAGGCCAGTATACTGATGTATATTTCGGAATACAACCATTACCTGCTTGTATGTGATGCGCGTTCCCGCGGTCTGCCTCGTGTTCGCGCAGCACCGCGTCGAGGTTGTAGCGGCGTCGGTACGATATGAAGAATGAACGCACATGTGCTTCCGTCTTGGTGCCTAACGTTTCCGCTATAGCTTGGAAGTCTTTACCTAATGGGAAACATAATGACGACTTCTATTGAGACTTATACAATAACGGTGAAAAATATGCAGTTTTTAGATAAAAATTGGTTAAAGAAATTAACGCACAATGAAAGTCTTCCTGGAAACGTAAAAGCAAATACATGTAACATATTGTTATATGTATTTGCTTCAAACATTTACTTTCTCTTAATTAAAATTATACAAATCTGTGAATTTACGATATCAGACATTCTTTGCCAGATCACTGTACCATTGCAGACAGAGTAAATTATGTGGACCAATTTTGAGCAATTCATCATTCAATTAATTTTATTATTAATTCGCGACACTTTTCCAAAGAATTTATGAATTATGTTAATTAGTTATCGCTGCAGCGTGTCGGAAATAATAAAAAGGAATTTTAGTTCTGGCACAAAGTGTGACATAAGTTGAGTATGTTATAGAACTTACCATATTTCCTAACCGCTGTGACGGCCATTAATAACTCTTCGTTGGTCCAACGTGAATTTATTTTCGCCGGGGGCTCGCCAGGCCTCAAGTCATCCACCCCCGCATCTCCTACTTTGCGCTTCATAGCACTCAGCTGCTGTTTATTCTGTTGCACCTATGCAGAAATATCAATTTGGTTTCGTCTATCTACTGCCACAAACTCTGATTGGCTTAGAAATCATAAAACCAGCAGTTTTAATAACTTCTATGCAGTCACATTAACGAGATAAGAACCAGGTTCTAGGAACATCCGGTTATGCATATCTGGATTATCCAATTAACTACATACGCGGGATCAATACAACCATAGATCACACAGCAATGGAAATCAATAATTGGAAAAGCATAAATTTAAATAGAAATACTTGTTATAAATTGGAAATCTAGAAACTATGTGTGCAGAATATAATTAAGGTAAATGCCTAAGCTGGAAACTACGTCTTAAATAAGTAGTTGCGATCTGCTATCACATTCTCACTTTACATCATACAGACCATCATTCACGCTTTTATCATATTTAAATCACAATATCCCAGTAGTATAAAAAAAAAGATCTAAAAAACGAAGGCGTCAACGTAATCGTGAGAATGTGGGTCAACATCGGCACTACGTAGCAACGACTCCTTACTTGTCTCTTTAGGGAAATAATTTCTCTGTCCATCGCTTTTAGCATGGCTTCGCCCTGATTGACAATGCCGGGCTGGACGGGGTCGCCGGGTTGAGGGCCGGTTGCCATGGCGACCAGATCATCGTGATTGATGTAAATGCCCCGAGGCAACCGGTGCTTGTACCGCTGCTGTTTGGCGCCCGGGCCGCGGCGCCCGGACGGCCCGCACAGCGGCCGCATCGAACCCGTGCGTCTACAATACCACGCCAACGGTCAAACAACAATCCGAGGACAATTCACGCGCAATCTCTATTTACAACATCATGCATTGCCAACTGACCTACGTTACGTACAATGTAAGGAGAAAACACTGTCTGATCGCTGGAGCGCGTGGTGGAAATAATGGCACGATTACATTTGGTCGTCAGCACGAATACGAGTGCCAAAGGAATTCGGGTAAACGATTAAGTATAACCGTATTAGGGTGGTTTTCGTTTTGGTTACCCGTCACCGTCTTCAAATATTACTGTGTAAATATTGCTTCTGGTGCCCGAATTAGAGTAATGTCTTTGGTTCACCCGAATACGGGCTAACGACCAAGTGTAATTGAGCCGTCAGACTGTTCGTATCATTTGTAACACTTATTAATAAAGTGCATCATACCTGAAATATATTTTTTTCCGGAGAACATTAGTATATTAAATGTTACTAACACTATGGAACCTAGTTTTGAAATAAATGATTCGAATTGAAATTAAGACTTTTTACCTACTTGAGCAATTAAGAAAATATCTAACATATTTCAAATCGCTTGTGTTTTTCGCTGTTCTCATCGTCCTCCACTTTATGATAGCCAAAAATTTGAAAAGATTCTACGACAATTTGTGCGTTTGAAAATAGTTTTACTTTCACTAATAAATATATCAGACAGTGTTTTACTCCCCACAGTCTTTAATTTAGAGATTAATAAGTTATTAAGTGATATATGGTATCGTTACCGACCTGGCGTGCACGAGGCATGCCTGGCACAGTTTGTGGGAGTTGTGCGGCGTGGTGTGGGAGCACAGTATGCCGCAGACGGTACACCACTTGCCCCCCGATCCCGCGCTCTCGCTGCCCAACTCGCCCTACACCCAATGTGTCATTTTATTTTACATTCCTGACTCAAGACAAACCTACGAGCGTAGGGACGAATACTAGACAGTAGACTCCTCACACACTTCTTTTAAGAAACCCATTAGAATATTAATCATATTCTGCACACATAAAGTCAGATAGTGAGATTTCCTTTAATACGGGGCTATTAAAGGAAGCATGCGGGATTGCTTTAGGATCAAAAGCAGGGAAAGGAATGGTGGAAACTTATATAAATGGTTGTCAACATGTTATGTTGTGTGTAAGTCAATTATCAACATCCGATAATTGTAACAAAAATATTTAAATAACTTGTATGAATTGTGTAGTTATTTATTCAGTTCAAAAAATATAAAATGTTCTTATTTTTTAACCAGTTTCAAATGATATGGTTGTGATGATTTTCAGCCTTGTTTGTAGATAAAAATGCAGAGCAATAAAAAAATCAAAATAAAAAGCAGTGTCAACAAGCAGCCAAATGAAAATACCTGAGATTATGATATCATCGAAATTAAACACATGAAAAAACAGCCATCAGAAGATAATTTATTATTTTGTTTTAGCCTCTATTGCATTGGAAAAATTCTTTATCACTGCAATGATCAAGATAGTGCCGTAATAGAAAGAAACAAGTAAGCCAACTCTGACCCTGTGCAAGTGGCAGAAGCTACCTCTAGATAGGTTGTCCATTTTATCACAAAGTACGTAACTGCCGCGCCCAAGCAGTCGGCTGTGATCAAAACGTGATATCTGTCATGCACACTAAAGGTGGCGTTAATGGTTGAAAAAAAGTTAGTTAAAAGTAATAATAGTTGAATAATAAATATCAGATAATTTTAATGGTTTAAAAAGCAGTTAATATTTTTATTCAAATACAATATTCTAATATTTTTCACAAGTTGATTTATTGTTAATACTTTTATTAGTTCGGTCAGTGATTGAAATTATTCATTGCGATAATTTTATCAGTCGGTTACATTTATACGAATTAAAATCAACATGAATTAAATTTATACTTTTATTTGATGTGGTTGAAAATATTTTGTTAATTTAATTCAACAGTTGATAAATATATTCAACAACACTAATGCCTACATTGCAATTACGTTTACTTGCCCCTTTAATTATATTGTTTGGGAAGATCCCTTGTACAAGGGTATAACCTTAATTGTTATACCTACTACTTTATTACATGTGTATTATTTTTTTAAAGTTCAATAAGGGGCCATTCATTTATTACGTAAGACGATTTATGGGGGAAGGGGTCGACCATGTCTTATTGTTTCTTACAAGGGGTGGGGGGCCTTGATAGTTCTTACGTAAGATCACAAAAATGCGCAAATGTTAAGATTATGCTTTGAAAAATTAAAATAATCCAAACGTGTATTATTTTGGTCCTTTAGATTCTTACGCAATAATATTAAACAAGGAAAGGGGTCAGCCGATTCTTATATTTTCTTACATAGGGGGGAGGCGTCCAAAAAAGGCAGAAATCTTCGATAAAATTCGGTCTATTTCGATAAAAATACAATTTGTGCCTACTTTCGACATGTTACTAGAAGTGAGCGTTTTAACGATAAAAAGCACAACTGCATGCTTATAAATTGATAAATAAAACAAACGCCTTTTGCTTAGTCCTGCCCGTCGTCTATTTGACCGTGCAAATTACTTGTATTAGGTTTAGATTAAAACAAAAAGGGAAGATACGGTACGCTCATACTAGCCTCAAATAAAATATGATCCGACTCAACTACATAAGTAACTCCCACACACGCACACGTCTGAATACATTCAATCGAGCGAGCGAAAAGGCGAGTCCGCTTCCGAGTCCGTACGGCTGAACTGTATTGTTATCCTTTTCTTGATAACAATATGGCGATTACGTAAAAACATTCACGACAAACCGTGATTTTTAGAAAAAATGTTTTTACAGTTTTACGAATGAAAAGTATTGCCGAGGCATTTGTTATTTGATTTTGAACAAACACAGAATATAGGCAATATTGTTATATTGAGTGCACATGCAGCGTGTTTTGAATTGTGGTCATTCACCACAATTTAAGCGGATCACTTTTGAGCCGCGAGTGCCGTATCCTCCTTTTTGTTTTAATCTAAGCTATTAAGTAATAAAGCATGCTATGACTGCCTGTCCGTCTATGTTTTACTATAAAATTACTTCGAGTTCTGTATTAAAGGAAACTAGTGCTGCTTAACGACAAAAAAGCATTCCTTGGTATTCATTTCGTTTATAAGCGTAAACGACTGTAAAAAACTAAAAAGTTAAGTCCAATACGCTTTTCAACGTCAAGAGCTGAGTACGCGTTCGTGTGCTGCATGCGCTTTCGTTACGTTTTTTAATTTACGTACTTTTTGCCTTCGCTTACATTAACTTTAGTCATCAAACATTTTCAATAGGTTTTTTGGGCGGATAAATAAACACTGTTAATAGATACTTGCATAAATATTAACAATTCTTTTTAATAATTAGATTTAATTAAGTATTTTAAGTTTTGTGTAAATAACAATTACCATAAATACCTCTTATAAAAATTCTTGTCAAGAAGTTTGAAGAGAAGTTTATTGATTATTATATAAAAAGATAAGGAATACCTTTATTTGTTTCGTGCCTTTTACACAATTATGTTAAAACTTTCATTCTGCATTAAATTAATGTTAATAAATTTAAATATATTAAATTTCAACAACAAGCATCAGCTTTATATAAATAGGGTCAGTTGTACTTTTTCATTTTAAGACTACTGCCTTATGTAAAAAATATAATAAAAATAAATAAAACAGTTTCCAAAGCGCTTCACACACACAGGATAAAAAAAAAGTTTAAACGAAAAGCTTTTTTTTACTTTACTTTTAATAAATATAAGCCGTTTTTCCCATCGCTACAAATAACTAAGACATCATTTATAGCTTAATAAAATAAAACCCTCATTATCATGTTCACTGAATTACGCGTAGTTTTAGCACCCATAATGTGATAAGTTGCATAAACGATGGAGCGCACACATACAACCAGCGCTCGTATTAAGATGACTTACTTGTTTCATTGTACTAGGGTACTGAAAACAAAATAAGCAAGATTCTCTTCTAGATAAAAACAAATTGCATAATGGATATACAAATGCCATGGAGTGCAAGAGTCCATAATGAGACAGACATCAAAACCACTGGGGAACAAGAAATTCGTAACAGGCAATAAATAGCTTTGAAATTATTCCAACATCAAAGTATGGATGACAACACACCAATTGGATAGACGTGATAGGGTGAAAGAAGACACTGTACATCAAGTTTCCACAATGTGAATAATCATTTTCGGTGAAGATGTGCACCCACCTGGGCGGGCAGAGGCCCGGCACCGCGCAGCGAGGTCCCGCTGGCCTCGGAGCCCTTTCCTCCGCGGACAATACCTCGGTGGAAAGTCCACTTCTGCCATAGCCAATACAGATCCATGACTCACAAATAACTACTAAGCACCCCATGATAAATGCTCTTCAATTATTTACAAATCTACGTTTCTAACCATTTTATACCCCCCTTTTCTATATGAAGTTTACATGCAGAGCAAATAAAGAAACATATGCAAATTACAAAGGAAACAATTTCCTATGTATGTAATAGATAATTGTTCAATATTACAAGTATAATAATTTTATTATTTAATTATCTTGTAATTGGAGAAGATTATAAACCACTCTGCATTTCTATGTACTAACAAATAAACTGCTTGTAATTAATTATCAGGCCTAAAAATATCATTGTTGGACAATCCAGATACACTACCATAAATCAAAAATATCATGTTGATGTTTGAATTTATAATCTGGGACTGCACACAATGGAACAAAATAATAAGCAAAACATATTTATAATAAGACAAACTTTACAAAGTAAGCATTATAAAATATCACCTCATCAATAAGTGAAGTACATACCTTCTCATCATTATCAGACTCCTTATCTGAACCTCCTGGTTCGGAGCCGGCTCCAGATTTGCCCGTACCAGTACCTGCTGCATTGCGACCTTCACCTACTACATCCATTAAAGAAGTACGAGCTCTGGTTTTCTTCCATGAATAATAATATTTTACCAGTGATGCTATAGATTTGTCTGGCAACTGTTGAAATATTATAAAAATAAAAACAATGATTACTACTGTTGTTTTACCAAGAAAACTACACATTTTTATTAATTTCATAAGTTAGAAGTACTAATGACCGACAAGAACCAATTGCCAACATTCCTTTCTGTAATCAATGAAAATATATTATATAAATGACCACTTAATATGGAAGCACTGAGCGCCTATAGGTCGTTGTTACCACACTTAGAGAATAGTCACCCATTCCTGTATTCATCAATCACAGAAAAAAATGTTGATTGCTGGCTCCTGTCGGTGTCATTGGTTCACGACCCTAAGTTAATAGTTTTACTTACCATTTGTCGTATCCTGTGAAAACTTTTTCCGTGGAATTGAAATGCTTGTTCAAACAGAACTTTGTCTTCAACAGTCCATTCATCAGGAAACGGTGTGAAATTTGCAAGGTCCATAGAAGCTCTGTTCAAATCATGTTTGTGCCAAAATAACATACCAAGTGCTTGTTCACCATTGTAACCATATTTTTCTTTGGCTGTTGTTATGTACTCATCCACTAAAATGACCACCAAAAATGATGCAGAAATCTTTCAATACCAGTATATTATAATAACACTGTGACAAGTCAATATATCAAACTTACACTTTAAATCAGAGATGTCTGTAGTAGGAGACCACACCAGAAGTGCACGATCTGATATAAGTTCAGGCCGCCTTTGCTCGACTGGTTCCAGCTCCGGGCACACTGCCTGATAGTCTCTACCCACTCTTATTTTCTCAGCTGCAAATGGTACTACTGCTTGGTGGTGTATTATATGGGCAGGTGATGAGATGAGGCAGCATGAAGGCGAATGATGAAAAGCACAAAAATAAAAGCATGTCAGATGGTTCTGTATGAATATTAAAATTCCCACAAAGTACCAGTGTTAACGACACACAGGGGTGATGAGTCAAGCGACTGCTTATCGATGTAGCGGGATAGTAGGGAAACCCAAGTTACGAAAGCTTTGAAAAAGGAAGTCATCAGGAACTTCTTAATGAAAATAAATTAAGTAAGCAATTAAGTTCATAGAATGAGTTATACCATTTTCATCTTCAGAACTGGAATCAGGACTTCCATGGCCATTGGGGCTTGGCCCCCTTGATCGCTTCCCGTTTCGAACATCATTACTTCTTTCAGCCAAAACCATGATTACGCACTTAATGACACAATTTTATTATTAATAAACACGGCACACTAATTCATTTGAAATATACACTGTTATTAATATATAATTTTAAAGAAATGCGAAGCTTCGCACTAAAATTCAAACGTGATTCAAACCACCGCATCAATAATTTGACAAACCAGGCTCACTCTACTGCAATGCATTTCTTGGCGTCTGTAGTTTAGGCATTCACTTTGAGATGATAACACTGAACTTAACTTTGCTAGATCTAAATTAATAACTGCATTTAGCTATTCTTAGATAATAAAAATAGTCAAAATAAAAGACCTTTCTTTTCAAAACAAATCTTTCAATTTAAATTAAAAAATTAAATAGTTCAATTGAAGCCTTCTTAAATGTGATACTAGCAACATTTGAAGTACAGGTTATTTATGATGCATTGTGTAACATATCATTCACTAATTGATAAAGTCCAATAAAAATGCCTTCATTATTCTATTTGGCAGTAGAAAAGTTCTTAAATTATAAGCTTTGAAGATAAAGAATGACTAATCTTTCAAAATTTATCAATAAATAAATTAAAAATTAGAAACAGTTGGTTTCAACCTCAAGTTATTTTATTACGTACTAGATGACGCTAGCAGCGACTAGTTTTAATTTTGGTATGGAGTTTTGGATAATTTAAACTGTAATTAAGTCTCTTTGTGACGCTGCGCAATGTAACAAGTACAGTTACACATAGTAATGGTTATTTTTGGACCTATCTAGATGAGTAGATACCTAAAAACACCTAAGCATATTGTTTAAGAACATGCTGTATACGCATTAAAGCATTTTCTTAAACATTATTCTATGATTATAGCATCTCGCTATAATGCTAATGTGATAAAAGTTAGGAAAAAACATTAACTAACAGAGATATATATATATATTATGACTTATGTTTTGTTCATAACACTCAAATGACATTTGTCATTCAATGAACAGAGACAAAACATGGAGTAACAAATCTAAGCTTATTCTTTGTTTATTAAATAAGGGGGTTGTAGTGTAGGTAGTATAGTTCCACAGTGAATCGAATGGATCTTTTAGTCCTACCTATAAAAGGAAATTATGAGAATTCGACGCGGTTTAATTTTATTTTTATTTTATTTTATTTTATCCTGGACAACAAACAGTCATGTACAACTTATAACTCATTCATTGCAGACAAGGACGTATTTATTTACCCTAGGGTCAAACAAAAGGGCCATGGTCCAGGGGGCCATAAGTCGTATGGGCACTCATTACTGATCTATTTTTAACTTTCGCAATGGCAGGTCTTTGTATGGGTGACAAAAACGAAATATCTCGAACTCCTCCGTATTTCGGAAGGCACGTTAAGCCGTTGGCTGCATCTGCAGTTGTTAGTATCCACCAAATCACCAATCCGCACTAGGTCCGTTCGGTGGATCATACATGACCCAATCTCCGTCAACCATTTATTGCTGTATGAAAGTCCTAGTAGTGGATTTGGCTAGGCAGCTAGGTGGGTGACTAATGACGGCAGCGGTTATGAACTTAATTTAACGTTTTATTCAATAGTTATATATAATATCACACGGGCCCATAGCGGATTGTTGGGTAGGATATACACAGATATTTTTTTGAATGAAATCGAGAGATTGGACCATGAATTACTACGCGGTCCCACCATGGACTGGAGCGTACCGCTACCTACATTTCTTATAATGGTTGGAATAGGGAAATTGGACCATGTCATGACCCACCATGCTGCACCAGTATGATTTTTTTTTTGTGAAATAGGAATAGGACTCAGACTCACTACCGGCCCAGTGCGGATTGGCACGTTAGATATTTTTTTTTTAATAGTGAGATTGGGTCATGCATGGCTCGCCACATGGGCCCAGTGCGGATTAGTGACCAAATGAGCGTTCCATACAAGAAACTCATGTTTGCTTTTGCTATGTTTAAAAACAGGTCAACTTATCGGCCAGCGAAGATTGTGGAAAGAAAATCCCTCACCCGAGTTAATAATTTGAAAGAACTATTTATTGCAAGTACAGCTTAAGCTTATTTACAGAGCAGAGTCGGAGATAAAATGAACATTGGTTTTGGCACGCAGGCTGCTTTTCTACTATTTTACTTATCAGCTAGTTTAACATGAATGTTATTATCTACCCTTAATTAATGGTGTACCATTAATATTGGATGACAGTTTCCTGAGGGTTATCTTGTGTGACCTCTTTCAGAAATGTGGATTTTTGAGACATCCCTTATTTTATCATGCGATAATAAGTTAATCGTAATGAATAATAGTGTCGCAAGTGTTATCTCTCGTGCCCTCTTCCAGGGATGAGGGTTTTACGTTATCATCAACTTTATCATGTGCTTTTCTCCCGTAAACAAAAATTAGCACTTTATAGTTTAATATTTCGCAAACGGATCCCTAAATCGAAAAATACTTTTTAGAACCCCTAAGGCATTTTGAAGGACCTATTTAATGATATCCCACACAATGGGGTAGATGACGAAAAAAATAATAATAGGGGCCTACCCATGGCCTACCTTAATTTTTTTTTTCTCATTCTACCATTTTGTCGGCGTGATCGATATACATATCTCCACAAAATTACAGCTCTCTAGTGCTAATAGTATATAAGCAAAACTGGGGATGGACAGACGGACATGATAAGGGTTCTTTGTCAGGATTACGAAACCTTTAAAAACCCGGACAAGTGCGAAGTAGATTCGCTCACCGAGGGCCCTGTACTACAGAGCCCTCGGTCGGTTCGCGAATCTTATATATGTACCTAACTGTGTACAGAGTCTGTACACAGTTAGGTACATAAATAAAACGCGGTAGGCATTTTTTTACGATAACTTAGAGGTTTGATGTTTTCACAGCTTCAAGGGACCATAAACTTGAGTTTAATAACTCGATACCTCCAAGCGTTCCACAGATAAAAGGTCTTGACAGACAGATAGACGGACAACAAAGTGATCCTTTTTTACCTTTTGAGGTACGGAACCCTAAATAGCATATTTAATTTTGTAGGTATACTTATACATATATGAGAAAAAGATATATTCGAAAATTATCGAAGAATAGCATCGCTGACGCTTATGAAACTTACCAAAAGTTCAAGAGTCAGAAACAACGATATTAAAATACACTAGAACCTAGATACACCAACACGACCAAAGTGACGCCGCACACAGGTCACCGGCCACAACCACAAAACGCCCCACAGGGTTAACGCCACACGCTACGTGGCGAGTCCATATAAAATTTATAAAAAGTACAGGAAATATGCGGTTAACGCCAGTAGCCGCCACACGCTACGTGGCGAGTCCATATAAAATGTAGGTATAAAAACTACAGGATATATGCCGGTGGCGGCGTTTTGCGGTTGTGGCCGGTGGTGACCGTGTGCGGTGACCGAAAATCGTAGTCGAAACCTACCCAAGAGGTACATTGGACTATCGACGAAGCTCCGTAAGATGGTCGCGTAAGTAGTTAAAAACAATATAAGACATTTTTTGAACATTGAAAGCCACATTGAATTTTTTTTTGTGAAATAGGGATAGGACCAATGCTGTTAGATTTTTTTTTTTCAATCTTGAGATTGGGTTATGCATGACTCGAAAACGAAGAACCAAACGAAGGTCCCAATCAAAACGCAAGCGTTAAAGAGTTACGACAGTTCGAGATGCAGTCTCATAAAATTTTACAACTTATTGCTCTATGCGGAAGAACTCTACACGCAATTCTGAATGCGCTGTTACCAATACAGCAGGTACGGACCGCGAGGAAAAGAGACCGACTATTACCGACCATGCATTTGAATATCACGAATATTTATTATTAAATATTTTTTTTGCAAATTTTTTCACAGAGCTCTGCGGCATTTGACTTTTCAACGGTCTGCGCGTGACTGTGAACCAAGAAGTACTTGAGTGGTATTCAAGAACTTCTTGAATGGTAACACATTTTGAGCCCACGCCCACGTGGTTATCTAGGGTATTTAATATCGTTGAGATTACCCGACGATAGAAGCGCAGACTCATCGCGACTCTCTCGCTCGTGGAGATGGCGCTTATCTAAGAGGTGGGTTACACGATCAGTTCAGTCCATCAGTCTGGTAAGACTGACGCCAACTGATCGTGTAATGCGTTGACTGATGGACTGGTAGGACTAGCAGAATTTTATATATTTTGATATTTTACATCAGTCCGGAATGGACTGACGGTAAACTGATCGTGTGACACGTTGCCGTCAGTCTCCCGTCAGTCACCGCTCGGACAGCGATGGATGAACACGGCAAAAATGCTTACGCGTCACCTGCGCCTTTGGTCTCCCCTCCACGAAGTCCCGGGACGTCCCTGGACTTCGAGACTTTTATTAGTAACATTTGTATTGAGTTAATTTCTGGTAAAAAGTTTTAATAAAAAGGCACTTTTCAGTAAGATCAATACTACTTATTAAACATAAAATAAAATCCTAATATCTTTTTACTTTAAGTTCAGTGTAAATAATTGGCATGTTTATTTATAACAATCGCTTATTCACTTTTGTGCAATTAAATCCTATAGTTATAATCTTAGTAACAATCATACTAATTCTTAATAACTATTATAATATGGAACTCGATAGCGCAGGTGGTTAGCGCACTCGGCTGCGATCGTTGAAGTAAAGCAACTTTTGCAGTGATCGGTCATTAGATGGGTGACCAAAAATCTTCTATCTCGAGTTCCTCCGTGCTTTGGAAAGCACGTAAAGCCGTTGGTCCCGGCTGCATCTGCAGTTGTTAGCACCCGCCATTCCGCACTGGGCCTGCGTGGTGGGTCACGTCCCAATCTCCCTATTCCATCCATAGGGAAGGCCTGTACCCCAGCAGTGGGGACAATTAATAGGCTGATCATAATATTTAGTACTTGGTCCTAATGATAACATTCGTAATTCTCATAATCATAGATTTGCTTCGTAATAAAATAATCAAAATAAATAAATTAATAAGTTTAAAAAACTAAAAACACGCTTTTACTTACTGCACTAAAAAGTCAAAAATAAACAAAATATACTCTCTGTTTACTAATTTGGGGCTTTAGAGTAAGCCACGTTTATAGTTAATTTTAAGAGATATATATATATATATATATATATATATATATATATATATATATATATACAGTTTGTCTATAAATTCGTGACATTAAATGATGGCGCCTCTAGTATGCATGTAGCAACCCTGTACAATGATTTTGATACTAGCAGTTCATTCAAGTAAAATAGGTAATTAATAAGAGACACTATACAGTCGTATTTTGTTTCTGTTTTATATATAGTAGGTACCTATGCTTATAAAAAGTTTAGCCAAGCATATTTAATTGAAGCAGAATAAAATTATTATAGATAAAATAGTACTTTATAGTGTAAAAGTGTGTAATGTTGGTGATTACCGCTGAGATGCCATTGAAACCAGAGCCGTTAGGTAATCATCAATACACAAAAGTATCATACGACGTTTTTTAACACACTTGTTAAGAAAATAATACTAAAAATCATTTTATAGTATACAAAAAGTTTATTTAGAAAAACAATTTGTAAATGTGCAGTTAGTAAAATTAATGATAGGTATCTTCAATTATAGTATCTGGCCATGGTTCTTTATGTGACCATTTCTTTCTTTGGTCGGCCTTGCCTGTTTTCCCAGGAGTTTCAAACTTTCCATCATTCTTAAAACCTTCGTTGACTATCCGACTCTCTGATTTTCCTGAAAAAAGGTAAAAAAATATGTAACGGAATAGAAACAATAATTTATTGACATGAAGCAATTAATTCAAAATTGGTAGAAAACCTGACCGAGTTGAACCATAATAACGTATCAAAAGAAATGGTCGTACTACAATATTACATATTTACAATGTCAATCTAACCTAAAAATGTGCAATGTAAACAATGCCTTTTTTGGTCTCAAAATCGTAAATTGAGTAAATTTGTAACTTCAGGTAGATTACAAACATATAGTTACATGATTACCTATGAAGGGGTTCCTTAATTAGGCGATGGTGGTAGGTTCCTACCACGGATATAATCAGAAGGAGTAGCAAAATGAAAAGAGGTTTCGTATTAAATATCGGCGCGCGAGCAGACGAAGTATAGATGCGTGCGTATGAGCGGCGTGCGCTCCGCGTCGTGTCAGTTTATCACTGGCGATCTGCAACGTCTATCGATAGCTTGCATTCAATGGATCGCACAAAAAATTGGAAACAAAAGGATGCGCTAAGACTGCTTGTACAGCGCGGAAGCTATACTTGCGCGTCGTTGATACAACGCGCTTCGTATAGTAAATAGTTAAGTTATGTAAATATTTAGTTTATAAGATATTGTATATATTATATAATTATGTAATATGTTAGTATAAGTATTTAGATGTAAGTTATTTATAAGTCTGTATTAGTTATGTAAGTTATGATGTAATAAATAATGTTGTATGTGATTTTATATAAATAAATATAAATACTATACATGCCGCCACACCTACATACCCGTCATAAACGCCGCCCATAAACATCATCCAAATCCCACAAAATTCGTCCAGCTTGGTAGTCTTCGAAACATCGCTGTAAAACTTTAAAAACTTCCCGCGTGCCACTCCGATTTACTTTACTCATTTTTATACCTTTCTGAGTAGTTTCGTCTTAATTTATTACAGTTTAATCCAAACAATAAAAATACAAAAGGAAAACTGTTCCACAACTGAAACTCGATGACAGCTGATGTACATAAGTTTGGTGTTGCCAGACACATGAATAATTTTAGTTCCTCAAACATTCATGTCGCGACTTTATAAACAAACTGTATATTGTACATATTTACAAAACATAGAACGAGTTTATTGCGACTGAATAAGTATCCTCTTCATTTCCAATAAAGCTTCACTATTGCAAGACTTTTTTATTACCCCCCTTTAACGTGAAATAAACAGAATATATCAAGGCAGTCCAGGGTCCATCAGCCACCTGCCAGTCCATCATCAGGTCCCCGTTATCAGGAAAAATGAACGGAATATGTTAAGACGAAACTTATGAGCCCAAACTCGATATGTTTACTAGTAGGCAGTCCAAGGTTCCATCAGCCACCTTCCAGTCCCATCATCACATCAGCTCGGTGGTACCATAATATTGTATTGTGATCTAATCAACATATATTTGCCAAGTGTAAAGTAAAACTGATCGCATAAAGTTGGGCAAAATCGAGTCCAAACGAGTCAGTTACATACAAACAAACATACAGGTTAAACAAATAAGAGCGTGTTAAAAACAAACTTAAAAATCAGTCTAATACATAAATTAACAAACACATTTATTGTTGTGTCTAGTAGTTTTTTACATTGATACATGGCTTCCCGCGTAATACGTTCACATGCGACTAAGTTCTTGGGAAGACTGTCAGTCTGGACTGACCGTGTAATCTGTCTGTCAGTCCATCAGTCTGCTATCAGTCTGGACTGATGGACTGAACTGATGCCAAACTGATCGTGTAACCCACCTCTAATGCATATGGGTCCTGGAAATGGCATGAAAACTGGAATAAAATATTAAAATATAGGAAAACCGTGAGAAACACCATAAGTATAGTGAAACCAGATTCACGAGTGTTCACAGTATGTCTTCGAGAAGAAACATTTTGATAATAACTACAGAACTGGTTGTACAGACTACATATTCTTCGCCTTCATAATTTAGAAAAAACAAAATTTTACATTACGACAGTGACTGTCACATTGACAGTTATCGTAGCTGCGTTTTTCTCCGAACGTATTTTTGCTCATTTGAAGAATGTTATCAAAATAGATAACGATAATGCTTCTTTTCAGTACTGTTGTAAGCATATAGTGAAGACGTGTTAGTGGAAAGCAAATAAAGAATAGCTTAATAGAGATATGGCATTGCCATGATTAAAACCACATTGTGACTATTTTGTTTTAATTGTTTCAGTTTTTAGGGGTATATTTTGAGTGTTATGTAACGAATGTTATTTGTTTGAAGTGCTAGTGTTTCGTTGTAAAGATGAGGACGGTGGCTTTGATCAGCGGGGGCAAGGACAGCTGCTACAACATGATGCAGTGCATCGGAGCCGGCCACGAGATTGTCGCCCTGGCCAACCTCCAACCTGTGCTGAAAGGTGTGTTTTGTCCTATAAACTAATTTAGGCCCTAAAATTTGGCGCTACATAGTAAGAACAACCAAAGACAACATATTAATTATAAGCTTCAATTTGTACATAAATGTATACAACATAAGTAGGTACCTGTTTAAAAGTTGATTTTGTAATAATTATTAAACGAGGACTTATTTTCTTACAATGTACATTAATGTTAATCAACTACAAAACTTTTTAGATGAGTTGGATAGTTATATGTACCAAACTGTAGGCCATCAAGGAATTGATCTGTATGCTGATGCAATGGGCCTTCCACTGTACCGAGAAATGATCATAGGTGTTGCCATGGACCAAGGAAAGAACTATAATCCTAGTGATAATGATGAGGTTGAAGATCTGTATCGTCTACTTGCAAGAATAAAGGTCAGATTTTGCTTGTATATTACATTAAAATAATGTTTAGTGATAAACATAAATACCATTTAACTGATTAACCATTCCATCTATTCAAGTCCTTCCTAAATAAAGAATGTTAAATTGAAAGTAACCTTTAAAAAAGATTGATAAACACATTACAAGTAAAGAATGTTAATCACATCTTTGAGAATTGGATGAAGCCAAAATTGAAAAATCAAAAATGATTCTTTATTGTGATATACTTACTTATTGATGATGCCATTATTAATTGATCATGCAATTATTGGTATATTTGCATTAAAAAGCCTTAGAATTTAATAAAAATGTTTTGTTGCCTTCACTTATTTATATCAATAATAAACAATTTACCACTGTTTAGGTTCTTTGGCAGCATTTTGTAACCACGAGAAGGTGTATGACATTGTGATTATTTACAGTCTTTTCTGTCTACAATATTGTTTGAAGTGGTCTTATCAGAACAATAAACTGCATTGTTCTTAACTTTACAAATATGATAAATTAAATTCTCATTTTTAATTGTAATGTTATTATTATTACTTATTTTAGGATGATATGGATATAGAGGCAGTAGCTGTGGGAGCAATTTTGTCAGATTACCAAAGAATAAGAGTTGAAAATGTGTAAGTAGCAAAATTGCATTTGGGTTATTGAATTACAAACATATTTTATATTATATGATTCAAGTGTAAAAGGTATGGACTTAACAACAAAAATATATATTGATAAAATATTCTGATATTGTTTCATATAGGTACAAAGTTAACACTTGTCTCAATTTTCAGCTGTCGTAGGTTAGGCCTTGTCTCTCTAGCATATCTTTGGAGGAGGAATCAAAAAGAATTGCTTCAGGAGATGATAAGTAGTGGTGTTGAAGCTATCATTATAAAGGTTTGTAAACAAGCTTAAAAGTATTTGTGATTTGATTACATTACAATTATTTTAATAAGTCAGTATTTTATCAACCAGTGACTATCAACCAATTGCTGATTCATTAACTAATAATCAAAATGTTCAATTAACTGAAATGACATTAATTTAATCTGATATCAAATGACTACAGGAAATGCAAACAAACACTCATTGCATTTACAACTGCAATGTAAATTTAAAAGTGTAAGCAATAAGCTTTTATATGCGTGATGTGAGTTGTTGATTAGGGAATAAGGCGGAATAACAAACTAAATTTATTTGACAACTATTTTTCTGCATAATATCTTCCATTTTATTATGTACCAAGATTAAAATCAGTTATAATGAATAAATGAGTCGTATAGTATCCAAGGCGGCAAAGTAGGGCGAACCAAATATTTGGCAAATCAAAAAAAACTGTTTAGTCTCGTCTTTAAGGGAGGATTTTTATAATTGACATTCATCATAACTACAAATCGTAGTGAAATGTCAATATTTTATCTTCCCTTAAAGACGAGACTAAACAGTTTTTTTTGATTTGCCAAATATTTGGTTCGCCCTACTTTGCCGCCTTTGATACTATACGACTCAAATTACATGTACTATTACATGTATTAGTCAGGAACAAGCCCTTTGGCATTATTAGCCAGAAATTTTTGGGCTTTTTAGAAACTCTTAGTCACAGAGAGATACTTTTGATTTGATGGTGCGTCACGCCATTGAGAACTGTATACTCCAAAAATCTCTAATATTTTTTGTATCGCTTTGGTCAAGAGGCTATGGTGTCTGCTTACTATTGACAGGCCTTTCGATTGTTTGCAACCCCTTTAACATAAAAAATAATAACGATGACAAGCCCATGTTAAAGAATGTAAGTATGTAAATAGGTGGCAGCGTTAGGACTGGACCCACACCTCCACCTGGGCCTTACGTTGCGAGAGATCCAGCCGCACCTTCTAGTCATGCAGGAGAAGTATGGCCTCAACGTGTGCGGCGAGGGCGGCGAGTACGAGACCTTCACGCTCGACTGCCCGCTCTTCAGGAAACGTCTAGTTATGTGAGTACTTTAGAAAAACCGCGGAAAGAACTTACTGTCCATAGAGTGAAAAACTTTAATAAGGTACACAAATTAAAAGAAAGTGTTTTTTATTCTGATTAATTTTGGGTTGCTGAGATCTTAATTTCAAACAATATTATCTAATATTAAGAAATATAAAAAACTGATTATTTCAGAATTTGACTAGTTTCAATGAACATATGGGGCAAGAATTTTTATTGTGAAAAAATGTATTATAGAATATTGTGATATAATAAATTTCATTTTTTCTTTTGAACAGTGATGAAAAGGAATTAGTGATACATTCAAATGATCCAGTCGCGCCCGTTGGCTATTTAAATCTCAAGCTACACCTGGAACCCAAGGAAAACTTGGATGAAATCAAATTACCTCCAACTATCAAAACCGCCCTCGACTTCGTTGGTGATCTCAGTGACACCGTATTCAGCGATATAAGCGACATCGAGCTGAGCGAGACGGAGCTAGAGTCCATTGAGTTGTTAGAAAAGGAGGAGAAGAAAAAACAAGAATTAAACCCATTGCTCATATACAACGATAAGTCTGATGTGTCTGCTAGTCTAGATGTTACTGATTGTCAAAATGATAGCGCTGAAAGCATAGAGGATGGATATAATTACGACGAAACGCACAATCAATTTTCCAAACAGCCTATTGTCGACCATAGATCTATTTATGGGAATAGACACGGCTGGTACTTTATTGGAGGCATCGTTGGCGAAGGCGTCGATACGGGCTTGGCTACAGAGGACGCGATGAAAAAACTCATTAGTAGGTAAACTTGTGCAGAAGCTTTATTTATGTTTACATTAATTAGTTGCACATTGTCCATATTGAATTCCATCTCACAGAAAGCAAAAACAAACAGGGCATTTAATAAATATTGTATAAGTTTTCATTAAATCGATGTTTTGTTTTTCTGTTAGTCAAATTACAAATGTGAAATTGAGCAGTGTGACCGAAATGCTGCGTAACTATTTCAAGCTTATACAATGTTTATTAATATTAAAGGTTTTTTTTTAATTTAATACCTTTTCTGCAATTTGAAGGTCGAATCAAATTCATATTACTTATAGGATACATATTTTGTCTGTTAAGCTGTTTTATATGCAGAACAAAATAATGGCGACATGTATTTATTGACACGGACGATATTATCAAATGAGACAAAATGCTACTTCGCTTTTTTTAAATACTAGATAGAATTCTTTTATCAAATAGAGCTTTGACAACTCACTTATCGCAGGAACACAACAATAAGAATTACTATTATTTAAATATCTGATACAGTTTCAGCTAAATCAAAAAAATTACTGCTCCCTCTATATTTCTTAGTTAGCTTAACCATATCCGATATATAAATATTGAATAAAGTTTTCTTTCGGACCATCCGAATATTTTAATTCGTGTCTGAAATCTATATAATATTTGTAATATCGTGGTCGTAACGTGGTCCTTTACTGCGGGTCTCATAAGAAGGCTCAAGGTAATACAGCAAGAAATGGAGAGCGCGGTGCGAGCACCGCATTCTAGAACGATCTCATGAAGTCACTTTCCATTACAAATGTTAATGATATAAAGATTTTATGACTGTAAAATAAAATAAATAAAATTGTAATAGGACCCTGTCCAATACAAATCCAAAATTTTATACAGTCTTAAAAAGATGGAAAATCCACTTCTTCAGAGCTGGCAAGGCATGAGTGGCCCTTGCAAGCTGCAAGTGTCCATGGGTGGCCGTGGCCACTTACCATCAAGCGGACTAGTGCGCTAATCGTCTAGCGGAATTGCTATGGCTATCACTATTCCTAAGCTAAGGCTTCCAAATGCTTCTTTTTTTTTCTTTTGCGTTGGTAATTACAGGATTAAAGAAATGACCATAGTGATAGCGATAACCATAGCAATCCCATTAGGCGATTGGGCCCCGGTACGGCCCGTTTGCCAACATAAACAAAAAAAGTTAAAACAACATTGACTCTACCTAAACCAATGCCAAGCACGAGCGCCAGTCGTGGACATGTAGTAATATAAATGCTCTTTAATGGATACTTATATATTGATAAAAAATACATTCATTAATTAATTTCGGCTATAATACCGCAATGGATATTACCTGAAGCTATCAATCAATGAATTTAATTTATTATATCAACTTATTAATTATCACCATTATATCTATAGTCATATTGTCACGTGTTAACACCATTAATACGAATGGATTCAGTAATAGGTTGGCTGTTATCACCTATTTATTACATAATATTAACGTTCACATGACGATCTGGAACAAATTGACCCCAACTCAGATAACAGTGTAAGTGAGGTAATTTTACTCGCATAAATTAGATTGTTGGAGAGAGACATCGATATGAGCAGTTTAGAGCTACATTCTGATTTAACATTTGAATTGCCATTAAAGCTAATTGCAGACCATGAGCTAAGCTACGATAGCTTTAAGTCATCGGTATCTGCATACAAATATGAAAAATTACTTAAAGAAAATTTTACTAGATAAAATTCCACGCGGACCAGGCAGCAGACGGGATTCGAACCCGCAACCTTCGCTATCCAGGTGAATGCACTGACCTGCATTATTCTACCGCGGCCCTGACGGCCGTGTCGAATCTTCCCTAGCCTTTTTTTAAGCTGAAAGGCAGCGCCAACTCATCGCATTGTAGGTAGCCCACAATGTCAAATAAATACCTTTTCATCCCACCACCTCGGAAAGTGTAATTTTGCGCTTCGAAATCTGGCTGGAAAATTCTATTTTATTCGCTTGAGCGGCAAAGTAGATTTGAATTTAGAACATCACATATAATGAGTACTCAATATAATTGTAAATTCAAAACGTCATTAAACCTATTGAATGTAACCTCTATGGTGCCAAATTTATGATTAGAACTTTTTAAATTGTGAAAAAATTTAAATTTGGAACCTTCTTGGTTTCTTTGTTTTATTTGCGTGCTTCGCGCCATTCTAGTTTTTCACGTTTTATTGCTTAAATATTTTGTCATTATAAATTGTTTTCTTTTTCATTTTGTCATTTCCTCGCTGAGGTGGGATGAAAAGTTACGTATTGCACTCGAGTGGAAAGATTTTTCACCTTGTGCTCGTTTGTTTCCCTCGCTGACGCTCAGGATTCTAATTTAGAATCACTCGCTGCGCTCGTGATTCAACTTTAGAATCCTTCGCTTGCTCGGTCATCCAAATCGAGCACGCGGTTAAAAAGGAACTTTCCACTCTTGTATAATAAATAACTATTACCATTATTAAACATTTGAAAGAAGAAATAGCAATTATAGCAAGGATGCGCGTCCTGTCTGCAGCCTGGCCCGCTTGGATTTTTTTCTAGTAAAATAATAATTATTAATCTTTAAATGCTTAAATAATATAAAATATAAGTATAAAAAATTATGTCAGTCAAACATAGAATCAGTCCATTTTGTAAAAAAATCCAAACGAATCATCGAAACAGCTAATAGTACAGACATTTGGTGAGAAATATAATAGGTTACCTGGAAAGTTTTCCGGGAGTTTTGAAAATTGGTGATTTTATAGATTTTGAGGTGCTCTTTCCGAATTTCGACTTTGCCACCTCCAAATGGCGCCTAAAAGTAGTTTTTTTGAAAACATCTCCTTTCCGACTCATTTTACGATAAAAACAGTTATATACAAAATAAAACTAGACACAATTACCTACAATTTATGTACTTACCTTTTTTTTTCTTAAAATCAATAGTGTTGGCGTACGAGCGCCGGCGCATTTTGGCCAAAAAATCTCATTTCCACACCACCTTTAGGTAGAGTAAGTGGCGCGTTTTTTTTAATGTGGTATCCCCAATAGGTCTAATCCATATGCAATTCAATGTGCTAAAATTTAGCGTATTCTTTTTTTGTTCTCTTTGATGTTCTCGATGGACCAGGTGTTGCAAAATCATAGTCTGTAGTACCAATCGAAACGTCACAGACCAGTATTTCATCTACATCATCAGCGATGGGAGTATCAATTTCATCGCAATCCTCTTCGTTCTCGATTTGATCATATGTTTGCTCAATTATAGTCTCCGTCTCTTCTTCATCATCGCTATCTGATGATGGAACTTGCGAGTTACCACAGGTCCCGCTACAATTCGTGCATATAACAGAGCACTTTAACGCAGCCTTTCTGCATCCACAAGCTTAATATCCATAAGCATCCACAATGAGTAATAACCAAAGCGCGCGTTGGAGTACACTTTGCGGCGCAAAAATACGAGGTGGCAAAGTCGAAACTCGGAAAGAGCATCTCAAAATCTATAAAATTACCAATTTTCACAACTCCCGGAAAACTTCCAGGTAAAACTACCAGATGACTGTATTATAAGCGAAATGGATAACCTTTATTTCGCTTTCAATAAGATCTGCCTCTTTAATCGTGGTAAAATATGTAATTTTAAGTTATCTTAGTATCTTAGCAAATCAAGATTTGTAACCGACACACACACTTTGCGAAACTATTAAGGAAACTTCATAAACTTTTTGTGAAAACACATGATAAAAGTTACTAGGGAAAGTTATCGATCATGGGTATACAATTTCTTTCGTAATTATAAATCAATTATCTACCTATAAATAATACTCTTTCAAACTCGTTATTACAATCGTAAATAATAAGATTATGTACGTAAATAAGCGGACAGTGTAACGTCACTCACACACGATAACAATGTCTGCCTCTTGTAGTTTTTGTTGCGATGCAATTATCTTCGTTTATTTCAGTACCTAGCTACCTGCTCATAACTACCTTCATATATACCTAACCTATCTGCCTCCATGGCCGTGTGGTATGAACGCCGGGTTTTAAGGTGTCGCTTACTCGAGAGGTCCCGGGTTCGAGTCCCTGAAGGGGCAGATGTTTGTGTGATGAATACAAGCATTTGTACTCCAGTCATGGATGTTTAATATAAATATACTTATATATGTATCATGTATTCTATACGTTACCCAAGTATCCCATAACACATGCCTTACAGTGCTTACTTTGGGGTAAGGCTAATTGGTGTGAGTGTTGAAAATATTTATTTATATTTATTTATTTATGATCATGGCCATATTTCTATTCGTACCAGTTTTAATCTTGTTTAAAGTGTTATCGATTTTACCACTGATCAAGTTCATTTGCTAATATTGTCATAGTTTAGAGATAAAGTTGGCAAAGAAATGATAGGTACCTAACCTATCTAACTTACATGTTTTTTACTCGTGATTGTAAAGTCAATAACATTATCTGGTAATGCGAAGTAACTATAAACTATGGATCTTAGTACATACATTTATGACTAACCAAATATACTTATTGATTTCAGCAGTTGCCAAAGTTCTATTAGGTAGAAGAATGGAATAGTCCCATAGTTAACGAAAGGACTAGGTATTTCTGATTTCTTCTATTGACTTTTGATACTTGATACGTTTCAATCAGATAACGGTACGCAATGCAGCAACAGCCATTTTACTGCTTATCTTTAACATAATACTACAAATAATTTATTGTTCCATGATACTACTTAGAGATTATGGGAATCATTTTAATTTGAATTGCGAAAGTAACTATCTGTCTGTTGACTGTTATTTTGATGAATTGTGTTATTGAGATAAGGGTAATTTCAGAAAACCACACATTTTGTCGCGAAAATAGACACAACCTAGTCTTAATTTTTTGTTTGTTTTGTCAATTACATTTATGTCTATTAAATAAATTTTAATACATTCTTAGGCGTAGGAATTAAGTTTTATTAACTCCCATGACGTACTGATAGCGAAACAATATCGTGAAATATTTTGAACTGTTGTGGATAGTATCGTCGATTTTTCACATTTCACGGTATCGACACATGATTTGTCAGCGTGATAGTTATTTATTGAAAAATTTATTATTATTACTGTTAATCTTAATTAAATAAGTGTAGTGTAAAAACAGTCATTACAAAGGTAAATGAAATATTTTTGGCCATCATGCAACCTTCACATACATAGATAAAGAAAAAATCATTGATGATTTTGTAAAAGCTAGAACAAGCAGAGATAAAATTAGAAACGTAAAGAATATTGTAATACAATATCTATCTCTAATATATAAAATTCTTGTGTCATGGTATTCGTAATTGAAGTACTCCGAAATTCTTTTCGTGAAATTTTATATGCATATTCAGTAGGTCTGAGAATCGCAGAACATCTATTTTTCATCCCCCTAAATGTTACCCTTAAATTTTTTTATTTTTTTTTGCTAAATTTTTTGTTTTTGTTTTTTTATGATACATCATACAAAAATACATACATTCCTAAATTTTTAACCTACCCCTATTTTTTTATGTTCGCTCGGATAGCTACTTTTTATTATATAATTGTAGTGGAAGGCTAATCAGAGACCCAATCACGAATTGTGACAGTTTCGTAATCTTATCGCATCTTCAAAGTTTCTATGATAACGAAGCAGCGCCTCTATCAGACGTAAGAAGAAACTAGCTCCTTCCATACAAAATTTGAGGATGACATTACGATTACGGAAAATTTGATTTGATTACGATTTCAAAATTTGTGCTAGGGCCTCAGTACCCTTAGCACGAACCAATATCGAATTCGAATTGTTTGCGAGTGCGAAATGTCAATGTAAAATTTTGTATGGATACTTAAACAGCAGCGCCATAACGGACGTAACGAGAACTACGAATCTATTAATACACATTTGACAATGACATTTCGCACTCGCAAACTATTCGGATTCGATATTGGTTCGTATTCGTTCGTTCGTTTCGTTGCAGGGTACAGGACAGGAAATAGATTTCACACTTTAACAGCGCTAGTATTATAGGTTTTCTGTATAGTCCTCGCCATATCCCTTATATATTATCATCATCATCATCACAAGGGCGGATCCAGCTTCGGCGCCAGGGGGGGTCATATAGTCGTGGTCAAGTCACAGTGGGTACAGATTGTGAAGTGGGTACAGATGGACCCAGCCCAGGGGGGGTCCATATCCCCATGACCCCCCCCCCTCCCCCTGGATCCGCCCTTGCATCGTCATCAGCCGATGGATGCCGACTGCTGTACCCTTAGTACGAGTTTGAGCTCACGAAAGCTATCATAGTTTTCGTAATTGTAAATTATGTTTCTATGTCCATTTTGGTGAAAAGTAACCAAATATACATAAAATTTAAGAAGACGCAAATGATTTATTGATAGAATTTAAACACTGTTTATTTGTATTGAAACGAAAACAATAAAATCAGTACTATTAGTACGAGTGCGAGCTCACGAAAACTATCATAGTTTTCGTAATTGTAAAACTCGTACTAAGGGTACTGAACATAGGCATCTTATTTTACTATCACTAATGCAAAACTACATTTCAGCTCTCCTCGGGTCCGTGGATATGAGTCTACCGGACGTTTGTTGCGTTAACATCTACATGCGAGACATGGAGAAATACTCCGCCTTGAACGATGTTTATGTAAGCCACTTCTGCTTCGCCAATCCGCCCACGAGAGTCTGCGTGCAGTGCCCTCTGCCGGACGACGTGGGACTTATATTAGATGCCGTAAGTTTTGCTATAGTAGATTTAATTAAAATTTGTAACATCTGTTAAACCTGTGACATGAAAAAAAAACGAAGGACCACTGTGAATAATCAATCTTCAGTAATATATAGACTACTAGAGCATTGCTGTCTCAATATTTTTTTTATTTTGATTAAAACCAGAAAGAGAGAAAATCAGAGTAAGCTTTCCTGTTACTGGTGGTTGATATTGTATTTTTTTTTTTTTTAATTTTTACGGCCGTGAATTTCTGCGTTTCGGCTAATCATTAGTTTCTTTCATCAGTTTATATATCTTCGCAGGTATTCATTACATATTCAAATAGTAGTAGTAGTATATCATATTATTATTTGTAGTAGATACGTGGACACTCACGGCTGGACGAGTGCACCAGTCTAAAGTCGCTCAGAGAGCTATGGAAAGGGCTATGCTCGGAGTATCCTTGAAGGACCTTATCAGAAAAGATGTAATCCGACAGAGAACCTAAGTCACCGACATAGTCACATTAGACGCAGAACAGAAGGCCGTTCGAGCCGGAAAGTTCTTGAGTGGAGACCACGACTCGGTAAACGTAGTGTAGGACGCAGTCGTAGGCTGGCTGGAGTGGGCTGGATGAGAGTGGCAGAAAATCGGGAGCAGTGGCGTGGATTTGGGGAGACCTATGTCCAGCAGTGGACGAGCTTGGGTTGATGATGATGATGTATTAGTATTTTGTATGATAGATGGCAATTGGCTGGGTATTCTGCAGTTATTGTATATCTCTATTAAGCCATCTATCAATAAAATTCTCTGTATATTGAAAGTAGGACATTCAAAGATAAGGTGACGTAAAGTGTCCATGCTTTTCGAATTGCAATAGAGACAATCATTTTGGTCTTCTTATCTAATTCTGTTTAAATGCTCTCGGAATCTTCCATGACCAATTCGTAAGCGGTGTATAGTAACAACTGACCGTTAAAGGATGGGCGACACTAGCTTTAATTTGAAAACTCCCTGCATTAAGAAAGATGGCAATTCAATTTGAATACATGTAAGGCATATTGCATAGCTCCACTGATACGTCTCCAAAGCCGCAGCCGCACTACTAAGGCGACTGCATCGTGACGGCGCAGCACAAGCAGAAACGTCTGCAGTGCGGCCACCGACATTTGTTTATAGTTTATTTTCACGAAATCGCCATCGCTTCGCAATCGCGGTAGTACTGCGGCCGCGGCCTTGCCTTTCATCATCATCAGCGGCAGTCTATTAATGTCCCCACTGCTGGGGCACAGGCCTTCCCTTAGGATGGAATAGGGAGATTGGGCCATGGCATGGGCCCTGTGCGGATTGACGGGTGCTAACGACTGCAGATGCAGCCGGGACCAACGGCTTAACGTGCCTTCCGAAGCACGGACGAATTCGAGATAGTAGATTTTTGGTCACCCATCCAATGACCTACCACTGCGAAAGTTCCTTTACTTCAATGATCGCAGCCGAACGCGCTAACCACCCGCGCCATCGAGATCCTCGAGCGTTGTCCTTATCTGCTCAATTTTACTTTATGGTTTGACAGAGTATGCTGGGTCTAATGGTTACTATACAAGTTTTGGGATTGCTAATATTTACTCAAACTATCTCTTTATCAAATTTCATCTAATTCTGTTCAGCGGTTTAAGCATGAACAGATAACAGACAGACAGGCACTTTCACATTTATATTATTCTCTAATCGTTTTGATTGAAGCAAATGAAAATAACCCTTGGTTTAGGTCGCACACAAGCCTATAGTTGAGGTCCAGGACGCTGATTGTCAACCGAAAGAGAGAGTCACGATGCACGTGCAGGGTATTTCGCATTGGGCGCCGGCCAACATTGGACCTTACAGCCAAGCTATTAAGGTATGAATTCGTAAATGTGTATCAAAAAAGGAGAACAACCACTTTGTATAGGGGGTTGGTACAGATGCCGAGTTATTTATACATGAGCAAAATATATACCATTGTAAAGCTTATTGTTAATGTATACTGCTAGTCTTTAATCAAATTTGATAGCTAGTGCGTTTAATGAGATATGTATTTTGATTTGAATTTAATTAAAAATAAATAATAATTATATTCAGTATAAAAAGGGTTTTTCTGGTGTAATATACATATAGTATGGTGCGTAATTTTGATCTTTCGCACAATGAATACAATCTCCGTATGCATTTTTTCAGAAAATGTGTTGAAAATAACTATGATAACTCCGAATATCGTCATGAGTTATGCTACTTAGTTGTAGTTGTTTAACGGGTGATATATCGTCAGGTGGGCGAAGTGATAGGCACGTGCGGTCAGATCGCGCTGGTGCCGGGCAGCATGCGGTTGGTGGCGGGCGGCGCGCGCAAGCAGTGCGCCCTCGCGCTGCGGAGCCTCACGCGCGTGCTGCGCGCCGTGCATCCGCGCGCGCACATACGGAGCGTGGTGCAGGCGAGTGGTGTTGTGTGTGGGACGCGGACGTTGTCAGGCGGGCGAGATGATAGGCACGTCGTCATCATCAGCCTATTAATGTCCCCACTGCTGGGACACAGGCCTTCCCTATGGATGGAATAGGTAGATTGGGCCTTGACCCACCACACGGGCCCAGTGCGGATTAGAAGGTGGCGGTGCTAACGACCGCAGACGCAACTGGAACTAACGGCTTAACGTGCCTTCCGAAGCACGGAGGAACTCAAGAAAAAAATTTTTTTGGTCATCCATCCAATGATCGACCACTGCGAAAATTGCCTAACTTCAACGATGGCAGCCGAACGCGCTAACCACCTGCGCTATCGAGCTCCTCGTTTGATAGGCATCGACATGATAGGCGCGGCACCTCACGCGCGTTATGCGCACGCCCTTGGTGCAGGTGTATTGTGTTGTTTGTATACAAAACTTCTTGACAATCGAGATCAAATTCAACTATTCGAATTCGATATTGGTTTTTGCTATGGGTACAGAGTAGTATGCGACTGGTGGTGGTACATTATCCAACAAGTGAGTGAGTTGTTTTGTTTTATTTTTAATTTCCTTTCTTACCTTTGGGAAGGTAAAGGAAAAACACATAAACCGCCTCGGCTGCATGTTCTTTCGTGTTTCTTTTATGTTTATTATCGTTATCAAACTATCTAAGCACGGTCAAATCAATACATTGTGTTGACCTTGCTCTATCAATAAAAACGATTGTTTAACAAAATAATACTGCTTTGACATTATAGTATTCACATAGTCAAAATAGAAATTTAAATATTTCCCACTAACATACAAATCTCGCCTAAACTTGGCAGGTACTTTAGCTTATTTTTTTATTCTCCCATTGGTAAAGCGTGTGTCATCAACCATTAAAAAGTCGAAAATTAATAGAAAAAAGATACTTAGTCTAATGGGTCTTCGACTGTTTGTGAAGTATTGCCATTTAAGGAAAAAAAACCCTGGCAAGTCTGAGTCGGGCCAGCGAAGGTAACATACAAGTTTGTAGGTACGCAACATAAACGAATGTATCTTATTTTACGTTAAAAGATTGTTTTTATCAGCTTCCAGGCACCTCAGACTTGAGTATATGGTTTAAATTTTAATTCAATACCTACACACGCTGCCGACATAAAGGGTATTAACAGACAGATATAAAAACAACCGAATCTTGTTTTATGCGGACAACTTATTTCAACAACTCAGGTTTGAGTACATTTTAAATTGTAACTCTGTACCTGCACGCGTTCACGGTTCTGTGTTTTTCTTACGGGATAGGGAAGCCTAAAAATATTATCTAATATATAGAATTCTCATGTCATGGTGTGCGTAATTGAACTACTCCGAAACGGCTCGACCGATTTTTGTGAAATGTTATATGCATATTCAGTAGGTCTGAAAATCGGATAACATCTATTTTTCATCCCCCTAAATGTTAAGATCCATCCTTAATTTTTGTCTTTATTTTTTTATGATACATCTAAAATTTTTCATGATACATACAACCCTAAATTTTCACCCTTCTACCACCAACCCCTATTTTTTATGGCGGTACGAAGTTCGCTGGGACAGCTAGTATCTCTTATCTATTAGACAAGTCCGTCCGTCTGTCTGTGGTGTTGTTTCAGCGGCCAAACCGTAAGAGATAGATAAAGAGAATATTTAAGTTATAAGTTAAGAATAGTCTGATAAGACTACAAACCGGATTTGAGTAACGTAGCACTTCCGGTTTTCGAGAAATCAGGTGAAATCAGAATTGGTGAACATTTGGTTCACTGGTTTGCAAGTTATATATAATTTCGCATTCTCGATCCAATTTGGTAACCCTGTTTTTTTTCTACTAACAGAGCGTATGCTACGTGAGCGCTGAATGCCGACGAGCAGTTGGTGAAGCCCGAAGACAGTTAGAACGTCGCACAGCCGGCGCCATAGTTCAAGTGGCCGTAGTGTCGGGGCTTCCCCGGTCCGCTGCCTTAGAATGGCACGCGTGGGCACACACCGACAACAACAGATTCGACTGTAAGTATAATCATCAACAACCTATTAATATCCCCATTGCTGGGGCACAGACCTTCCTTACGGATGGAATAGGGAGATTGGGCCATGACCCACCATGCTGGCCCAGTGCGGATTGGTGGGACTAACGACTGCAGATGCAGCCGGGACCAACGGCTTCACGTGCCTTCCGAAGCACAGTAGCTCGAGATTGAATTTTTTTTGGACTCCCATCCAATGACCGACCACTGCGACAGTTGCTTATCTTCAACGATCGCATCCGAATGCCCTAACCACCCGCACCATCGAGCTCCTCTAATTACTTTACTTGTTTGTGATTACAATGGTAACAAACCACTGACTTTCTTAATTATTAATCTAGGCTTTTTACCAAATTTGAAACAAATACAAATAGGGCGTTCGACGGGTTTGTCAGAGGGAGTGAAAGTATATTAATTATTGAAGATAGAATATTTTACTGAAAGAAGACATCATTTTATTTTTAATAACAAATAAGCGAAATTTCTGTGTAAAACGGAAACAGCCACAGAACAAAAAAAAAGGAGAACTGCATTCACAGTTTTAAAAAAATCTCCTGTCACAACCGGGAATAAGCCTCGTGAAATGTGAAACAAAATAACACATGTATTTTATGATAACCGTTGAAAGGTAAGTATAGGCAAGTCATTTCAAATGCTATGTCATTTAGGAAATGATTATCCTTACTAGCAAACCAGTGAACCAAATGTTCACCAAAACCTGATTAAAAAAAAAAAGTATTTAATTAATTGAGAACTTCAGAGATTTTGTGTGGTTTCTTTTTAAATTCGTGATTTCTCGAAAACCGGAAGTGCTACGTTACTCAAATCCGGTTTGTAGTCTTATCAGACTATTCTTAACTTATAACTTAAATATTCTCTTTATCTATCTCTTACGGTTTGGCCGCTGAAACAGCACCACAGACAGACGGACGGACTTGTCTAATAGATAAGAGATGATCCTTTCGATGGTTATCATAAAATACGGCATATGTTTTTTTTCTAATTTCACGAGTTTGATTACCAGTTGTAGCAGGCGATTTCAAAAAAATCTGTTAATGCTGTTCTTTATTACTAAAAATAAAATGATGTCTTCTTTCATTAAAATATCCTATCTTCAATATTTAATATACTTTTCCTCCGTGGGACTGTATATTAACTTTTCTCCAAAGATGAAGAGACCGGGTGCAGCGTCGGAGAGTACAAAGTAGCGATCACGAGGAGGTGGAACTATGAAAACACTGTTTCCGCTTTCGTCTGCTACGTTGCCACTGGTGAGATTACAACCATTTATCTATACATACAATAAAATGGTAGAAAAGTCAAAACTGTACATGGAATATTTTTAAAAGAATACTTGGGGTGTGATAAACAATTGACACCGAAGCCTAAAAAATAGCTTTTAGATTTTTTGTTTGTATGTATGTCCGGGATAAACTCATAAAGTGCATGGATTTACTTCACGAATATTATTAAGAAATCGGGTCAACATATAGGCTACATATTATCACGCTATCACCTACGGGGAACGAGCAGTGAACCTTCATTTCTAACTAACTCCACGCTTACGAAGTCGCGGGCGGCCGCTAGTATTTTATAGAATAGAATAGAAATAAGTTTATTAGCCTTAAACATAGTCATATTAACATAAATAAAACAAGTCGAAATAGACCAACTAGGTCCCTGCCTCAGCTTAATACTACAGCAACACCAGGACTGCTTCAGCGCTGATAATTTTGGCAGGGCCTATCAACCATTGTGGGTGTGTGTTGTTGGTAGAATCGAAAAATATTTCTGTGATGAGCACAATTTTTTAAATTTAGTTTCCGACTAAATAATTTTGCGAATTGCCAGAATTTAATGTTTTTTTTTTTACATCATAATTGCTCCTTATTTCCCTTGGTCACGTTCACGCCATGTATTTTACCGATTTCATCTATCTTTTTTCTTAACTTTTCTAATAATTCCTAGAAATTCAAACGAGTGCAAACGATTCAAGTTACACGGAACATTTAAGAATCTTAACTTTAAACTATCACCGGAAGGTGGCACTGTTACCGAGTTAAGTTTCTTTTTATTTATATCGAGCAGGACAGCGTCTGCCGAGTCGCCTACCTATAATATATATAAACTAAATGGTTCGTACTAAGAGTACTGATTTCGCTTCGTTTCGGTGAATACTATAGTTTTTGTTCTCGAGCATGTTTTATACATATAAAAACCTTGCTTTTAAATCACCTTAAACCCTTCGCTTTCCGGGCGAATGCACTGACCATTATGCTACCGCGGCCCTGATGGCCGTGCCGAATTCTTTCTAGCCTTTCTTAAGCTGCAAGGCAGCGTCATCTCCTCACATTGTAGGTAACCTACAATGTCTTTCTTTTTCTAGTTATATTTTCATTAATATAATACTTATTTCGTGCAGGTTCGTCTCCCTCGACGTGCCAATTGTCGTTTCCTAGCGAAGACGCGTGCCACTCGCATCGCGATCTGGCGGCGCAGATGTCTAGAGAAGATCTAGCTGCCGTTCTGGAGTACGCGCTCAGGAAACTGCTCAGAGATCCCCCGGGAGTTGACGAACAACCCCCTGTCGCTGTCAAGATGAGAGTATTCTACCAGGTAAGGGGTAATTGATCGGGGGAAATGGATTTTACAGCCCAATCGCCGGTGTCTGGCAAAATGAGGGACAATTGACTAGGGAAACTGGATTTTTCGGTTCATTCGCCCCTGCTGACAAGGTAAAGGAATTCTATCAGATAAGGGACAATGGACTTTACAGCTCCATCGCCTTTGGACGTCAATAAAAGAGAATTCAACCGAGTAAGGGACAGTAGTCTTTGAACTAGCGGCGCAGTTGTCTAAGGAAGATCTAGCTGCCGTACTGGAGTACGCGCTCAGGGAACTGCTCAGAGATCCCGCGGTAGTAGACGAACAACCCCCCGTCACTGTCAAGATGAGGGTATTCTACCAGGTAAGGGGTAATTGATCAGGGAAAATGGGACTTTACAGCCAAAATAAGGGACAAGTGACTAGAGAAACTAGACTTTTAGGTTTATTCGCCCCTGCTTTCAAAACGAGGGAATTCTATCAGGTAAGGGACAATGGACTTTACAGCTCCACCGCTTTTGGACGTCAATAAGAGAGAATTCTACCGAACAAGGGACAATAGATTTCGAACTAGCGGCGCTATTGTCTAAGCAAGATCTAGCTGCTGTACTGGAGTACGCGCTCAGGAAACTGCTCAGAGATCCCGCGGGAGTCAACGAACAACCCCCCGTCGCTGTCAAGGTGAGGGTATTCTACCAGGCGAGGGATAATGAACTTTAAAGCTCAACCGCCCGTGTCTGTCAAGATGAGGGCATTCTACCAGGCGAGGGATAATGGACTTTAAAGCTCAACCGCCCGTGGCTGTCAAGATGAGGGTATTCTACCAGAGAGGGATAATGGACTTTAAAGCTCAACCGCCCGTGGCTGTCAAGATGAGGGTATTTTACCAGAGAGGGATAATGGACTTTAAAGCTCAACCGCCCGTGGCTGTCAAGATGAGGGTATTCTACCAGAGAGGAATAATGGACTTTAAAGCTCAACCGCCCGTGGCTGTCAAGATGAGGGTATTCTACCAGAGAGGGATAATGGACTTTAAAGCTCAACCGCCCGTGGCTGTCAAGATGAGGGTATTCTACCAGAGAGGGATAATGGACTTTAAAGCTCAACCGCCCGTGGCTGTCAAGATGAAGGTAGTCTACCAGGGGAGGGAAAATGAAGTTTAAAGCTCAACCGCCCGTGACTGTCAAGATGAGGGTATTCTACCAGGCAAAAGACAATACAAGTTACGGGAGTATTCTTAGACGTACAGTGCTCGAGCATTTGGTCAAGGTTACGAGAATTCCGTATAATCCTCAACAGAAACCTTATCGTCAATTGTACTAAAACTAGTGCAGTCAAAGCGAATTTCAGAAACGTACCAAAGCAAATTCACCATTGTCTCCGCAACGTAATGAAAGTACATAATTGCTTTAGAGATATAGCGCGCATTCCGGTGATTATCAGCTCAGAAGGAAAATATGCATTACGTTGCGGAGATAAGGGTGAATTTGCTATGTTACGAGAGAAAATTGGTCTCCCATACGAATTTGCACCCTCTTTTCCACCTCTCAACTTCGATCAACAATTCTATAGATAACGGGTTGCATACAAAATTAAAGCTAAAAACTGTCCGCGTATGTTGAAACTTATGCGGCTACATTCGATTCCCAATGAACAAAGATAAATGTTTTAAAACAGTTTAAGTTTAACCTAATAACAACTATCTCACAAAGGAATAAGGTAACAAATAACAAAATGTTATTTCGCACATACGACCTTTTATCTTATAAAAAGAACTCTCGTTCCTTTTATAAATTATATCTGATATACTTGGAAAAAAACGTTAAAGGTGAAAAAAGGAAAATGTGAAATCAACCTTATGACCCACAAAATAAAATACCAGTCATTAGTTACTTCGTTTTGTATTAACCGAACTAATTTAAAATAAGATCTCAAGCCTCAAGTGTGGCTATATTTACCGAAACGAATTTTACGCGCTGACAGCTACGAATTGTTGATCGAGGCCCCTCAAAGGTTGATTGCTGGAATACCAACTATCCTATGTCCTTTCCCAGGGCTCAAACAATCTCTTGTGGTCGGTCTTTAGATGGGTGACCAAAAATCTTCTATCTCGAGTTCCTCCGTGCTTCGGAAGGCACGTTAATCCGCTGGTCCCGGCTGCATCTGCAGTCGTTAGCACCCGCTAATCTGCACTGGGCCCGCGTGGTGGGTCATGGCACAATCTCCCTATTCCGTCCATAGAGAAGGCCTGTGCCACAGCAGTGGGGACATTAATAGGCTGATGATGATGATAATGAAACAATCTCTTTACCAAATGTGATCTTAATTAGTTCAGTAGTTCAAGCGTGAAGAGATAACAAGCAGACACCCTTCAAATTTATGTATTATTGTTTTATCAGGTATGGAGCGCGCCCCCAGTAGAACGAATCTTGCAAGCGGCCGAAGACGCCAGACTTCGAGTAAAAGCCGCGCCGGCTTTAACAGCAGTGCCCGTTCTGGCGCTACACAACGCATTCACCTTCCTGTCCATCAGTGGGCTCAGGCTGGACGAATGATGTAACCGACCAGTAACAATCGGGTAAGTTATAGTAAGGAGACTTCAAATTTGCATGGAAGGTGGTAGTCACGCAGTGTTGCCAGATCTCACGATTTTACGGGAGATTTTTCTGAAATTTCTCCTGTTCTTTCTAAAACGCATCACGATTTTTTTAAATCGGACCTGGTAACACTGTAGTCACGTATCCGGCAGACTCCAAATTTTAATTAAATGTAGTGCACTTAATTGTAAATCGTTTGCTATAAATATTAGATATTTTTATAATTATTTAAAGTAATATAAAATTATTATATAATTATTGATTGGCAAAATTGCAAGTTTATTTATCTAGTTTTGTTCCCAAAGCATCATTTCAATTTCATGATCATTTTCTATTTACAAGGTAACTAAGGCAGTGATAGTCTTTCATTACATTATCGGGTATTTTGTGGGTATTTATTTTTCAAGAACAATCAATCATTAATTGCTATAATAAGTTCACCACGATTTCACGAATATCAAGCATGACTTGACTGACATTTGTCATAGTAATTAAGTTGACGTTATTAGCTGCCACACACTAAAAATATGACGTTACTTATGACAGAGGGGCTAGCATTCTTACTAAATTGTTAAATTTTTAAACACAATTTAAAACTAATCGGAGATAAATAAAAAAATTAAATTATCTGTATCAAATACAAAACAAGCTTTCATATCATATATGTTTCGTCGCTGCCGGAAACTTTGAACCATTTCCTTACTTGAGCAATAACAGAGACAAATAAACATGCGCAGTAGATGTTCTTGTATGTAAAATTGCTGCTGCGCAGGTTTCCTTGTCTATGGTAGCTGCTCAAGAAGTTTGTCGGGATGTAAACACTGCCTTGTTACCTGTACATTGTGATCCCTTTGATAATGAACAAAAACCGAAAAAACACCTAAACAATATTTTTATGAAGACATTGTTGAGGATCCGAAGTTATAGCCGGAAAAAAAAGTGACAAATTGCCATGGGAGCGTCCAACTCGAAGCGAACGCGTAGTACAATAGAACAATTAAGTATAGCGCACGCATCCGATTCTTATTTATATTCAATAAAATAACAAAGTTAGCGTATTAATATTCTTCAATGTATTCATGTTGGAGAGTATAATTTAGTCTATTACAAAACTTGATATCTTAAATAATGTACAGGGTTTAGTTGAATGAAACAATGTAAGAATATGTTGTAATTTAATGTTTTATTCTCATTTGTAAAATGACTGAAAAACCAAAACATATAAAAGATCTTGTATGTAGAGGTAAAACAAAAGTTATCCCACATATTCTTTAAACTGGCGTTGAGTGTTTTATGTGCGGACGTATTAGAAACAGATTAATGTTCTTGAAACACTCGACATAGAAGACTACGCCAATCAAGTTTGTTTTTTGATTTATAATAAAGAAATGTACACTTATAAAAAAAACTTCAATTCTAGGCAGAGCTATAACCTATAAGCGCTACTAACCTGGACAGATATACAAAATACTCGATTTTTTAGTCCAATTATGACTTTTTTACTCTTACAGATAATCGTATTCTTGACCATGTTTTGATCATTATACTTGCTCACCTATTAAAATATATAATTTCGTTTTTGTTTGATAAATACATAGTCGCCAATGTCATAACTCGAACTACAAACAATGATAACAAGTATAAGTAGTAGATTGTTAATTAATAAAATTTCGTTTGTCCGCAGGTCCCGCTCACGAGAAACAAGAATACAGATGCTTTATTGCCAGTTTATAAAATATACTTGCTGAATATTTTCAGTGTTTATAAAATTTTGTTAATTATGCTACCGAGTTTACCATACTATAAGTCAAATTATATAAATTATTTTTTATTGCAATATATGCGTTTTGAATTTACAAACAAAGAAGAAAAAAACAAAATAAAAAGCAAAATTCAAATTAAATTTATTTTATTTTTTTACAAAATTGACCGAACAGTGCGAGATTTCTAGAACGTTTACACTTGCATTAAGTAGACATAAAGTTATCATTATTCTCTTACAAGTAAGTCTTAATAATTCACCTGTGTCAATAAAGCAACGCGAATTCGGTGTGAGACACACACCCATACAGTTGTGTACATCGTATAAAAGTTATAACATGATTTTATGAATTTCTCTGTGGACACAAAATTTTATCTTATAAATTGATACTAAGTAAATTATGATTAATAATAACCAAAGCATAATTAAAACTAAAAAATGATACATTACAAGTAGTCAGTATTCGATGCATTTACTGATCCACGCCTCTTACACGCCTACAATGTATAATACACACAACATAGTTGGGATGATTGCACACAGCAGTGATTAAAGGAAAATGCGCGCCGCAGACGCGATGTAAGTACAGCAAATGCAAACTTTGCCAGACCTTTACGTATTCCATAGACGCGTCTGCCCTCTGCGTCCGAATCAAGCGTCAGACTTCGCCCTGGAAACAAATACTACCCAAGTCTGCTACGCTTTAATACTATCTCCATAACGAAGCATAAATAAATAATTTTATTATCATGAAATAAACATAACTATATCTCTGTGTTTAAATAATTTGATCTTTTCTATATAAATCTATATTCATTGGGTTTTATATACTTTCCAGAACGAAAATGAGTAAATTAGCTTTTAAGGTAGCCTATTTATTTTGTACTTTGAAATTAAGTAAGAGAAAAAAAATCACTTGATAGAAGAGCTGCTGAATTTCATTCATCAATTAAACTAAAAAAAACGAAAAAACCTTAACATAATCTAAATACCGTAATTAATCAACAATTTCTATAAATTGCGTATAGGGGGAAACTTCACGATAAACTCATATCCAACTCATAAGTATAAATTTATTTCAGGCTTCTCAAGTTATACATTCGGTGTGAATATTAACATTATAGTCATTACCACAACGTTCACTCTCCAATATATTCACAGGAGACAAAGGGCTGTATACTCTTGTATCCATATAAAAGTATAACTAAAATAAATACCTTAATAAGCAAAATTAACAATACTCTATCATCATTCTATTTATACCAAGAAGGAAAAATGCGATCTGTCTTAGATAAACGTACTTATTAAGCCAATTTTGATGAACACCGAGAAATGAGTATGTTTTAGAAACAAAAGTGAAATGCATTGAAAGGCAGATATTTTCTTTGCTTATACATTTTTATTCAATTCAGAGTTTGAGATACCTCCATTATGTATAGTATTGTACACAACTAAGTAGAGCACTTTCTAGTCCGTCCACACGCGGAAGAGCCGGCGGGCGCGCCGCCACACGTTCAAATATACGAATACGCACTTCTCAAACATAAATAACAAAGTTCGTCGCCACAATACATGATTCATCATACAGAATGCTTACAAAAAAACAAATCTATCAATAAACATAGTGAATTGCCCAGCTACCCATATAGTGAAGTTAGTATTAAGTTACTGTACAGTTTACACGTTAGTGATCTGCGTTCTACAGCTATGTTCCTAACCACTCGGCTTCCGGCGACGGCGGCCACTCCCCCCCAGGGATACAATATACAATGCCGGCGCAAACTATCTTCAACTTACATACATATCCTACCGGTTAATTATATTAATCAGATTTATGCAACCTTACAACCGAAGCGGATAAAGTTACGATACGTACGAGCTAACGTCTGCTAGTTATATATTACACGGTCCACTATACACTCGCGAGTTCAGTCTGCGTCGGAGCCCTCGTCGGGCGCGTCCGGGACATCTTCGGACACTTCCGGGACATCTTCAGACACTTCCGGGACATCTTCAGACACTTCCGGGACATCCTCGGACATGTCGGGGATATCCTCGGATACGGTTGGGACATCCTCGGACGCGTCCGACTGGCGCGCTTGAATCCGACTCTGCAGATACTGTCGATGCGCGTATTTGTTGAACCGACGCTTGGCCATGAAGAGCGTGGCTATGGTGCGAGGCGCGAGCCGGACGGCAGCCGCGCGGGAAGTGATCCCGCCGCGACGGCACTCGCCGCACGTGTAGTCCAGCACGTTGAGCGACGACACCGTCTGCCTAACGCATTCTGTCGCACACGACAAAACACACTCGTTCAATATGGATGAGCAATAGGAAAAATTATGAGCTTCGCTTGTGATGCTTGCTTTTTTACAATTTTACCATTTTCATATGGAAGTTTGATTTGTTGACTTGATGACAAAGGGAATAGTTGGCTCGAATTATATTTTCTATGAAGTTTACAAGCACTATAGAGGCGGAGGTGGACGCGATCAAAATGCTTCACAATGTGAGTAACTTTTTATTTGTGACACATTACTACGGAATACTTATGGTCTCACTTAAATTATGACCAACAGTTGCATAAACTTTAGTTAAGAGAAGAACTTGACAAGTTTAATGATTAATTACACTTCATTATCTTCACGCCGAATGCGGACTACCCCCAAAATAATTAAAATAAAGAAGTAGCTATATTTCTCCTGGTAAAGCCTTATAAAATTAACAAGGCGATTAAACATATTTTGTTTGAAGACGCAAAGGACTCCTCTTTGAAGGAACATTGTAAGCACAATATTCGGTTTATTGTATTTAATGTGGCCGTAGGCGTAAGTAATGTTAAATATTTGGCACTGATGTATAATATTCAGTAGTTTCTGCCCTAGGTACAAACTGCGGCCATATGAATGTCTAAAACTACTTTAAATAATATTCTTCCGATGCGTCTTACGATAGATTTAACCCAAAAAAAAAAATTTAATGGTGGCAAACAAGCATTTAGTCTGCCTGATGGTTAGCACCTATCATAGTCGAATGACGCTTGTGATAATAAAATTATCTCTCGCGCCGTTACCTACCCTGTCCCAATCTCGTACCCTGTGAAGGTAGGTATTATTTCACTGTAGTTTTCCATAAGGTGCAGGTTACTTCCCCAGGCGGGCTCACCAATTCAACATCGCTATGCCCTATTTCTATAATTCTTTATTGATTACTAGTTAAATCAAAGAAATGGAGGCCTTCGAGTCGCAATTAATTTGTGAAAGCAAAACATCTAACATAATATCGGCGTGCACTGGAAGTTAGGCCGTATACAGAAAGAAAGCTGGAAGCCTTCCAGCGCTTGTCAACGCTATTCCTTACTGGTAACAGTTACATAAAGGAAGCAGAAGCGTAGTTGTTCATTAATTTTATAGGGTGGTGCCAGCGCCGACCAACCCTTGTCGGCACTTGTAGGCGACGTTCGGCGCTTATCGGCGCTGGTCCATAGAAATGCCTGCGCCGGTTACCTGCACGAACCGGTTCCTATAAGCGCTGATCGGCTTCCAGCTTTCTTTCTGTATACGGCTTTAGGCGTTTAGTTGCTTGCGAATGGGCTATTTGATACTATGAAAAATAAAGTACTAATTGTTGGCAACTGTATTTATTATGAATAAGCTGTGACTTTACTATTCGGAGAGAACAAATAATTAATACCTTTTCAAAAAAAGATCATGAATTAGAATTGTTTTTTGTTTGTTCTATGGTCACGCGACCGAAAACGCCTGGGATTGACGAGGACTAAAATGACGTCACACACTAGTAAACTTCCCGTCAGGTCAGTTACATTGTATCGTGTAACGTTTGAAGTTTAAATGGCAGTCGTGTGACGTCATTGGCCAGAGAAACGTTTGCGCGGCAACTTGAAAATGGTATTTATGAATGTTTTTTTTACTCAAATATTCCAACAGAATGATGAACATTTACTTTTTATGGACTCCAAAAACTATTAAATAACGAGAGAACTTTTACTAAAACCTGCATTAGCAGTGAAGGTTTTGCCTTCATCTCATCGTTGCCCTTTCTAGACGGCTACATCAACTCAGTTATTGATATGGTCAGTATAGTGTCTCAACCGGACCTATATCCCCTTATTCCAAATCGCGGACTAAAGTTAGTCTTGGTTTAAACCTAATTGTCTCTGTCTTGTTTATAACAAACAAAGGTGAAAGCTTCAGTTTTCGTCCAGGTTTAACTTAAGTCTACGTTTTGTAATAAAGCGAATATAGTCTTCAAGATCATCAAAATATTAAAACTTTTTGTTGTACGCTATCATGTACAGCCATGGACTCATCAAAAATTGTACTATTTTCTCGATCGATTATATTTTATTTCAAGCAAGATAAAGCAAAAGTCCGTTTTGGAAAACTCTACCTGTGATTGCTTGTAAACTTCAGAGGAGACAGTCAAAATGATTTATCACGTCATATAAACAAATTCACTTGTTGTTAAAAAGTAAAATTGCAATGCATCACAAGGGCTCGCAGTGAATATTACTAATTCCTATCCTAATACAACAATGCATTGCACACACAAACTCGTAATTCTGTCGCCATGACAGGTATGGTATTGGTCGCGGCAAACTTATTGAGCAAAACCACAGACACGTAAACATGCGCAGGAGACGTATTTGTATGTAAAATTGCTACTACGCAAGGTTCCTTGTCTATGGTCGTTGCTGAAGCAGTTGGCCGGGATGTATACGTGTTGTACTGACAGATCTATTCGGGACGCTATATTTACGCCCCGTAACAGTCGCAAGCTTCGACCGTTGGTCCTTCGACGTAATAAGCTTAGGTAAATACTACTAAACGAACACTTGTCAGGAGTTCACATGTTTATGTAATAACATAGGAGAATATCATCTTGTTTCTTTATTATTTCCTTTCAACAACAGACATTCATTTCATTCCTGTTTGTATCTAAAATTTCAGCAGTGAACACCTGCAACCGCGCATGCGCAATTTCCATCTAAACACATCTTACTAAAGCACGGAAGATAGATAACGTGTTTATGGAATAATAACACTAAAACTCAAACATTTTCCTGACCTTTAGTGTCAATATCCCATACTACTTAACATCTATCTGTACAGTGCAATTTTCCAGCATAATGTCAACAGATTCATTTCAAAATCCTCTATGTCTACTGTCATACCTTCGATACAGTCCGAAATCTAGGCAAATCGAATGAGTAGTGATAGAAAAGCAAGCGAAATAAACGAAAAGCGGCCACAACGCTGTATAGTAGCACAAACAAAGGTAATAATGGCGTGGACGTTTGCGGTCATGCAATAGGTCTTTGATATCGGGCAAAGCATCGTGAGGATAACATTTTCACTATACACTAATCGCTATTGAATAGGTATTATAATATTATCCCCACTATTGGGAAGACGTTCGGGCAATACCAGACGTGAAATAGCGCACAGTTCATTTCATAATGACTATATTTCCGTAGTTGCATGAAATTATTAAAAGCGAATTATTAATGAATCGTTAAGAGTCAATGTTTGTTCAATACAAACGTTCTCGTCTGATTCCCCCTTGATTTTTATCACTAAAGTATTGATTTTCATACATAAAATATAATTTTACTCTTTCTATGCTCCCATGTCTTCCTTAATTCGATAACTTGTGTTTTAAAGAAACTAGATGTCATCAAAAATAGTAAAGTGTGGAGATTAATAAGCATTTACGAAAAAAGCAAAACATAGAGGCATACTTTCTTTTACATATATCTAATTTTCGATGAGTAAATCGTCGAGAGCCAACCTCGAATTTTGCAATTTTTATACGCAATTTTCAGCGTTACCAACTGTTGTCCATATCGCACGGTATTTGCTAATGCGTGGTAGCTTTAGGATTTTCAAATACCTATTTCTCAAATGACCCTCAGCTCACGTCCGCTCTTCTAAAATTTGCAAAATTCGAGGTTTGTCTCTCGGCGATTTCCTCCCCGAAAATTAAACATATGTAAAGGAAATTTTACCCATGGAATAAAAAGTAGTTATACTATGCCTTAATGTTTTGCTTTTTGTAAATGTTTATTAAATCTCCACACTAGACGTCTTTAGTGGTGATAAAATTTTGTTTATTTTTGGCATTTTTGAGGGTTACTAAGTTTCCTTGAAACGCGAGTTATCGAAAAAAGGAAGACATAGGAGCATAGATTTAAAAATTACATTTCATGTATGAAAATCAATACTGTAGTGATAAAAATCAAGGAGGAATTGTATAATAAAATAAATAAATAATTTTAAAAAAATGTCTTTTTTGGTAACTATAAAAACTATACTTGTAGTAAAGAGTATCCGCTGTTATAACCTCGACAGAATAGGGATGATGACTAATTTTTTTTTCTTCGTTTATCAGGTAGATTATCAAAAAGTATTGGACACGTATTTTTTCTTTTTTCACATAATATAAACATTGCAGAGATATATTGATTTGAAAAGTCGCATGACGTCACGTTTGAGTACACTTATAAGTGAAAATTCACTCAAAAGTGACGTCACGAGCCCCTACTCCCAAACTTTGACGCGCTATAACTTTGTCATTTTTTGGTTGATTGCCCAAAGAAAAAATACGTGTCCATTATTTTTTGATCATCTTACTGACGGACTAAATAGAATTTCGTTTACTGTACCCCGTCATCATCCCTATTACGTCCATGAACCAATCATGAACAAACAATATCATGTTAGTACAAGGATTTGTACTCAAATTTACAACCTTAATCTATCAGTGAAAATATGCTATGCAAACTGTGCTACTGTAATTTGAATGAAGTATAGGTGTCGGCAAACTTCTTGAGAAAAACCGTAGACAAATAAACTTGCGCAGTAGATGTTTTTTTATGTTTAATAGGCTAGGCGTTTGACCACAATCTCGCCTGATGGAAAGCGATGATGAGGCCTAGGATGGTACACGCCTGCCTAGAAGATGCCTGGTCACTCTGGACTTGAAGATGTCCAGATTATATTGATCCGGGAAAACAAATCTCGGTGTCCCGGATTTCCACTCCCTAGCCGTTCGCATAATGAAACCGGAAGCAAATGTAAAATTGCTACTGCGCAGGCTACCATCTTGTATACGGTCGACTCTCAAGTAATTTGCCGAGGTTTGTAGCTAACACTAAGATGAAATGTGATCAGGCGGATGAACTGTGCGCGACTCCACTAGGCTACAACGGTTGGGAGGGGCAGCAAGCGTACCACCGTGTGACGTACCTTGATGGAGCTGCCTATCGCAGAGCTTACATATGACGAGCTGCATGGTGCCCTTCGGGCCGATGAAGGACCGCTCGCAGAGGGGGCAGTAGCGACCGATGCGATACGCCCTATACGCACGCACGCACACACACATACCGCACGCGCACAAGCACCGGAACACAGAAACACGGCATTAGTATCGCGATCGCGAGGTGGCGCTACTCTCGCGTTCGCTTACTACTTATCTCCTAGGCTCTGTGGGGCGTACTCTTACAATTAACGTTCGATGTATCGTGAAGAATGTTGTGGTGTATCCTACTTTAAGCATAGAGGTATAAGAATAGATTGGCGAAGGCGACTCTAAAAGTGTCCGTCTAGAAGAAAGAGAAAGAAGATGAGAGACTGCTAGCTATCTCTCTCTTGTGACGCATGAGCAGTCGTCTGTCCAATGTTTGGTCCAAGCATCACATCGAAATTGTAAGATGCTTACGGTTGCCAATGTGCATGCGCGATTAGACGACCTCCGTGGCCGAGTGGTTAGTACGCCGAGTTTCATGGTGTCGCCGATTTGAGAGGTATTCTAATATGTATTTCTATATAAATATACTTATATATGTACAGTATATGTATTCTATCCGTTACCTTAGTATCCCATAACACAAGCCTTGCAGTGCTTAATTTGGGGCTAGGCTAATTGGTGTGTGTTTAAAAAAAAAGCTAGCGGTCTCTCATCTTCTTTCTATTTCTATTAGAGGGACACTTCCACTTGTAGTAGAGTATATATCTCCCCGACTCTATTCTTATACCTCTATGACTTTAAGTGCCTGTCCATATCTCCACGTTAGGACGTCGTCAACGTGCAACGGTGCGGTAATGTTGCATGGTGCGTTGACATAACGTGCTTACCTGCCCCCACTAGCATGAGCACCGCGATATGATATATAACGCGTTTTTATCACGCTCAATTGTCAAATTACTATGAAGTTTGACAATTAGACGCGATAAAAAACGTTATATAATGTAAATTGTAGTGCTCATGCTACAGGGACTGGTCGTTAATTTGCACTTTATGTCAAACGCGTCAGGCCGCGTTACTGCACCGTTTCATGCTGACGACGCCATGACGTACAGATGTGGACAGTCACTAAAACGGCCATAGTCAGAAGGCTCAAATGAAACAAATGTAATTTTAGAGTCACGCGTTGTCTTACTCTACTGTTCTAGCAAAGAAAGTGACAGATATAACCTCAGTCAAACTTAATTGATGTCTCAGAGTACGACCATAGGGATTTAAAATGCGAGTCAAAGAAGGATGGACAGCGATATATCGAATGTCAATTTTAAGAGTACTGGTGCTGTGCATGAATGGAGCATCGTGTAGCATTCGATTTGGCCTAAACCAGTTCAATTAATGAGGAAGGCGATGCCAGCTTTATGTCCTTGTTCAGTAGTGATGTGTAATCAAATTTTATGTATATTTTAGTATACTGTTGTTGATGTAACGGCTTTGTATAAACATAGTTTACATAACACGTATAAATAACACTCCCAAATAGAAACTACAGAGAACACCCACTTTTTGTAACAGCTGGGTCTTAAGTTGAGGTTCGGAAAAATATAGTGATGATATGTGTAATTTGCTAGTGACTATTATTTAAATTAACTTTGAGTATTGATACACTGCCATTGTGTGCACCGGGCAGCTAGAAACTGACGAATTCTATTTTATTTATCTCGCTTTTTATTTGGCATGGCAGTGATTTTGATAAAAAGTATAATACATAATAGTATATATATTGATAATATTTTTTTGTGATGATTTACATATAATCATACATCCGGATAGATAGACATTCTGAATAATACATTTATGTACATATGCATGTCTATGTGAAGTGTACTTTATTTGTGTAGTGATTTGAGCCAGAAGACAAGTAATAAAATAAATACAAATCAGTTAGTTCTCGCATGGAAACTGTTCTATGCCCCTGTTAGTTGTTAAAAATGATAGTGATGAGTTAGTCGGGATATCTGGAATAGTGACTGATGATGGAACACCCTTGGTTGGTACATTGAGGCAATACTTAGAGAAAATTTAAGCGAATACGTACGACAAAAAATAAATACCTAACTATGTATTGCATCAACACCAGTTAATCAAAAGAGATCATTACCAATAACAGTAAATATAGAAAATTGAACAGTAAAGTAGGTGAGAATGAGATAATAATACGATTTCACAATACTAAAGAGATGCGTTATAATAAAATTAAGCTTTGTGCGTATATTCATATTGCCCAGAAGTGACCCAACACCCGCAGTAATAGTGTACTTTGCTGTTCCTTCATCTTACAAAAAAAAACTGATTGCTCATTTCCTTTTACTTCTCTTGTAAATAATCAACTGTATTAAATAAAGCAATCAATTTTGTGTGAACGACTAGTAAAAACTTAGAATGTAGCATGCAACTTATCATATAGAGGTAGGGGTGTGTGCTGAGTAAGAACGCTGCATTGGGGCATAGAGAAACATTCTGCGGGGGGTCAAAACTCTACTGGGTACCAGAGACAAGCGGATGTCGACAGAGTGAAGGCAGACGTCGAGCCACAGAATGGATCAGCCCGTGTTAGTCCACAACGAACACGCAATGAGATGACGTGAGTACACAAGAACTACCAAGACCAGTCAATTATGATAAAAAAATGACACATAAAAATCATTGTAAGACTTTAAATTTTGTACTTTGGCATCCGAGTCCCTCGCTTTATACTCTTCTATGGAATTAAACGGGTTCTCGTTATGTTGTAGCCTCTCTTGGTTTTACTTGAAAAACAACACCGGAACAGCTTTGTTTAAAACAGTATTCATAAAAAAGGAGCCTCCTTCGGAGAGCTATTTGCTGGTGAATCAAACATCAGTACAAAAATAAACCTTTTAAATTTGTTGTTACCGTAGATTCTTCACAAGTCCTGTGTCATTTGTAAAAGTTGACAGCTTTCTTTATATATTAGTCAAGAAGGAACAATTAAAAAACAACCTTATAGTGAAGAACCCATAGTAGTAGGTACACTGGCATATCATGTAAATTGTTACTTTGTTCTCAATACATACAATGGTAAGATTCTAAAACGACATGGTATAAAGTAACAAAACAGGAATTTAAGATCACCTTCACTGTTAAATCCCAAATTTTCAAAAGATTGAATTCGACAAGTAATTTATATATAAAGCTAGAATTAACTAAGCAAAGTATCACTAACTTAGAAGGTGCTCTAAGTCAGGGTTGTGAATTAACTGTGCGAGTGAATATTTGACAAAGAATAACTGCAATGAATTAAAACTTAAATGCTCAGTCTACTTTAGTATATTGCAAGGGAATCAATTATATAACTCGCTTATATGCAAATTCAATAGAGCGAAAAGTACTCAGAATTCCAAATGAGTAACGCATAACTACGCAATGCCATGATAAACATTATAAATATTTCTCTGAATTGTTTTATTTTATTTTGCACTGTTTGAATTAAAATCACTGACAGAAAAATAATGACTTTTAAAATCAGAAAAAAGGTATCTCATAATAATACTCCTATTCAATTGTGAAAGAAAATACTCCCTGGAGTTACATGTACGAAAACAAAATCTTCATTGAGAGTTCACCTAGACATAATAAAATGATACTAACGATTAATTGGAGTGTATGGCTTTTAGGAGATACGAGAGAATATAACCATGCTTACAGTCAGGTAAGGAAACCAAGGGATCAGAGTATATATCCATACATAATATTACAAAAGTTCATTCACGCGTATCACCTTGAAATGTCTTACACTCTAAAGAGGACCATATCGATTGTTCGTATTTATAGTTTTAACTCCGGACACTATTCATAAAGGTACATACAAGATAGATATTGGTGAAGTGAATTTTATCACTGACATCAAAAAAGGTTTGTACAATAAAAAATAAATATTCAAGCAAGTTTAAAAGACTATAGTGCGATTCAAATAAGAATAGGAAAGCCAATGACCTCCACCTGTCAAAGGTCGCTTGAAAAGTATGGTTTGCAAAAAAATCTTGGAAACCTTTTTTTAGCACTCAGCTAATTCTAGAATAATAACCAAACATTTGTGACCAAACTATAACAAATATTAATAATTAATATTGGTGCTATTTTTTTTTTCATTTATTGAGCTTTGCCTATGACTGGTTGATAACCTAAATCGTCAACCAAATGTCTTTTTAAGTTGCATTCAGAAACTCGATTTAAAACTTTCGTTTACATAAAGGCTGCATGTTCGAATGTGACCTAGTAATAGTGCATGATTATTCATAACTACTCCGGCGATAATGCAGAGATGAGCAGAATTGAAGAGCTAGATTTTGATTAATGTTTTTTCTCACACAGTCTTAATAAATAAATATTATTAAAAATCAGCTGTTTTTCTTTCTCAATCTTAGTAAGTAAATTTTATTAAAAAGATCCGATGTTTTTCTCACTTAATCTTAGTAAATAAGTTTAATTAAATAAAAACTTTTTTTGCTCACTCTACATATTTGGTTTGAATTGACAGCTATGAAGTAACAATATGGCGCCCAGTCGGTCCTATTCTTAGTTGAATCGCATTATACAGTAGTTCAACGGGGGATTCAATAAATATAGACTTGAATAAAAGTTACGGGAAGTGAAAACAAAACAATCAACACAGCCCAATAAAATTCAAAGAGTAGATAGAACTGCGGCTTATTTAGAGACTGACCTGGCGCAAGGCGTGCATAGAGAGTGTGAGTAGACTTTGTGACCACCGGGGCCACGTTTCGTCTGATGGTGCCAATCGGCCTGACCGCTGGCCCCGGGTGTGGAGACATTCGCCCCGGGCGTGGAGACGCTTGATCCGGGCATGGGGACGCTTGCCCCTGGCGTGTGGACGCTTGCCCCGGGCGTGGGGACACTGGCCCCCGTGCCGGGGTCTCTGGGGCCACTGGGGTCGCGGGCGCCGCACGATTTACAAACAGCGCATTCTACGCAGTGCCATCGTCCTGTGGGTTGATCGAATGTGTAACTCAAAAACCGAGCAGTTCGTATTGATGTGTAACATCTTTCCTCTCGCTTTCCTGCAATTTGTGGGATTGAATTCTAGAAATGGGACGGAAGTGTGTAAAAGAAAGTCGCGAAAGCGCGCGCTATTTGATTCGATTTTAGAACAATGTTCAAATGGCTTATTCCTTTTGTAGTAGGTTTTATTTCTTTTTTTACTTATATAAGGTGAAGTTTCAAATGTTACACATTATACGGGAGTACTGTAAGGCTCGCTCGTTATTTTTTTATAATACATCATACAAAAATTCATACAACCCTAAATTTTCACTCTTCTACCACCAACTCCTATTTTTTTATGGCGGTACAAAGTTCCCTGGGACAGCTAGTATCTCTTATCTATTAGACAAGTCCGTCCGTCCATCTGTGGTGCTGTTTCAGCGGCCAAACCGTAAGAGATAGATAAAGAGAATGTTTAAGTTATAAGTTAAGAATAGTCTTATAAGACTACAAACCGGATTTGAGTAACGTAGCACTACCGGTTATCGAGAAATCACGAATTTCAAACGAAACCACACAAAATCTCCGAAGTTCTCAATTAATTAAATACATGTTTTGGTGAACATTTGGTTCACTGGTTTGCTAGTTATTATATTAATTTTACCGGCGGGCTGGGTATGCAGGCCGGCACATTGCGCGTGGAAGCCCTTGTCGCATAGGCCGCACATCATCAGCGCCGGGTCTCGTTGTCCGCAGACTGCGCACGTTTTGCATTCGCCGCATTGCCACGCGTACTCGCGGCATTTGCGGATTGTGTCCGCGCCCAGATCCGTGCATCCGGGGTGCACTGATGACAAACAACATTACAGTTTTAATTTTGACATTGTGGGTTACCTACGATGCGAAGAGATGGCGCTGCCTTGCAGCTTAAGAAAGGCTAGAAAGAATTCGACACGGCCGTCAGGGCCGCGGTAGCATAATTGGTCTGCATCCGCCCGGATAGCAAAGGGTGCGGGTTCGAGTCCCGCCTGCTGCCTGGTCCGCGTGGACATAACTATAATTGCTGTTTCTTCTTCCGAATGTTTAACACTTGTAAAAGTATTCATATGACATTGTGGGACCTACAATGCGAAGAGATGGCGCTACCTTGCAGCCTATGGCTAGAGAAAATTCGACACGGCCGTCAGGGCCGCGGTAGCATAATTGTACAGTGCATTCGCCTGGAAAGCGAAGGGTGCGGGTTCGAGTCCCGTCTGCCGCCTGGTCCGAGTGGAATTTTCTCTAGTAAACTTTTCTTTAGATTTAAACATAACAGTTATTATAAATACTAGTATATCTTGCAAAAAAAGTCAAACCCATAACTTTATTACGAGATATAAGAACATACCTGCCGTTCCATGTTTCAGACTCCAAAAATCAAGAGGTTCATTTCTGGGTCCTAAGTATTGCATTGTTTAATAAAGTTCCTCAAGATCTGATTGGCTTCCACTGACCAAATTTAAATCTCAGATCAAGAATACTCTTATGAATAAGGACTATTATAAAGTTGATGATTATCTTAATGATCGTAATGCATGGATATAGCGTTTCTTGTAATTTGTTATTTGAAAAATGACTAATACCCATTATTAGTCATTTTTCATAAGAGTAATATGGTACCTATCTAATGCCGCTTCCTATATACTAAATTTTTTGTACTAATACATGAACATTATTTAATGTACAGTATCCTCGGACCACGGAAATACACGTGATATATTACTACCCCCTTATGGACACCTCCCCCCCCCCCCCTTTCGAGCCTCGCGTGATTGATGGACATCACCTAATGAAAAAGAAAGAAAGGTTACTGTAAACACTCACGTTTAGCATTACAGGCGGCGCAGGCCAGGAATCGCTCGTGCGTATACTTCCTGTTGGCCTCGAGTCTCAGCTTGCACACGCGGCAGGTCTCCTCGGGCTCTCCCCTCTCCTCCTTCTCTCTCTCTCCTCTGTCCTTCTCTTTCGCTCCGTCCGTTTGACTGTTGCGTTTCACTTTCGACAGTCTTTTTCGCTGGAAAAAAGGTTACGGTTGACAAGCCTTAATACAAATAAAATGAAAATGCATTTTATTCAAATTGACTTATTGTTTAGGAGCTTAGTTTAGTTTTACTTATAGGAGCTGGATGGCTCAAGTGTTTAACGCGTTCGGCTACGTTCGTTGAAGTTAAGTTAAGCTTTCGCAATGGTCGGTCATTGGATGGGTGACCAAAAAAAATACTATCTCGAGCTCCTCTGTGCTTCGGAAGGCACGTTAAGCCGTCACGGCTGCATTTGCAGTCGTTAGCACCCACCAATCCGCACTGGGCCCGCGTGGTGGGTAATGGCCTAATCGCCCTATTCTATCCATAGGGAAGGCCTGTGCCCCACCAGTAGGGACATTAATAGGCTGATGATGACTTATAGTTTTAATTTCTTTTAAATAGTCTATTTTTTAACGGATTGTGTTGTTGTCGTTACTCTGACTAATAACTACTATTTTGAATGTTATATAGTTTTTTATTCTGTCTATTGTTAAGCGATTGTGTGATAAAGAAATCAATCCACTACCCGTTTCTAACTTAACTTAAAGCTGTACCAATCACAAGGCTCAACAAAAGCATTAATTCATTTAAAGGTCTTTGTGTACGCTTCTACAATGAAGTACAAAAACTTAGCGTGAATAAACTTAAAGCTACCATTAAAGTTCTTATTAATAAAGTATCTAATCAGACACCTATTTATTTATCAATAGAATAATTTGATTTTTTAAGAATACACGTTTTTTTTGAAATATTATCATATTTTAGACAAAAATGCTTGGGTTGAAACAGTTCCAAACGCCTCGTCAGGCTGTTTCTATAATTATGATGAAGATGAAATGATGTTGTTACATAATTATTCAGCGTAGTGTAGTCTTTTTCGCCAGTTTTACTGAACGGCTAAAAATGTCCTTATGCGTGGTAGGGGGAAAAATATGTACGATACAAAAGAATTGTATCATAAATTCAATTTTAGCGTGTGATGTATCACAGAAAACAGTCCAACTCCGCCAGGGACGCCCCCAGTGCCTTCGTATTGGTAATAGGCTCTTGGAGGTTTCACGATGAATCAAGGTGTTCTTAAGGCCACATATGCCCCAACTGCTGAAACTTTTATAGATTGAAATTAATTAATTTACCTTGGCGGGCAATCGGTCCGAGTCGTCGGAGGATTGCGAGTGGTCCGAGTCCGCGTCCGAGTCCGAACTGGACTCGGGCTGCGGAGGCGTCGGTGGTACTGCTGTCACCGTGTTCAGGGGGAAGTACCTGCGATGTATAGGATAAATGTAATCTATACTAATATTATCAATAAATGAAGAATAAGCTTGGATTACAAATGGCACTTGAGTGATATGTATGAAAATTACATTTTGGTCATATAGGTATTTATAAATATCAGAAACTGTGTGATCTGAACAACGAATTAGAATTCTATGGCAGCACACCCTCTCTCTAACAAAGCCGCTAAAACATGGTGTTAAACTCATACAACTAAATTTCAATACTAACGCGGCTGCCGAATCAAATATTTGCAGGTATTTGATTCGGTTACCATCCGTCCGGATTTGTCCGAACATTTTGCCTTTTGTCCGGCTTTTTAATTTGTCCGCTTTTTTTTTAATTAGATGGAATATGAGTAGAACTACTTATTAAGTTATATCAAATAAGTCAAATAATCTTTATTAAGTTCTCATTAATTTAAAACAAAAAATATAAATTATCTTTGGAAATCAACACCGAGACCCCCCCTCGCGATGCGAGCGTCTGCTACCACGCGTATATCAGTGTAACTAAGTGGGTGATGTTTGCATTTTGTGACTAAAATGTCCGGCTTTTAGTCAAGACTTTTCAAATTTTTATATAGTTACCCTACCTGCCACTGAATTTGGCCACCCATTCATTGGGGGTAAGATAATGTTAAAGTGAAACGAAAATGCGAGCGTATGTCTCTGAGCGCGGCGTGTTGGTCGTTCTTTTTTAGCTCCGCCCACTTGATAGCACTCTGCGTGGAACAAATTTTTAGCGCAGTTCGTGTTCCATATCGACAGTGGAAAGGTATAATCGCTTATACGCCACTTTGGTCGAAAATGTGGCGGGCGGGCCGGGCCGGGGCGCGCGCCTAGTGTTAAGCGCCATCGTCTTCACAATAATTAATTCCGTATTTTTGAATCGCTCGAGTGCAACGAATGGGTGAGGCCACTCGCTGCATGGCGAATGGTGGTGACGAGTGATAGAATAATTGTCATTTTTTGTCATGCTTTATATGAAACGACAACGAGAATTTTTGTTCGGTTTTCATTGCGGTAATTACCGGTTTTTAGTATTTCTGCGTGAAATGAGTAAAATTTTACATTTCGTATTAAACAGGTAACACCGGTGACGAATGATTCAAAAATACGGAAAATCAGTATTGTGCGACTTGAAAGTCGAAGGTGACTTATGTCGCATTCGACGATACTATGTAAGACGAGTGATTCAAAAATAGAGCTCCAGATCGGCGCACGCGGGCCGTCGCACCGCGGTCCATTCTAACATGACAACATATCCGCACCTCAGATGGTCGGCAGTGTAGCGGCGGTACGAGTGCTGGTACTGGCCGGGCAGCAGCGCGTGCGGGTAGAAGCCGGCGGGCGGCCGCAGGTGCGTGGCGGGCGGGCCGGGCCGGGGCGCGCGCCTAGTGTGCAGCGCCATCGTCTGCAGGTCGGCGCACGCGGGCCGTCGCAACGCGTTCAGGCGCGCGTTCCATTCCATGGCAGACGCTATCGCTGCGGCTGCCAAGTCCTGGAGATACAATATGGGGTTAGATTTTAGATTGTACTCGATGTCTGTATGATTCTTTTAAGGAAATAGCTATACTATTGGTTCACAAATCAACGTTGGGACAAGGTACCGAGAAGAGAAGCAACGACAAAAGAAAAATTGGTGCGGTTTTCTGACGGCCTTAGTGACGTCATGCTTCTTTTCAGCCTTGGCGGCGGCTCCGTCAGCTGCCGGGCCCGCTGGTGGGCGCGGTACTCCTCGTACTTTTGAGGGTAGTCCGATAATGAACCTTAAGATTACCTGACCACCACTCATGTGGCGGCGCCACACCACCACTCATATAGAGCCCGAGCAACATCGCTCGGGCGGCTGCGCCTGGGCTAATCTCATCCAGTCGGGAGGAAGATCTTTCCTTTAGACCTTCTTTGAGACAGATAAGTGCATAGCTGTTTCGTCTTCTCTGAATGAACTTCAGTGACGTCATTCTATTACTGAGGCTATAGCTCGACCTTGAAATCTGAAAGGGAATCTTAAGATTGCCGAGATAGAGTTCACCTGTCTAGTCTTCTCAGGGTCGGCTTTAGTGACGTCATACTTTTACTCAAGCCACATTCATCATCATTAATATCTGAAAAGGAATCTTAAGATTGCCGATATAAAGTTCGCCTGTCTAGTCTTCTCCGAGTCGGCTTTAGTGACGTCATGCTTTTACTCAAGCCTAGATCGTCATCATTAATATCTGAAAAGGAATCTTAAGATTACCGAGCTTAAGTTCACCTGTCTAGTCTTCTTTGGGTCAGCTTTAGTGACGTCATGCTTTTACTCAAGCCTAGATCGTCCTCATTAATATCTGAAAAGGAATATTAAGATTGCCGAGATAAAGTTCACCTGTCTAGTCTTCTCCGGGTCGACTTTAGGGGCGTCATGCTTCTGTTCAGTCTTGGGCTCCGCCTTGACGTCGGCGCGGTTGGGCGGCGCCGGGGCGGGCGGCGCGGGAGGGGGCGGGGGCTCCGTCAGCTGGCGGGCCCGCTGGTGGGCGCGGTACTCCTCGTACTTGTGAGGGTAGTCCGATAGCATGATGTCCAGCACTTCGCTCGCGTCTACAGCTGTTACGCCTGGGAGACAAATGTCAGCATTAAATAATAAATAAATAAATATTTCCAACACTCACACCAATTAGCCTAGCCATAAGGTAAGCACTGTAAGGCTTGTGTTATGGGATACTAGGATAACGGATAATACTGATGATGCTCATATAGATATACATATTAAACATCCATGACTAGAGTACAAATGCTCGTATTCGTCACACAAACATCTGTCCCCACCGGGATTCGAACCTGGGACCTCTCGAGTCGGCGACACCATGAAACCCGGCGTATAAACCACTCGGCCACAGAGGTCGTCAAAAGGATTGTTATCAGGCTATTAATATATGTATATACCTTATATATCAATCACTTATTTGTATTTATACTGTATGCACAGCAATCAAAATGCAGATCAACTGAATCACGCAAAAACGGCTGAACCGATTTGGATGAAATTTGACACACATATAGTTAATTACCTGGATTGAAACATAGGATACTTTTTATCTCGAAAAAATAAAAGGGTTCTTGAGGTTTTCTCTCAAAAAACTAAGTCAATGCGGACGAAGTCGCAAGCGGCCGTTAGCTTATGTATATTTCACATTATGTAATAAAAGGTGACTTCACGAATCTCTTGTTGAGTTTCTTCTCAGTACAAGGTCTCCCGTCGTAGATTTATGAACCGATGCAGTAGCTTCTAGACATTCATGAGTGCTTGTAACAGCCTAAACTGAATAAATAATTTTGAATTACATCCTAGAACCTGCTATAGTCGTACAAACGTCATCACTATAGGACAGTCTTGACCTCGGTGACGATACCCGTGCCCAGTACATAGTCCTGCTCGTCGCCGGCGATGATCGCGCGCAAGAACATTGCTATAGACGTACAATCGTCATCACTATAGAAGATACTCACCGAGATCGCACAGGGCTTCGGTGACGATGCCCTTGCTCAGTACGTAGTCCCGCTCGTCGACGGAGATGGTAGCGGCGCAGGAACATTGCTATGGACGTACAATCGTCATCCCTATAGGATAGACTCACCGAGGTCACATAGGGCTTCGGTGACGATGCCCTTGCTCAGTACGTAGTCTCGCTCATCGCCGGCGATGCTGCGCCGCTTCAGTTCTGGGTAGCGGCGCTTGAAGCTTTTCACGCTTAAGAACATTGCCACTTGCTCCTGGATCATCATTACCTGATGGCGAACAATAAAATTGGTTAATATCATCGTCACTTGTCTGTGTTTATTGATAATAATTTATTGACGACCCGTCCGTAACTGTAAGCATTAGCGCTTTGCTTTCTGTCCTGATGGACAAAATATTGATCTGCTGGTTTGCATGGTGTGGAGGTGGTCGTACGAAGGGGTAGAATAGAGGAAAAAAATATAATATTCGAGCGCGTCAGACATTGAGAAGGGATGTTACGTGAACCCTCTGGTACCTCCTATCTAAAAGAATACGCAATGACAAAGTTTTTTGCGGGCCGGCAAGGTGAGGATGGTTGGTGTAACAGTTTATAACTGCTGTACCAGCTATCTTCGCGTTTGGACTTTATCACCACTTAACATCAGGTGGGGTAGTCATTTGCCTGCCCCGTTAAATAAAAAAAAGTGTCGCTTTCAGGTAAGTGTCCCTATAAAGTTACAAAATTAAGCAACTATTTTGGCATTTTCTATTGTATTACTAATTACTAAAATTTTACAAACAAATGATTTTAGGGAACGCTCATAGAGCGAGGTCAGCCTCGCGGTTGACCAGATTTTTAAATAATATTGTAGGTATAACGTTTTGAGTCGTTATTACATGTAGCTATTGATCTATTAAATTGGACCAATTTCGATACATACTTGTGATTCTTCATTTGGCTTCTCGGCAGGAGGCCAGATATACTCCTTCACGTCGGCGGCAGTCCATTCCTTATTACTGTAACAAAGAATCATAAATTAATAAAAATTGTTGTGGTACTCAGGGATTGCAATCCCGCAGCTCATTCAATACCGCGGAATTGATTACTGAATCCCGAGAGGGATCCCGCGTCCATTAAGTTATGTTATAAAATTAAATTGAAACTATAGTTTTTTTTGGGTAAAATCAACTTTGATGAAACATTAAATAAAGAAATATTTCTGTTGCTTTATTAAGTATAAGTATTAATCTGTTTTCTAAAATTCATCTTCAAATGTTTGGCATAATAATTTTATTAATATTTTTTGACGAATAGGCCATTCTACAATGTTCTTTTTTGTAACTATTATGTTAAAAGTGTGCTTAATTATGTTGTAATGTGCTTTTATTGATGAAGATCTGTAATTGGCTGTTTGTTATTAAGTTTTTATTATTTTTACCCTTATTCATAAAATGACTAAAAGTCTAATCTCTAATTTCTCTTTTATGCTATTATAGTAATAACATTATATAATTGGTGTCAATTTGTGTCAGTTAAAAGAGAATATTAACATGATTCTCTAAACTTATAACTCAGTTTAACATCAGGCTCTCCTTTTCATTCTGTATAGAGAATGACAAACATATACTGTTGTCAAGTTTGAGTTTTCGTTTAGAAAATAATGCCAGAATCGATACCAATATCAACCTTTGGTGTAACTTTTGAAAATACGCTCTTAAGAACCAAATGGCCTTTATTGTGTCATATCTGAGCCTGCACAGTCGCGATTTGTGTGTAGTTTTAGCGGCAATTTTTATTTTTGCGGTATCCACGGAAACTGAAAATAAACTGAAAACGGTTTTTTTTTGTAAAAGTTGCGCATAAAATAATGGAATACCTGTCAAATAAATCGGCGAATTTCGATTTCTTCATCTTGCTACTTTCATTTGTCGAACTTTTCACCGAGCTCTGTGAGTCCTCGTCGAGTAAATGAGTTGGTCTGTAACAAATGACAATAAAATCGTAATATTGCTAAAAGTAATACTATTGTAATTGTAATAAATTTATGTTAAAATCCCGGTACTAAAAAATACAAATCACTGCAAGGTACTACACCTAAGCTTTGTCTTTTGATTTTATGTATTGAACAATTTGATGCAATAAAGAGTATAATAATAAGAGTGGAAACCGAGGATATGATTCCATGATGGTAAGCAGTTCTCATAGCCTTAAGATTTAGACTCTTGTGATCTCCCGTTCTCGGAGACGTTCCCGAGGAGTGGGCTGGACACATAGCGAGAATGACATTTCAGGACTCGCAAACTTTTTGAATGCGATATTGGTTCGTGCTTAGGGTACGGTTCTCCTCGCTATGTGTCCCGCCCACTGCCACTTCAACTGAGCAATTCTGAGTAAGGATTGCTCAAAACATATAACAAGCAAGCAATAGGGATGATGACGGGATAAAAAAAACGAAATTCTATTTAGTCCGTCAGTTAAAATATCAAAAATAATGGACATTTATTTTTTTCTTTGGTGATTTACCAATAACGACAAAGATAAATCGCGTTAAAGTTTGGCAGTGAGGGCTCGTGACGTCACTTCTAAGTTTAAATTGTACCAGTATGCGACATTTCATATCAATCTATTTGGTCCGTTATGATTATGTGAAACCAAGAAAAATACGTGTTCAATACTTTTTAATAATCTAACTGATGGACTAAGAAAAAGTTAGACAAGGAAAGGCTCGAGAAAATTCGAGACGACCATCAGGGCAGCGGTAGCATAACGGTTAGTGCATTCGCCCGAATAGCGAAGGGTGCCGGTTCGAGTCCCGTATTCTGCCTGGTCCGCGTGGATTTTTTTCTTTAGATTTAAACATCAGCAGTAAAAAGCTTAGCCATCATCTATTCCAACTGATAAAGTAGTAGAAATAAAGTTGAGACTCACTTAGCGGGCGTCGCGTTGTCATCCATCATGCAAGTCTCCTCTTCGAACAACTGTACTGTCGTGGTAGCGGGACCGCAGACGCGACCGTATATTCCGAGGGTTTCCTGCCAATGGATTATAGAAATTAGCGGTTGAAATAGCAAGATTGATTTAAAATTACAGTACAGGGAAAAACTACCCCCCATTATTTGTTCAAAACGGGTGACCTATATTTATACAGGTATGGTATGATAAGCTTCTTTCTAAAGTTTCCTAAGTTTTGGTGTTTAGATTTATTGGTTAGATTTCTTACATTGAAAAGTGGTCAAAAAGTTTATTTGTTTTATTATGTTTCAACAGTTTACATAATTATATTATTTGTCAAATAAGTTGTACACCTCGTTTGAGTTTACCCTAACGGTTTTTATTTACAAAATTGTTACCGTCAAAATATCTAAATCCTCCTTGATCTATTAAGAGTTTTAAATATTGAAAAACTCAACAATAGATTGATGGTATTGTGTAGAGTCGTTCTTAAGTTATGGTGTACCAAGGGACATAGGAGGTCGATGGCGCAAGTGGTAAGCGCGTTCGGCTGCCATTCTACTTTTTAAGCAACTTTCGCAGAGGTCGGTCATTTAATGGGTGAATAAAAATGTATTATCTCGAGCTCCTCCGTGCTTCGGAAGGCACGTTTAGCCATTGGTCCCAGCTGCATCTGCAGTCGTAGCACCGCGCTGGGCCCGCATGGTAGATCATGGCCCAATCTCCTTATACCATTCATAAGGGAGGCCTGTGCCCCAGCAGTGGGGATATTAATAGGCTAATGATGATGAAGGGACATAGGGATTCCTGTCAGAACTCACCTTCATATACAAGACGCCGCGACCCCGCCATCTACCCCGTAAGTCCCTCCCTCGTTCCCGTGTCTCCGTCGCCTCACCCAGTGTGCCTTCCTACGCAACTCACCTTCATATACATGGAGTCGCGACCTCCGCCCCGGCCGCGCCCCCTGCACCGTAAGCCCCTCCCTCGGGCCCGTTTCCATCTCCCCGCCCGGAGAACCTTTAGAACCTACACAACTCACCTTCATATACATGGCGCTGCGACTTCCGCCCCGGCCGCGCCGCCTTCCCCGTAAGCCCCTCCCTCGGGCCCGTTTCCGTCTCCTAACCTGGGAAACTTTCCAGAACCTACGCAACTCACCTTCATATACATGGCGCCGCGACCTCCGCCCCGGCCACGCCGCCTTCTCCGTGCGACGACGCACATTACCATTATAAATACTCACACGTACAACAAGCTTGCGTTAAGACTGTTGTGAAAGGTTGTGTCTAAGGACGCCTCGGCATGCCTAAGGACGTCTCAGAACGCTTAAGGACGTCGAGGCATACCTAAGGATACCACGGCATTGTTACCGCCAGTGTGCGCTTACATGTAGGGATGCCGAAGGATCGCATGCCGTACCGTGCCGCCAATGTGCTCCAGGCCTAAGCCTCTCTATCGTTCCCGTTTCTCCGTCTCCTCGCCCAGGTAACCTTCCAGAACTTACGCAACTCACCTTCATATACATGGCGCCGCGACCTCCGCCCCGGCCACGCCGCCTTCCCCGTAAGCCTCTCCCTCGTTCCCGTTTCCCCGTCTCCTCGCCCAGATAACCTTCCAGAACTTACGCAACTCACCTTCATATACATGGCGCCGCGACCTCCGCCCCGGCCACGTCGCCTTCCCCGTAAGCCTCTCCCTCGTTCCCGTGTCTCTCGTCTCCTCGCCTGGCTAACCTTCCAGGACATACGCAACTCACCTTCATATACATGGCGCCGCGACCTCCACCCCGGCCACGCCACCTTCCCCGTAAGCCTCTCCCTCGTTCCCGTGTCTCTCGTCTCCTCGCCTGGCTAACCTTCCAGGACATACGCAACTCACCTTCATATACATGGCGCCGCGACCTCCGCCCCGGCCACGCCGCCTTCCCCGTAAGCCTCTCCCTCGTTCCCGTGTCTCTCGTCTCCTCGCCTGGCTAACCTTCCAGGACATACGCAACTCACCTTCATATACATGGCGCCGCGACCTCCGCCCCGGCCACGCCGCCTTCCCCGTAAGCCTCTCCCTCGTTCCCGTGTCTCTCGTCTCCTCGCCTGGCTAACCTTCCAGGACATACGCAACTCACCTTCATATACATGGCGCCGCGACCTCCGCCCCGGCCACGCCGCCTTCCCCGTAAGCCTCTCCCTCGTTCCCGTGTCTCTCGTCTCCTCGCCTGGCTAACCTTCCAGGACATACGCAACTCACCTTCATATACATGGCGCCGCGACCTCCGCCCCGGCCACGCCGCCTTCCCCGTAAGCCTCTCCCTCGTTCCCGTGTCTCTCGTCTCCTCGCCTGGCTAACCTTCCAGGACATACGCAACTCACCTTCATATACATGGCGCCGCGACCTCCGCCCCGGCCACGCCGCCTTCCCCGTAAGCCTCTCCCTCGTTCCCGTGTCTCTCGTCTCCTCGCCTGGCTAACCTTCCAGGACATACGCAACTCACCTTCATATACATGGCGCCGCGACCTCCGCCCCGGCCACGCCGCCTTCCCCGTAAGCCTCTCCCTCGTTCCCGTGTCTCTCGTCTCCTCGCCTGGCTAACCTTCCAGGACATACGCAACTCACCTTCATATACATGGCGCCGCGACCTCCACCCCGGCCACGCCGCCTTCCCCGTAAGCCTCTCCCTCGTTCCCGTGTCTCTCGTCTCCTCGCCTGGCTAACCTTCCAGGACATACGCAACTCACCTTCATATACATGGCGCCGCGACCTCCGCCCCGGCCACGCCGCCTTCCCCGTAAGCCTCTCCCTCGTTCCCGTGTCTCTCGTCTCCTCGCCTGGCTAACCTTCCAGGACATACGCAACTCACCTTCATATACATGGCGCCGCGACCTCCGCCCCGGCCACGCCGCCTTCCCCGTAAGCCTCTCCCTCGTTCCCGTGTCTCTCGTCTCCTCGCCTGGCTAACCTTCCAGGACATACGCAACTCACCTTCATATACATGGCGCCGCGACCTCCGCCCCGGCCACGCCGCCTTCCCCGTAAGCCTCTCCCTCGTTCCCGTGTCTCTCGTCTCCTCGCCTGGCTAACCTTCCAGGACATACGCAACTCACCTTCATATACATGGCACCGCGACCTCCGCCCCGGCCGCGCCCCCGGCCGCGGGGCGAGCGGCCCGGCGTGCGGCCCCGCCCCCTACCCCGTAAGCCCCTCCCTCGGGCCCGTGTTTCCGTTTCTTCGCCCGGGGAACCTTCCAGAACCTACGGAACACAACATATCGTTTGATTTAAAATTACATGGTTGTAACACTATAGTTATTTATATTACTAACGGGATTGTTAACATGTACCTTGTTTTTTCGGCACTGTTCCAAGCACCAATGGAGTGACCTCCGTGATCATGGCGCTTGAAACAGTGCTGAAATGTCGGGAACTCTTAAAAAACAAGGTACATGGTAGCAATCCCATTAAAAATGTAAATTACTAACATGTCGTTTTCTTTTAAACTATCAATAGCAAGATCAACAGGGGGCGTAGACAAGTGGACTTGTTTCTGCTTGTTTGAAGTATAACAGCCAAACTTTAATGTTTGAAAATAAGAAATAAAAAAATGCTTGACCTCATAAAACACTTGAGGTATAAGGCACTCACGGCACCATCTGTAATGACTATGCTATTATTTTCCCTATTGCACTTGCACTATCTCAAATAGATAATGGTGGTTTCATCACCACCCGAAATGGATGTCGTAGTCTAAGGCACTTGTCCCACCGCCGATGATGAACGAGAAACGAGTAGAGCTAGGAACTAGAAACAAGTTGACGATCAGCGGAAAGCAAGTGCATAGTTCCGCTTGTTATCTCGCTGGATTGTAAGCGAGTGTGCGAGTACGATGAACGATTATTCGCGGCATTCACTCACGGTTATACTTCTGAGCAAAAATGCACGCGCGCGATTCCGTCTAGCGAGCATACTCGCACAGTAGCGAGTATTATCTTTGATAGCTCTTGTAGCTCCACGACAAACTAATACAGCGAGTTCTCGCCTGTAGCGTGAACAGTCAGCGATCAACTATTCATATATGCGTCTCTTTTGTTTACACGGAATGTGTATCTATTGTAAGTTTCTGGAGCGAGAAAATAGCCGACAGCTAGTCACTGTCTCACGTACGGTGGGAGAACTGCCTAAATAATGAAAATCATGATCGTCTAGCTGTTAAAGAATAAAGAAATGAAATAATCATATCGTTTTATTACGATTGGAAATACTATCTTTTTGGAGTGCGTGAAAAAATACGATTTAAAAAGCTTCATGTTCATTAAACACTTGATTTATTGTATGGAATCAATGTTTAAAGTATATTACTTAATTAAAGTTCAAAAACTTACAAGTTCACAAGAATACAAAAATGGCCGCTTATCTAGGGCGCCTGGTATTATACTGATGAGAATCGATATCTAACTGCGGACACGGAGTGCATTGAAAATATGAGTGTACATTCAAATGATTTATTAAACACAACTTTGCTCGGGCATGAGACGTAGTTTTACAACTTAACAGGTGGCTATCAAGCAAATGCCCCGCCTAATAGTAGGCGGCACCCATAGCCTATAGACCTGGGGTCGGCAAAAGTACTTTCAAGTGTGGTCCGGATACTAAAGATTTTTTTGTAGAGGTCCAGAAAAAAACTAATAAGGATTAAGTTTTTTTTTTAAATTAGATTATTCACATTATAAAAACATTGTGCGAGGAATTATACCGACGTTCTTGAGCTATATTTTTACACCTAGAGAATACGGTGGATGGGGCAGCCGTTCGTAGCACAATTCAACCAATTTGGCCATGGCGAGAGCGGAGGTGTGAGCCGGTGCGTTGTCATGGTGGAAGAGCACTTTTCTTCGTCAAGTGGGGCCGTTTCTTCTGCAATTCGACGTCGAATCGGCCCAATAATTTGGTATAGTACTTACAGCCCTGTGACCATTTTGTCCTTCTCCAAGTAGTCAATGCAGATCACACCTTGTGAATACCAGAAAAAAGAAATATCACCTTTCAGGCCCATAGGACAGTCTTCGCCTTCTTCGGAGCACGTTGGCCGGGGAAATCTACTGTTCCTTGGTCTCTGGTATATACCAGTGGATTCTTGTATCGTCGATGTTCATGAAACGACGTTAAAACTCTTTCATATTTTAAACGTCGCTTAAACAGCGTCAAATACTGCTCTGAAGTAGTCTCACGGTTGCACTTATTGTTCGGAGACAGCAAATGCGGCACCCATGACGCCGATAGCTTTCTCATGCCTTAAATTTCATGCAGGACTTGATCTCTCAGGTCTTTTGAGGTTCCTACTGTCTCATCTATTTCGCACACTTTCAACCGGCGGTCTGCAAATACGAGATCTTTGATTTTTGTTACGTTATCCTTCGTGGTAGTCATTTTGGGAGCACCTGGGCCTGGCTCATGAAAACCGATGTTGAAACTCGTTTAGTAAATTTTTGACGGACACCATTGAAGGAAAAGAATCACCGCACACAGCATCCAAGCGCTGTTTGTTCTCATTGAGCGATTTCCCTTCGAAAAGTATGAATCGAATCATCTACCGATATTGCTCTTTTCTCATGTTTCTAAAACACGCGGACACGCCCGCCACCACACGCGTTCAAACCAAAAATATGAGTCCGATTCGGCTAAAATTTCGACAGAATCCGATGTGAGAATGTCCTACACGATGGTAAATTCCTCTCGCGATAGTGGCGCCATAGGGCGGCGAAGCTAAGTACTTATCGGACCGCCTATGTCGAGCTAAACATAGTAGGCAGTTTGATAGCAAGTTTTTGACAATTATTTAAAAAATATTAAAATTTAATAACATGTTTACCCCAAAATAATTTCAAAGTAAGAGTCTACATGATTTTGAAACATATGAATATAGGGCTAGTTATATGAAAACATTATTGTAATGAATATGCCGGAATATAAAACAATATTTGGCAGGTTCGGAGCTTCCCCGGTCCGAGTAGCGGTACGCCTGTTGCTGAACGCTGCTATAGACTATGGACACTTGCGATACCAGTCTTACGCTTTATATAATAAGACACGGTATGATTTACAAATAAAATTGTACTCTCAGTTGATAGCCCTGGCCTTAAAACCAAATTGATTGTTATGAATACTTAAACATAGCTCAACTATTATGAAACATACACACAGACGAAAATCATAGACTTATTTGGGCTGCACCTTACTCAGGTTTTTTTTTTACATTAAAGAGGCTTACGCTTGACGACCACGCGACTGATGAAGAGCGACGTAGCAGCCTAAGGTGGGACGCGCGAAATTAAGGTAAATTGGTAGTTGAATCTTACATGTGAACTCTCCAGTAGGAGGCCTCAGCACCGGCCTTAAGTCGTGGCTTATATAAAAAACCGGATAAGTGCACATTGGGCTCGCCCACTGAGGGTTCCTTACAAATTTGTAGGTATGCAACATAAACGGATTTTTACGATAACTTAGAAGTTTTTTTACAGATTCCAACGACCGTAGATTTGAGTTGTTTACATTACAACTCGACACACATTCAAGCGTTCCCTAGACAATGGGTCTTGACAGACAGACAACAAAGTGATCTTATATGGGTTCCGTTTTTTTCTTTAGAGGTACGGAACCCTAAAAGCACTTAGAAAAAAATAAAGTAACGGAGTCTGTCTATCAACAGTGTTTTAGCTGTGTGCCAGCTACTTGATCAGCCCCTAATTATTTTAATTATAAAGCACATCAACATCCGCAGATGACTAACATTGCAAAGGGAGTCCTCATAGTAGCGTTTATATACTAATTGCTACCATATTTTTGGCCAAGTTTTAATGATGCAGTTTCCACAAAAAAAAACATACTTTGGCAAAGTAATATGTGCCCATGGCCATTTTATTAACCATCTATAAAAAAAATGTTTTTTTGTCACTTTCTCCTAACTGGTTATGAAATAAGAATATTTTTTCCATTTTCAGAATTGGTTAAGATAAAAAACTAAAAAAATGAAAAATAAAAATATTGTTTATTAACTGTTTAAGAAAATGCCAATAACAATGAGGATCCATAACTATTTTAGTTGAGAATGCAGACTTATACAGCTAAGGATTTCATAAAATACAGTGGTTAAATTCTTATGCTATAGGCTGTTCCAAACGAATTTAGACCAAAAGTAAACAAACACTTTACCACCTAATTCCCACGCAATGTCTCTCACTAAATTGATTTCTCAACACATTCATTTGTATTTCTAGGGGTTTGACTTCTTAATACACTATCTTTTATTGCACTAATTTCTTTATAAATATATAAAAAATTGAAAATAAAAACTTTAGTCGAAAAGTAAGGTTATTTTGAAATATGGGAATAGTCTGTTGTCTATGGTTGACAGTGTTGCACCGAAAAGTCTATATAAAATGATTTCAATTGACGTTAGTAATCGAATAGTGAATGGATTATTTATTTAAACAGATAAGTAACATAATGAATAATTCAGTTTATGGAACGTAACTTTTAGGTTATTGCAAATATGAGCAATGAAATTGGTATTTTGTTTTTATTTTTAGGTTTTATTATTACCTTAAATCTTAATTAGGATGGTGTGGTATTTTAATTATTCGCTTATTGTTTCATCCTGGATATTAAAATGTAAAAGTGGTATAGTTTTGATTTACTTATAACACAGACGCATATATAATTTACAAATATACGACGACAACGAACCTAGATATTCAATAAATCACGCAAACCAATCGTTCAAAAAGAATTTTATTGCGTAACGAAATTTAGTTAACTATATTGCCAAATATAGTTAATAGCCAGAGTTCTTTTTATGAGTAGTGACGATAAAAAATTATTAATGCTACAAATTAAGCTTTATAGGTCTTTAACAGTTTCTAAGAATATGATCATTCAATTGATCAATTGATTTTGATATCTATGAATCGCCATCACTAAAACTGTCTATGGTCAGACTTACCTACCTCTTTGTTTACTTTTGGTCTAAATTCGTTTGGAAAAGACTACGACAAATATTGGCTAAGTTAAGACCAAATTACTAAACGAATTTTCGGCTGGGCGCGTGGTGACTGTGACGTCAAGAGCTCTATCGCTCGGGCGCGAGCATGCGTAGGGACACTTCTAAAGTTCGACCGGAGTGAACCACGATCGAGCTATGTGACGTCTCACGTTTCGGCCGCCGGTGAATATTGGCAACCATAAATATTAAAATCTCGATTTCGATGATTTAAAAAGTATATTAATAAAAACCTTATTAGATCATTATACTGTTGCTTTTCTGACCTAGTAGCTTTATATTCATATAAATAAACTTTATTTCTCGATTTTAAATAAACTTCAACCACAAAACCAAACATTAAAAAATATAATAAAAATTTGTGAAAAACTATAAATTGCAGCATACTTATTTTATGGTTACCTTAAAATCGTTGTCGCTTCGACTGGACAGGGGCGTGGAACCCCCAGGTAGTCTGTCGAGTGCTTCCGTCATGCGCGGCAGTTTAACACGCGAACTGGTCGGGTCAAGGGGCTCTTCTTTACTGTAAGAAAGATGCAGAAAATAAATAAATAAATATTTCCAACACTCACACCAATTAGCCTAGCACCAAAGTAAGCACTGTAAGGCTTGTGTTATGAGATACTAGGGTAACGGATAGAATACATATAGGTACAGTACATATATAAGTATATAAAAATCCATGACTGGAGTACAAATGCTTTGGTAAGCGGCCAGCATAGCCTACAGACGCTTGCGATACAAACAATATCACTCGCGTCGTAGCGTACCCTACCCCGTGGAGACCTGTGTTTTAAAACTACATTAACCATCGTTAGCTAGTTGTTATCGCCACTGCTGGAGAAGGCTTTAAAATATCATATTGGTTTAGGGCTAATTGCTGGCATATGCATATAAAGTATATAGGTACGTGGTTGGTTAAAATACTTGTCTGTCATTCTTTTAACCAACCACGTCATTACAGTTTAATGTCATTATTACTTTATTACTTCTTATGTCAAAAGGGTGACAAACAAGCATTTGACACGCCTGATGATAAGCGGCCTATAGACGCTTGCGATATAAAAAATATCACTCGCGCCGTTGCCTACCCAGATCACAATCCCCTACCCCTTGGAGCCCTAGAACCTCACCGACAGAAACAGAAAACCAACAAAAAACGGTGTTATTTTACTGTAGTCTTCTGTAAGATGGTTTACTTCCCCAGACGGGCGCTCCAATTCGAGCGGAAAATCAGCTATGCCCTACCTCTCTTATGACATTGAGGCAAAGGTTTGTGTGATGAATACAACACTTGTAACAGTGTCCTAACTGTTTATAAAACTTTCTAATCATTATAAGTACCTATTTCTATTCGTAACTCTAATACAGTAGGTCTAAAGAGGGGAGCCAGGTAATATTTTTTCCATACGAACACTCTCAATGGATTCTTCTGTGATTTATACCACCAAAGAAATGATTTCTATACATAAAATATAACTTTACTCATTCTATGCTCCTGTATTTATTTTTCCATAACATGTGCCAAAGAAACTAGAGCCCTCAAAAATGCCAATTATAACCTATTATTATCATCAAATAAGACGTCTAGTGTGGAGATTCAATAAGCATTTACAAAAAAAAAGCAAAACATAGAGGCCTAGTGTAACTACATACTTATAATTCTGTGGGTAAATTTTCTTTAACATACATCTAATTTTCGAGGAGGAAATCGTCAAGAGCCAAAGAGCCTCGAATTTTTATTTTGCAATTTTTATACGCAACTTTCAGCGTTAGCTACTGTTGTCCCTATAGCACTGTATTTACCAATGCGCGACAGCAATAGTTTTTTTAAATTATCCTATTTCTCAAATGCCTCTCAGCTCGGGTCCACTCTTAACCTTTTAATGTCGAGGGACCATTTGGAGGACCACCAGTTAAGAACAACTACCCTAGTAGTATTCGACAACACGAGGAGCTCGATGGCGGAGATAGTTAGCTCTGCGATCGTGAAAGATAAGCAACTTGGACGGATGACCAAACACTTATTACGTTAAGGAAGGCTAGTGCCCCTGCAGTGCCAACATTAAGTTATAGGCTAATGATGATGACGACCCTTTATTGTTATGATAATTATTCGTGGGAGCGTAAAATATGAATTAATCCTTTAACATTACTCACGTCGTGTCCAGAGGATCAGGCGTTCGCAACGGCAGTTCTTCCTCGCGGGTAGCCGTTTCATCGTCGCGACTTTGCACTGGTGTGGACAATTCTCTGGCAGCACTGGCGATCGCGCCGCCGCGACCCCTGCCTCTGCCGCGACCTCGACCCCGGGGCTTTGCCAGGATAGCTGGCCGCTCTCTGGAGGTTAAAACCGTTAATTTTATAAGTAATGTCAAGGATTGGTGTGGGCTGCGACTCAGGCGCTTCCATCACAGAAGACCCCCCACAACAGGGACAAAAAATTACTAAATTTTGATGGGTACTCGACCAGGAGGTGGTAGGTGCATATCGTAAGTGGCCCAGGGCCCCAGATTTGAAAATAGGGGCCCCTATAGCTTCGTTGCCCCACCTCTAAATCCGACCTTGAGTGGTATAAGTAAGCTGTGTTCTAGAAAGCTTTCACATCTCATATATTAATGCATTTTTCAAAAGAATTGTTCAAGTTTCTTTGCGATCAAAGAGCATGTGTGATTTCTCAGGTGTTCCAGGTGTCTACAGACACAATGTACTATTATTTGTATAAGATAATTTTCAATACTATATTGCTTTTCCATAATGTGTTGGAATTCATATAAACAAAGCATTATGGTGACACTATCAAGCAATTAAACTTTTATTTACACATAAAGTCAGATGTAGAATTAGTAAGTTTTGATTTTTACAGCTCTAGTAATCAAAATGTGTAAGTATAATACAATTACAACCATGTAATTAAAAATTGTGCCTTCATTAAGATATTACAAATAACTGAAAATCTTTAAGTTTAGGAATATTATCGCAAATGGGTAAAGTTATATCAATTTAATATAATTTTGGAGTACAAATAATATGAATAAATGTATTTTTATGCGTACCTCGACAGCCGAAGAGACCGTTGTGGACGCTCCTCGAGCGCGGGAGTGGGCAGTTCGAGAGGGTTCGGTTTCGCTCCCTCCGAAACGGGCAGCTTCCGTGGCCGCCCGCGCTTCTTAGGCTGCGGCGTAGACTCGATTAACTTGGGAATGTTTGGACTTTCCTTCACGCTGTCGATGACCGTCTTAGGAGGCTCCACCTCCAAGGGGTCCTGAGACATCTCATCAGGAACAATATTGAAGTCACGAAAGTCCGAGTTCTCGTTTATAATCATTTCTTGTACAGCAATATGACAATTCTCTATCACGTCTGAACTACCCGTAGACGCATTAGACTCTATTTCAGAAGGAATAGTCTTACTCTTATCAGAACAATTGACGTCATTCAAAGGTAAAACTTGTATTTGTTTGCTTTGCAAGTTTGTTAGAATACTATGTAGTTTAGAATTCCCATTTTTAGAACAGTTTTCATTATTTACAAGTGTATGGTTCAGGATCTTAGCTCCTTGTTTATTATCTAGTGCTTTGTTATCAGGTGATGTTTTTGTTATGACTGGTGTTATGGTAAGAGACTTATTGGATAAAAGCTGACCCAATTTCAGTCTCTTGGTTTCTAAAACTGATAGTTCAGCCTCCTTATTCTGAACTGGAGTTAAGTCAGTGGTTGGCGGTCTTTTTCCAACCATTCGTTTTACAACAGGGGCCTTTTCTGCACTATCAACAATCCTGGAACTACGCAGCCTTTTACCCATATTCACAATAGGGCGTGAATCGGCATCTGTTTTTCTTCTACTATTTACTAGAGTCTTTTTGTTGGGGCTAGGTTTGTCATTAATGTTTTGTTCAACTAGTTCTGATACAGGACTTTGTTGAGAGCTATCATTCTTTATGGAATCTTCCGTTATTATTTTAGCGGATGGGCCATGATCAGTCTTATTTATTTTTAATATTATCCTGGGAGAATCTTGACCTGAGCTTTGATTTGTCAACTTTTCAGATACATTGATTTCTAGTGGTTGTGTCACACTTTCGTGTGCTTCCTTACAGAGTTCTTGGATTGGACGAACTTTCATTTTAACTAATTGCTCTTCTTTAACTTTCTCCAGGCTTGGACTTCTACTTCTGATCTTTTCTCTGTATCCAATATCATTCATTTTCTCCATGCTACTATGTCCAGAATCAAATTGTTCACTTTCCACAGATTCTTTGCAGATTGTTGAAATTGGTATGCAAGCACTTGCCACCTTTTGTGACTCAGATTTATTGCTTAATGTCTCAGAACTTTCCAATAACTTTTTCAATAGTGTGCAGTTTTTGACTGAAGTAACTTGCTTACTAAGTTTATCGACTTCTAGTGATGTTGCACAACTTACTTCATTAGTAATAGTTTTCGATAAAATGGGGCTTACCATATTTTCTTTAGAAAGTTTAGTTTTCTGAATATCATGAACAGCCTCACTATTTGTTATATTAGGTTTTAAAGGTGAATTGCTTTTAGAAGCAGAGGTTTCGTTAATATGATCATTTACTGTAGATTCTTTAGATGAAGAAGGTAAATTTTCAGTATTATATTCATTGGAATCCTCAGACACACAATTATGTTTATTGATTTCACTTGACAGTAAATTGCTTTGATCATTTTTATCTGCAGTAGATGAAATAGTTCCTGTATTTTCCACCTTACTGACATTAAACTTTTCAGATTCTGTTGTTGTATTTGATGGTGTAGTTGTGGGTTTCACATTCACTTTTATTTTGAGTGCATCATCACCAATATTATTGTGAAGATGTTCATGGTGATCAACATGATTTAACTTATCTGCATTAATATTATCCTGAAAAGTTTCAGCAACAGCTTTCATATTAATTTTCATAACTAAGGGTGGATATTTTACGGATCTGTCTTCGCAATCATTACTTTTATTGGGTTCTGTTTCATTGGGATTTACAACAGGTTTAATATTTAACTTTGTCACAACAGGTATTGTTGCATTTCTCATGTCAATACTTTTTGATTCTTTTTTAGGTGACGCTGGTGATTTGCTTTCTTCTGGTTTAATTATAGGTTTTATATTTATTTTTGTCACAGTTGGAGTACTCTCTTCATTGATATTTTTGTGCTTAGGACTATCTGAAAATTCATTGGGTTTTACAATTGGTTTAATATTTAGCTTTGTTACTACTGGTATGTGATCACCATTATCATCACTAGAATTACCTGTTTCTGATGATTGGTTTTCAGAATCTTTTTGCATATCTTCTTCAGGTGGCTTAATTATAGGCTTAATATTAAGTTTAGAAACAACAGGTATACTATTTTTCTCAATGTCAGCATTCATTTCATCACAGTCTTTTTCTTTTGAAGAGTCTTCTTCAGGATTTCTTATGGGTTTAATATTCAATTTTGTAATTTTAGGTACATCTTCTATGCTATCTAATTCTTTATCTTTAGGCTTTACAATAGGTTTTATATTTAATTTTGAAACTACAGGAACTTTTTCTTCCAAATCTCTAGCTGTTTCCCCACTTTCCATAGGTTTCACAATGGGTTTAATATTCAGTTTTGTTATTGATGGAATATGTTCTGGGCTATCACATACAATACCAGATTTCTTATTGGTCTTTGAATCAGTATCAGTTTTAGTTACAGGTTTAATTGTAATTTTGGGCACATGAGTGTCTTTGAACTCTGCACTAGTTGTAAAACACTCAGTAGTAATTTTTAATTTAGGTATTTGTGGTGTTTCAATATTTTCAGTACTAATTTCCTCATTAGAATTTTCAGATGGTTTAAGCTTTATTGTAAGTTTTGGACTTGAAGGCTGATTCTCACATTTGGTTACAGTTTTTATAGTCAACTTTGGTATCTTATCAGAATGTTTTTCTTCTGGTTGACTTATAACCAATTTTAAATTAGATTCCGACTCCTCTTTTTCTGTATTTTGTAAGCCTTTGATAGTCAGTTTAGGTATATTTGGTTGTTCTGTATAAAACTGTCCTTCAGATTGTGTGCCTGGTTTTCCCAGTTTGATGGTAACTTTTGGCACAACATCAGATGAGCCTTGATCAGAGGTACTAGTACTTTCATCATTTTCAGAATATTCTGATTCTGAAATTTCGCTGCTGCTAGATTTGCGGTGGATATCATTTATCTTTTCGGGTGGTTTAAGAACAGGTTTTATATTTATTTTAGTGACACATGGTATTTGATCACTACTACTAACAGGTTTATTTGCACTTGAATGTTCACTGATTTTTTCAGGTTTTAAAACAGGTTTTATGTTTAATTTTGTTACATTAGGGATCTGTTCAAGGTCTGTTTTATCCTCTTCTGGGGGTGGTTTTATGGGTTTAATGGTTACTTTAGGTACAGGGGATTTTGATTCTTCACTTGGTTTAATATTACCAATTTTAATAGTAAGTTTTGGTACTGATTTTGGAGATTCGGAGACATTATCATCAGTGTCATTTTCAGTACCACTAGAGGACTGCTTCTCACTGACATCTATCGTAACTTCAGATGGTTTTGAAACAATAACATCTAAATTATGTGGCAAAACTTCCTCAATGTTTTTAGTTCCACTTTCTTTTTGAGATATTACTTCCACAATACCCTCAGGATTTTTTTCTACAGTACTTACATTAGACCCAGAAGGAATTGTTCCCACATTACATGTAATTGAACTACCGAGAGTTTCTTTAACATCAGAATCATGGGAAACAAGCTGGTCTTCTATGGTGGGCTTACTTGAACTAATTGAGCTCAAATTAGCAGTCAATTCATTTATATTTTGACTGGAGCTATCTGTTGATGTTGACTGGCACTGATCTTGTTCTACTGAAAGATCCGATTTATCTTGCAAATTGTCTCTACTACTAATAGGGTTAGGAAGTTTTTGTCTAATTAGCTTAATTTTTTTGGGGGGACTCGTAGATGTTTCTGCTTTGCAGATACTAATTTCACTTATGTTTCTAATCTCTTCAGGCTTTACATTACCATGTACAGAGGGCACAGCATCAGACGAGCTCGAAACATCTTTAGCAAGGCTATCACTGCTTGTCTGTTCTGTATGTATATCAACAGTCGATGACACTGTAGAGTCTGGCCGACGGTCACTTGGTCCTGGGCGTACAAGCCGCCTCTTCAGAGGTGAATGTGTAGACTGCTCTGCTACCACTTTTTCTTCACTTAAACTAATGTCACTTGACGTAGATTCTGCACTTTCTATAGTAACATCATTACGATTATCACTAGATGTCACACATTTCACAGTTCGCTCTAGTCTCTCACAATCACCGATTTCAGATGTATTTTGTACAGTTCCTATTACACTGCTTGAAGGAATACTACAGGGGGGCGGGCATTCACTAACTGGTTGAGGTTCTACAGGAGACAATCCTTTATTATCCGACACCATTAGTTGAGCATTTGGCTCATTCTGGGACTGAGATAAACATTCTTGAGATTGTTCCACATTAGCTGTATTTACAACTGCCAAAACATTACTTTGTGAAGAATCCTCAGGAGATACAGCAATTTCTCTCTCATGGGGATTTGTTTCACTTTTGGCACTTGTGGCATGGGACGCAATCGAAGGCGACGGAGAGTCCGCTTTGGGAACAGGTATAGAAGACTCATGAGCAACTATATGTTCATCGATTTTTCCAGCCTGGCTCTCAAAATGATCAACTCTCGTAGCAAGTGATACTCGTTTAGGCGCTCCGGGTCCATCAACAAACTCATCAATCATGTCCAGGATCGCTTCAGTGCTGGTGTTGACGTCCTGTGTCGACGGCGACGGTACGCTGTCGCCGTCGAAATTGTCTTCCGACATAGCGGGCGTTCGGCAAGACGACCGAGCATCAGTTGGTTCTTGCAGCGTACTACCAGTTGCGTTGTCGTCTTCGGCCTGGCCGATGTCCTTTTCCCGCGCCGATGCACGGCGGGAAGCGCTCGTCGCGGTGCCCGGATCATCTTCTGAACTCTCCATTATCTACTATTTTGCAATGCTGTCATATCTGAAATATAAAACTCTCGCTAGGTGTATTTATGTTACGAAAGGGTAACCTGACGACGTGCGAGATTGACAAGCCACAGGCACCATTCTAATTCACCATAACGCTACAAAAATTTCTTCACGGAGTCCACAGTGTTGATTATATACCTACACATGTAGTTAAATTTCATATTCACGACGTTTAAGACTCGATAGAGTACACGCGAGGTCTTGGAAACTATTCAACAGCGTAAACCGGCAAACAAAAAGCTTGTATACGCCATTTTTAAAACCAAAGACATGGCAGGTTGGGATGTATGGGCCAATAAAAAATATCCTATACGGACAATTCGGCCATTGTCGTGTTGGTAAACTGCAAGAAGCCCATAGATCGCTCCACTTGAGCTTTTGGCTTGTAAAAAGAGTAATAAATATACTTTTCGACATGTGTTAAAAGGAGTGAGATGATAAAATTTCTTGAATAATTTGAATTATTATTTAATATGGCAATATTTATTAAAATGTTACCATCATAGACATTGAACCATAGACATAGACAATGAATAAAACGTTCCGTAAAGCCGGCGCTAGATACAATAACAAACATTTAAGCAGTTATTTGATGCATCACTTGTTTGCTTAATTTTGCACAACCTGCTTTGCAAATACTGTAAACTTACTGTAGTGATGCACGCACCCATGTTGTACCATACAGCTGAAAGTGTTCTTCGTGAAGAATATAATAATGGTAGCTTTCCAATTACATCATTATAGCGCATTATGCGGCATAATGCTTAACGTTGAGTGTTCCAACTACAGCAACGCTTCGCACAATTGAGCACTCTCAAAAGTAATGCTTTCGTGTGATCAACGTGTGATGCGTGCAATCGTACCAACTCAGAGACAGAAAATGAACAAGTATTTTTTCTTTAAGTTGGCATTGATCGAAATGTTTTATTTATATGTTATCGTTAGTAATATTATTTATTTTTGAAAAATTATTAAAACTTTCGTTTCATCATAGTTTTTTTTAAATAATCAAAGTTAATTCAAACTGTGTTAAAAATTAAATATAAATATGGATGAAAGTACAAACATTGACTTTTTTTTTCAACAGTGAACTTAGCGCACTCTGCTGGTGCATTTGAAAACTAATTCACGTTCCAATTAAGCATCAGCATAATTCGGCATTGTGCGGCACTGAGTCGCATTATGCTGTGTAATTGGAAAATAACTTATTTATTGTGGAGCATAGATACAATAATGGGAATGTTAAACAAGTTTAGTACAGTTCAACTACGTCCTGCCATATGGTGAATAATTGTGTCCGTCATACTAGCGTACACCACACTAAATTAGAGGTTGTTCTCGTGCTATTAAAAGTAATTTTCCAATTACAGAGCATAATGCGACTCAGTGGCGCACAATGCCGAATTATGTTGATGCTTAATTGGAATGTGAATTAGTTTTGAAATGCACCAGCAGAGTGCGCTAAGTTCAGTGTTGAAAATAAAAGTCAATGTTTGTACCTTAATCCATACTTATATTACAGTTTGAATTAATTTTATTATATTATATTAAAAAAAACTAAAGTGAAACGAAGCTTTAAAAGTTTTTCAACAATAAATAATATTACTAACGATATTAAATAAATAAAACATTTCGATCAATGCCAACCTAAAGAAAAAACACTTGTTAATTTTCTGTCACTGAGTTGGTACGACTGCACGCATCACACGAAAACATTACTTTTGAGAGTGCTTGATTGTGCGAAGCGTTGCTGTAGTTCAAACATTCAACGATAAGCATTGTACCGCATAATGCGCTCTAGTGCTGTAATTGGAAAACAACTACCAAATAGTACGTAAATAGTGCCTAATTAGTGCAATTATAAAAAATAAACTTCCTTTTTAGTTTATGAAATAATAACTGTTTTCTTGGTGTGCGCTGGCATGATGATCAAGCTAGCGTATACCTTGCCATTCTCGGAAATGTCTTATTATAATGCAACCAAATTTTCTCAAAAAATATATACTTATAAAAATATTCTCTTTTATTATGATACGTGTATAAACAGAGCCTGAAATTTTGACTCTGGTATAAATTCGCAGCGAAAAATTAAAAAAACTCGGTTGTCGACTTTTAGAAACAAAAGTACTGAAAAGTGAGTACTGAAATGATACCATAAAATATAATAAATATTTTCTCTTATATTCACCAGACATTTGACAGAATCTTTAAAAGTTTAAGTAAATTAATCGATTGTGTTATTGTGATTATCATTAATATATCTGTTCCTGTAGGCAGTGGCGGCGCTAGACCACATGTGGACGTCGGTGACATCAAGTCCGCGAGGAATCTTCAACACCATTTTATGGACAAGACTGTACCTATGTTGAAACGACTGTTTGACAGATAAAAAGAAATGAACATAAATACATAAAACAAATGATATTTAAGATTTTCTCCCACGAAACAATTTTTTAAGTTTAGCAAAAATTATAAGTGATTGGGTAATTGTGCCCGTGAGAGTATTAAAAGACCCGGACTTTTTTTTCCGTTGTCATATTTTTATTTTATAAAATAATCTTTGAGAACAAGAAAAACTATCGATATTGTTATTTAAAGAAAACTAAAATATCGATACCGAACTTTCCCTAGTTACGATTACTTGTGATTGTCATTAGTGTGCGTAGGTGAAAAAATATATTTGTAGGCGATTATAACAATACAAATAACTAAGGCTGTGTGAGTTAATTTTAATGTAGTAGTTTACCTCGTCCTCCTCAAAAAGTGACAGACTTTGCACTGAGTACGGTTAGAGTGAATACGATGTTGACACATAGATATAATTCTAACCGTACTAAATATATGTAACCGATACCTTTCCGACGCTCCGCGACACAGAACTAGACAGACAAATAAATTTCCGGCTTAGTACTATCTTTGGAAATCTACTTGTAAAGTTGTAATGTCTATGGGAGTGTACGCTCAAACGAACGTCAAAGCTGCTTTATCTGTGAACAGTGTTGCCAGGTCTCCAGATTTTACAGGAGATCTCCTGTTTTTCTACATTAATCTCCTGCCAGCGCGTTGGGCGGGGTGATGGCCCTACCCTAACGTATGCGATGCTCACCTGTATCTTGGCAGTGGCGGCCGCTGTTTTTTTAGAATACGATTTTCTTTTTTAAATTGCATGTTGAGTTGCATTTTTCGTCATTAATAATGTAGATAACCTTAATAATTATAAAATAAATGTAATTGTCTAAAGAAAAAAAAATAGCTTTGAGGGGCGGCAGAAGCCACAGAAACATATTCGTCACTAGTGTGTACCAGGTACAAGTACACCTCTGCATCTACTGTTTTTCTTGTAGCTGTTTCCATACATCTACTGTTTTTTTCTATAACGCCTCCCGATTTTTGAAAATCGGACCTGGCAACACTGTCTGTGACAAAAAGGCAAAGGGCGCGAGGGGAAGGGAAACTTTAATTTATTTGTATTTTGTAAAATAAAATAAAAAATGACGACAATTAGACCATTTACGTGTGAAGATATGTTAAAATTTAACAACGTGTAAGTAGTTAAATAGATAGTCAATACTTGAAAACTTGGTTAGGTTATATTTTTTTGGACTCATATAGATCCATCAAGCCAAAAAATAAGTAATAATACTAACAGATACGCTTCCAACGCGCTTCAAATTGTTTTAATTAATGACTGATGTGTGTGGGAACAAATATTAATTAAGGAGTAACATTATTTGTTTCAGAAATTTGGATCCTCTCACAGAAACCTATGGGTTATCATTTTATACCCAATATTTGGCTCATTGGCCAGAGTATTTTCAAGTTGCTGAATCCCCCAGTGGAGAAATAATGGGTTATAGTGAGTGTTTCCAGAAAAAAATCTTAATTCCTTACAAGTGTATGCTATCCTGAAGTTCCTGTAAAAGTTACAATATGGAAAACATTTTTTTTTTATTTTATTTTTAAAATCAAAGATTTTCTTATTTTCAGTTATGGGCAAAGCCGAGGGTCACGGTGAAAACTGGCATGGGCATGTCACAGCCCTCACTGTTAGCCCAGATTACAGAAGACTTGGTCTTGCTGCTACTTTAATGAATATTTTAGAAGATGTATCAGAAAAGTAGGTATTTCTTTTTATTGAAGAACTTTGTTGAAGATCTTTGTAACTTGTTTGATATTATTATTTTTTTTATAGGAAGAAAGCTTATTTTGTAGACTTGTTTGTGAGAGTGAGCAACAAAGTAGCAATAAATATGTATAAAAATCTTGGTTACATTGTATATAGAACTGTATTAGAGTACTATTCTGGAGATCCTGATGAAGATGCTTATGGTGGGTATTTTAATTCATATATTCTTAAATATGTAATAAAATATTTTTTGCTTTTACTTTTTGATAACAAATTGACTTTATTTCTAGATATGAGAAAGGCTTGTTCTAGAGATGTTAATAAAAAGTCTGTGATACCAGTTACTCATCCTGTTCGTCCTGAAGATGTTGACTGAGGCTGATAATAAAGTGTTATCATGTATATCTGTTTTATTTTTTGTTTGAAAATCAAAATCTGTTAACTAAGCAGTGGCGTAGCATGGGGGGGGGCGGGGGGTGCGGTCCGCACCGGGCGGCACTTTGCCGGGGGCGGCGCTGCGGAGGTGGCAGATAGAGAAAAAAAATTAAAATATAAAAAAAAGTTAATTTCTTTCAGTTTTTTTTCGTCATTTTTTTGTTGTTGTTACCAAATACCCAGGTACCTATGCAGGTTCTATGCTTGGGTGATGCAAGCGCAAGGTTTCTCAATAACTATTATTTAGGAATTATTGTATTACGTTTTCTCTGTAATTTTTCTAAGTGATATTGTGATAGTCTACCTTCTACTCTATGTCAAAAAATGTTAATTTCACTCTTAGGTTAGTGTTATTCAATAAAAGTACTCTTTTTACCATGCCTCAATTTTTTTATAATGTATTGCAAAAATAAGAGGGCGGCAATTTTGGAATCCGCACCGGGTGCTAGTGACCTATGCTACGCCACTGTAACTAAGATGCCCTGGTAACCTTCACTAGAGTATTCAACTGGAGATGAAAACCAATAATTTATTATTGTTGCATATCTTGTTTATAGCAGCAAACAAAATAGAGGAATTTTATTATAGCAAAATGTTGTTTTGTATACTATACCATAGTTATCATTATCAAAGAAACATTTATTGTTCATTTGTCTGAGTTGAATCTTGATCTGTTTCTGTTGTTTCTTGTTGTTTTCGCCATTGTTTTGCCCTTGCCAGTAATTTGAGATTTGGTCTGACCATTTCATCTTCAGGAAATATATAGTCAAATACTTCTTCCCAACCTTCTTCAACCCCTTCATCGCTGACTATTTTCTGCCTCTTTTTCACTCTTCTTGGCAATTTAACCTGAACTTTTTCAAGTTGGATTTCATCTCCAATATCAGTTTCAAAATCTTTCCATGCTTCAAGTAGAAGCACTCTAGATTCTTTTTCACCAGCACTTCTCAGACTGTCATTTGCACGCTCATATACACGTCTTGCTAATTCAACATTTATGTTGTCAGGATTCTCAGCATTTAATTCAAATTTTGCATAAGATAGCCATACTTTGACATGTACTGTTCTTTCAAGTAACCTTTCATAAAGTTGTCTAGCTTTTTCTGTTTCCCCTTGAGATACTTCAAAGTCTATATAACTTTTCCAAAGAAGTTCTGGCATATCCAATCTGGGCTGATTTACAGCTATTTCATAAATTGCTCTTGCTCTATCTATATCACCTAATAATGTTTCCAATTCACCAAATTTTATCCAAGTAATACAGTTCTCAGGGCCATATTCTAAGAACTTCTGATACAATATTCTACATCTGTCAAATTCTCTAAGTTGGATTTCTAAATCTATGTAACCTCTGTAAAGTTTGTCTCTTGGGCACATCCCTAATGCCATTCCCAAAGTCTTCCTTGCTTGTTTCAAATCTTTGCATCTTACTTCAAACTGTGCATACATAAGCCATATTTTAGAAAATGTGAATATTTTATGTGGTATCAACTCCAAGCATGTTCTATATACTTGTCTAGTGCGTTCAATATCTTCTGCTTCTAATTCCTCATACAAAGCATAGTTTATCCATAGGTAAATATACCTCCTCCAGAATTGTTTGTCTTTTGATGGAGGAACATTTGCAATAGCTCTTTCATAAGTATCCCTGATATCATCTACATTAGCCTCATTCTCTACTAGTCTAATATAGTCAAACCAAGCATCATAATTTGTAGGGTTCTCTATAACTTCTTGTTCGTACATATACTTGCGTTTGTTTACTATGACATCTTCAATTCCAGACCGGTCACCATATTTCTTTTCATGTATTGTATAGGCTTTGTAGAGTTCTTTATTTCTATCTTTAGGTATGTGATCTAGTGCATACTTATAAATAACTCTGGCGCGATCATGTTCTTTTTGGTTTTCTTCAAACTTTGCAAAAGCAATGAAAAGCCTTTCATCAAGTTCCTCATCTCCAAAAAACTCAACAGCTCTCTCATATACTTTTCTGGCACCATTAATAAAACCATGATTTTCTTCAAATTTTGCATATTTGATCCAATTCTTAACATCAGGATGGACCATAACAAACCTTTCATATATTTGTCTAGCTCTATCTAATTCTTTATACCTTAACTCAAAGTTTATGTAAGTTTGCCAAGCCTGTTCATCTGGTTGCCATTCCATCCATCGCTCAAAAACCTGCAAGAAAACATTAACTATACAAGATACAGTAGTAGCAATGTAAAATTTTAATATGACACTTGTAAAACCCACAACCACAACAATCAACTTTTATCACAACAAATATAAATTGAAAAAACTTTATGAAAATTAAATTAAATATAGAATATTCTACTTACTTGTCTAGCTCCAGCTACATTTTCTAACATTTCTTCCATGTAAGTATATTTGTACCAGAATTGAGAGACTCTGGGAAGAATTGTTACTGCTCTATCCCATAAATTACGAGCATGGTTCACCTGCCTGTTTCTCATTTCCATTTCAGTATATTTTAGCCTATAATTTAAAATTAAAATAAAATAATAATGTTACATGTTTTATTATATAAATACCAGTGTTGCACCAAAATCTGGGTCCTGCCAAATGTTGAATTTGGCCAAATGTCAGGATTGAATATGTGCAGAAGCCATGTCCAAAGTTTGGCTAAAATTTGGTTAAATTTTGAGTACTTTTTCTGAATGAACAAAATGTTTAAATATTGTTTTGTCACAAAAAAGAAAATACTTAGTGTCATTACCTAAAATAGGTTAATTTTAAAGTTAATTTAAGCTACTGAATTTTGGCAGACATTCAGGAGATCTAATCAAAATTCGGCCGAAGATGACGAAGTTTGGTAAAAGCTGCAAAACTTCGGTAGTACCGAATGTGAAACGAATTTTGGTGCATATCTTTTAAATACCTTTCTCATGATTTTTCAAATAATATTTTTTCTAGACTACTTACCAAAGCGTAACATTTCTATGATCTACATCAAGAGCTCTCTCATAGATTGAGCGAGCTCTTTGTACTTGTTTCTGTGATTCTTCCCACTGAGCATACTTGAGCCAGTTTCCAATCACCTGAAATAAATAAGTTTATAAAGTTACAGTTATTATTAGATATTTTCCAATAAATACCGTACAGGCAAGGTGGCTATACCATTCTATTCTTGCGAATATTATCCTCGAATGCTTTCCTCTTACGGTGCTGATAATCGCGGAGTTCTTCAGGGTCAGATATTTTTTGCTTAGGAGGAGGTGGCAATATCTCGAGATCCCGTTCTTTCGCTTCTCTAAGAAGCTGTTCCGCTGTGATTTGAATTTCAGCTGGAGCTTTATTTTTTACCTGTTAATTGTTTTAACATATATTTAGTTAATACAACTATCAAATGAAAAATATTTTGTTTGGTAAAATTTACAATACATACTTTTGCTACTTTAGGCATTTTTGTAGTCTTGCCTTCCATGTTAAACCTTTTTAGGATCTGCAAATAGATTAAATTCGTTTATAAAAAAATAGATAAACACTGCTAAAGAACACAGAACGAATTTAGGATTTGTCCACACCACAGCAGGATATGAATACACAGCACAGATTACTAAGAAGATACTAGAAATGACTTTAGTACTTTTTTTTTTTAATATTCATGACCCTGGATACAAGTTCTTCAGTCGCATACATTAATACAAATCTAAATCTTCTTCTTTTTTATTTACATTAGAATGTCGGTGTGACGCATTCTAATGTTTCTTGGAGTCATCATCATCATCATCATCATCATGGAGTATTTGGCACGAAATGTATCGAGTTGGTTTTATCGATAAGCTAAGGTAGTAAGGTAGTCAATACTACAATAAAGTTCTCACTTCCACTTGATCGGAATAGCGTATATATTAAAGATTCCACTAATTCTTGAGTTGCGTAGATGATTGTAACACAAAATCACACCAATTTTATTTCACAATATCCACTATGAACGAATTTAAGAATAATTATTAATTTATAATTAATAATTTTTAATTAATTTAACGCCAACCGCACTTGATGAAATTCCGCCAAAAACTCCCCTTTACTACTCTGTGACTATAGTGTTGTCATGCTCTTTGGTTGCCGCGTTTGATAGTTCAATATTGATTGTTTATCGATAGACAATCGTTTGTATTGTAATGATGAGAAGAAAGCTAAACTTTGGGTATCTTTAACGAGAAACGCCATTACAGGCATTTCCCCTTTGTCAAAAGGTAGAAGAACATTGATGTAGTACGTTTCTAAAAACTAGTTCCCGCGCGACCGCCGTTATCATTTTGAATCGTTCTGTACCGGAGTCGGAGTTCCCACAAAAATTGGAATATATTGGTGTCGATTCCAGCGTGATTCTCTAAACTTAAAACTAAATTTAACATCAGTCTGTCCTTTTCATTCTGTATAGAGAATGACAAGGATACACTGTTGTCAAATTTAAGTTTAGATTTAGAGAATCGTGCCAGAATCGACACCAATGTTGATATTTTAATGCAAAAACCGATCTGTCATCACATCTACATTCTTTGATGCATTTTAATACTTCTTGGAGTGTTTGCCAGAAAATGTATCAAGTCAGCTTTCTCGACAAGCTTCTGTGAGGTGGTCAACACTACAATGAAGTGGCAGATCGGTTTTTGCAACAAGGAAGATTAATACAAAAATAAGACGATAGCTGCATGGGCTTCGCCTTTGCGTTTCCCAATAGGGAAGAAATGAACTAAAAAAAAACTGAGTTTTTGGCGCACCCAACCGTCTGCACAACTGAAGAATTAGTGGAATCTTTAAAATATTATACGCTATTCCGGTCTAGTGGACATGAGAACTTTATTGTAGCGTTGACTACCTCACAGAAACTTATCGAAAAAGCCAACTCGATACATTTCGTGCCAAACACTCAAAGAAACATTGGAATAAGTCACACCGATATTCTAATGTAAAAAAAAGCAGATTAATATAATTGAAGACTAGGCTGTGTGGGTATTGTTCCTTTTGCTTTCCCTAAGAAGGGTGAATCTTAAAAAAAGTACTCTGTGGACTTAGGGATGTGACATTGTACAAAAAAATTGATTTTTAATCGGAATTTTTTGAGCATGAACAAAATCAATTAATAAATAATCGATTTTTCTTAAGAAAATAATCGTTTTTTTATATAAATCGCTTTTTTCCAAATTTGCCAATAAATTTTTAAATAAACGCCATAAATATTTAATCCATAGATTTATTAATAAATAGTAAACAACAGAAAAAGTAAGTTCTTATACAATCAACACAAATTAAAATTTTATTTAGAACAATCAAATTATAGAAGGCTCAAATTAAAATATTTTTCACATAAATTAACAAAATTTAATTATAAATAAATAAATAAAATAAATTGTCGTTAGGAATATCGATATTTTGAAGTTTAGCTCTTAATTTCAGTTTCCGATAGGTTTAATTCATTTGGCTCGGATAAATCAAGCATTTAACATAACATAACATAACACAACGAAACGAATGATTAAGTTGAATGAATTTTCGTTCTACTTTATTTCCCTCAGTCAACGCAACGCAACGGAAATCAGAATCCTTTTTTCGCGAAAAATATTAGCAGAATGTTTGTTGATTATTGTTTTTAGTAAATAGTCAAAATTAAAACTTAAAGTGATGTTGGTGTAATTATTGTAAATATGATAAGACAGTGACGTCTGAAAGTGTAAATAAATGAAAATTATAGTTTATTTAGTGTATTTTTGTATGTAAATTAAATATTGACGATATGTCGAGAAACGGGAATACCGAAATTTTGAACTTTTTTTGAAAAAGACAATGTAACTAATAACATTGTTTTAGTCACGTTAGTGCAAATTTATAAAAAAAAATATTTTCATATAAAACAACGAAAGCAAATTTAAAAAACCCTTAAAAATCCTTAACATATATAAAACATAACGATAAGGGGATATTATAAGTTTTTATGCTTAAATGACGTAGAGCAAAGCTATTTCTTGTAGCGAAACGTCGCATTAAGCAAATAAGCTTAAAAAGCTTTTAAGGCAACGTTATTTTTCTTTAAGTTCAACTTATTTAACGTTGTGAGATTTAAGCAGTTTAGATTAGAACAAGTCTATTCATTGGTAGTTCGCACTTACGGGCTCCGGGTCATGAAACCAAATTTAATGGCGGGGAGTTATAGATGAAAAATCGGTAATAACTGCTTGAATAATTATAAAAAAATCGATTTTTAATGAATTAATCCTAAATAGAAAATAACGTATTAAAATCGACTTTTGATTTAAAAAATCGATTTTTAATCGTTTTTTTCATAATCGATTATTTTACATCCCTATGTGGACTGGACACTGGCTGGACTATATTGCTTGATTGAAGAAAGTTTTGGTTTGGATTTAAAAACTGATCTGCTTAATAATAAAATTAATGATATTTATTTATGGCAATCACTATGTTTCGTACATTACCACTTGTTCGTTTTTCTACTCAGTTGTCTCAGTTAGTACCTTGTGAGTAATTCAAATATTTATAGTTTTGTTTACAATGTATTTGCGGTTAGAATTAAATTGTTTCATGTGTTTTAGGCGTTCGTGTATCAATAAGGCTTGTTAATAATTTCTCCCCTATTACTAAGAGTAAGCACGCGATAGAACAAATGGATTATATCAAGTCTGCTGTCTCAAGCGATGAAATAGATTGGCCCACTGTGAGGAGTAATACTTTGCAAATACCTGGGTCAGTAAACGAGAAAAATCTAGATGCAATATTTCTAAAGGCCATGATCAATGCAAAACAATTTGATGCTGCTCTTTCCTATGTTGAATATTTAAAAAGAATTAATACTGAATTTAATTTGGGTTGTACTAATTCAATTCTTTTTCTATTCTATGAAATAGGCAAGATTAATGAATTAACTATTGAACAAAAATCGTTTATATTGAATAGTTATGAAAGCTTATATGAGAAATATAAGGTTTTGGACTCCATGACATGTGACCGCTTGCTTCATGCTCTTTGTGTGATACATGAATGGAAGAAAGCACTGAAAGTTTTGGATGACTTATGCTTGAGTTCTAGACCTTCTCACTCTTCATATAGTACCTTAGTAGCAACACTTTTTGATAACAATAAAAAGGGTGAAGCCTTAAAGCTCATAGAAAGAAGTATATGTGATAGTAGGCCACTACAAACTATTGCATATTTAGCTTGGATTAATTATATTCTGAAAAAGTACAAGCAAAACCAAACCAAATTAAAATATTTAGAAGAAATATTTTGGCATATTTTTGATAACTCTGTGATAATCAATGAAGAAACAGCCCAGAAGATTCAAGATGTTTATACCTCCCTCGGGTGGAATGCTAATGTTACGAAGATAGCAAAAGTAGAGTAAGTAGAGCATTCTTAAGTACATTTCTTAAGAAAATTTTGTTAGCAAAAATTCCACATGGACCAGGCAGCAGACGGGACTCGAACCTGCACCCTTCACTATCCGGGCGAATGCACTGACTATTATGCTACCGTGTGATGACATTTTTTAAGGTTTTATTTTATTTATTTATGCAGCTACCCTACTGTTTTTTTCATGTGTGTTGCAGCGGTCAATGTTCCTACTGTCGTGAGAAATTAGACTGTCTTAAAATAGGGGAAGAGGAGTTTCTGACTTTACAAAAAAATATCAAGGATAAACTAATTGTGGGTTCTGATCTGTTCCTTAAAACAACACCACAGGAGTTGGATAAGTTTCTCAACTTCATTCACAAAATGGCACCGTTTGACATTGTTTTAGATGCACTGAACATAGCTTATGTGGCCCGAAAAGGTGCTTTTGAAAGAGTAAACCTATTGAGTACTGTTGTCGATTATTTTACAAATAGAAACAAAAAGATTTTGCTGCTGGGAAGGAAACACATGTTGTATTGGCCGAAGAAAGTTATGTCTGATATTATGAGTAAAACATGTTATTTCTTCACTGATGATTTGTAAGTAAGACTTATATAAACACTCACTACAATTAAACTAATAAAAACAAAAAAGCAGATTTAGGTTGGGATTATTTGTATTTTTTTCTAAACCAAAATTACCCGTGTCCAGTGTGGCTAATTACTTGCCATTGGCAGCACTGGGAAACAGTAATGAGATGTGTGGTGGCTAGTGTGTTGTAGTGGTCTGCAATTGTGGAAGTTGAGTAAATTTGGTTGCTTTGCTTCAGAAGGCAAGTTAATCCATTGGTCCCAGCTGCATCTGCAGTCACAGCCACCAATCTGTACTTATCCAGCTATAGGGAAGGCCTTAGATTTGATTTATATTTTAAGCCTTACTTATCAGTAATAGAATCAAATGTGAAGACAATAAAGGTAACTAGATTTAGTCTAATTAAAAAAAAAATGCATTTGCATTATATGTCTAGTTGTAAAATGGAGTTAAAATGTTTGTCATCTTTCAGAACGCAAGATGATCCTTATTTCATAACAGCTGCTGTATTAAGTGGTATGAATACAGATATAGTGTCCAAAGATTTACTCAGGGGACACCGCTTTCTCTTGAAAGACAAGAAACTGGCTCTCGCCTTCAGAAGATGGCAGTGGCAGCATCAGTGGATGGTGTTTATTAATAATAGGAAGAAACTAATAATACAGGTTTGTGTCTTATTTTTACATCATTAATTAAAATATAAAACAGGTCAAGTGCGCGTGTGACTAGCATGCAAAGGGTTCTGTACAACAAACCGCAGAAGGAAAAATCCCTCACCGGAAAAATCATCGAAAACAATTCATCGAACACAATTCATCGAAAAAATAATTCGTCGAACAACAATTCTCGAACGGTAATTCCCCGAAAAACAATTTCATGCTTTTTATATTTCATATTATTAGTGACAGAACCGAAGTGGGGCGGGGGGGCGCAGCCCCCGCAAGGGGGTTCGGGGGGCGAAGCCCCCCGCAATGAATAAAGTCTAAAGAGTTCGTTAGATTAGGTTAGGTTAGTATGATGACCAAAAACGCGCGAGCCGAGCGAGCGGAGCGAGCGTGCCGCGGCAGCGGCCGGCGAAGCGCCCGATACGACACTTTTGTACGTGCAACGTTTTTTTTTTCATACTTTTTCCCCTTTCCCCACCTCGTTTTAGCCTCCCTCTTGCTAAATTTTCATTTTTTTTTTTGGAATTACCGTTCGAAGAATTGTTTTTCGACGAATTGTTTTTTCGAAGAATTGTAATTTCGACGAATTGTTTTTTCGATGAATTGTGTTCGAAGAATTGTAATTCGATGAATTGTTTTCGATCAATTTTCCGCAAATCGGAAAAATCATTTGCTTGTTTTTATCACAAAATTCCAAGTTCTATAAGAATTGGCGTTTTCCAGTATTTGTTGTTTACATACAGTATATGAGGCATCATATACCAAAATTGCATATTCCTTAGTATGTAGTTTAAATTTTGAGATAGACCCTGTAACAAAAGTGGTCTAAAAATTGCAGCTTTCACAGAATTTCTTTGTTATTAAAAAAAAAAAATATTAATATCCTGATCTGCGAGTTCTAGACAATGTAATGTCATATGACGGGTGAGAAGAAAAAAAATATTTTCGTTTCCCTTTCATGTATATCTTGAATATTTAACTAAATATTTGGCATTGGGCAAGCTTGCTACATAAAATACTATAATTTCAGTTTTCATTCAATGAGTTGCTCATTCCGTTTATGATCTAGAGACCCATCACCTACAGACAGGCAGACGATAGAGTGACAGCAATTTATTTTTACCCTTTGTGTACAGAACCCTAAAAATGAATCTTAATTCAATTAAAAATTATTCTTGTCACCTGGGGGCAATTGTAGCTATTAAAAATGTATATAAAACTTGTGACTTGAATATTTTTACACTATTAATAAAATTCAGAAAATTCAATTAATTGTTTATATTACACATGTATTAATAAGTAATTTAAATGTAATAATTGATATTGAACAAAGATTTATTATTATTTTTGAAGATAACATAGACTAGTTCAGATTAATAGAAAGTCAATAATATATTTTAATAAGATGAAGATATTCCACCTTAAAGCCGACAATAGTCACATTTGTCCCCGATCTGGAGTAAATGTTGCTAACATTAACATTAAAAATATTTTATTTAGTCTAATTTGTTACAAACACTTATGAAAGTCGAGAAGCTACGCCATCGGTTTGCAAAACTACGGCGGGAGACCTTGTACTAAGAAGAACTGGCAAGAATGGCAGAATAATATATTATTTAATAAATAAAAAGGTTAAAGTGTTAATAGCAAAATCTATTAATTTAAGTAAGTTTATAAAAGTTACTCTACAGAGCCACAGATGTAATTTAATTTAAAAGCAAAACAATTGTGGCGATTCTGGCATGATTCTGTTAACATAAACTTAAATTTGACAACAGTATATCCTTGTGATATACAGAATGAAAAGGAGAGACTGATGTTAAATTTAGTTTTAAGTTTAGAGAATCATGCCAGAATCTACAGCATTGACGAGTTATTTGAAACAGCTACATTTGCCCCTAGCTACAATAGCCCCAGGTGACCTTAAGGCAATTTTAATAAAGTATGTAGATTCATAAAATCATAGGCCATCCAATTTTCCTACGACACGGCGCATACCTTGTTTCGAACGGTGAATATAGTACATATAATGCGATTCAAATAAGAATAGGAAAGCCAATGACCTCTGTCTGTCTAATGTCGCTTAAAAAGTACGGTTTGCAAAAAAACCTGGAACTGCTATGCTGCTGCGGAGTGCTAAAAAGCACTCCGCTAATTCTAGAATAAAAACCAAACATTTGTAAACAAACAATAACAAATATTGATAATTAGTATCTTTGGCCATGAATGGTTGATAACCTATATCGTCAACCAAATGTCAATTTAAGTTGCGTTCAGAAACTCGATTTTAAACTTTTGTTTACATAAAGGATGCATGTTCGTATGTGACCCAGTAATAGTGCATGATTATTCATAACAGAGATGAGAGGAATAGAAGAGCTAGATTCTGATTAATGATTTTTCTCAGTCTTAATAAATAAATATTATTAAGAAAAAAACCGTGTTTTTTTCTCAATCTTAGTAAATAAATGTTATTAAAAAATTCTGATGCTTTTTCTCACTTAATCTTAGTAAATAAGTTTGATAAAATAAAAACTTTTTTTTGCTCACTCTATCTATTTGGTATGAATTGACTGCTATGACATATATGTCGCCCAGTCGGTCCTATTCTTAGTTGAATCGCATTATACCGAATAATATGTTTCGAACGTGGAATAAAACTATTGTTTTTTTCATTGTTCTACAGCCGCCCTTGCAGTTTACCCCATGTGCCCAGAAGAAAGACAACGCATGGCATCTACCATTTGAGAAAGAAGATGCTACGACTCAAATGCACATGAACGACGGCACTCCTGACCTTAATAGCTGGCTTTGTTTGAGGCCGCCTGTTACTCAATAAAAAATGTTATATATAAAGCTTGTCTTTATTTATTTTTGTTGTCATCCCTCCGTTGCAGTTACGTGTAGATGTAAAAAAATGAGGAATCTGGCCTGTACCATTAGCACGAACCATTATCGAAGTAGAATAGTGGAATTCGATGTAGATGTACGTCAAATGTATACTAATTTTTAGTTCCCATTACGTCCGTTGTGGCGCTGCTTTTCATGTTTCCATACAAAATTTGACAGTGACATTTCGCACTCGCAAACGTAACAAATTTCATATTGGTGGCTAAGGGTACAGGTGGTCTGAATGATACGGCTCGGGCCACAGATAGCTTATGTATGGGCCACTACACATTGTAAAACAGAGACTTTTCAAAATATACATTTTATTGCACGGCTGCCCCATACGCAAAGATAATATACAGGGCGTCCCACGGCTACCTCATACGGAGGGAAATTATTAAATATTGAAGATAGGATATTTTACTGAAAGAAGACATTATTTTATTTTTAATAAAAACTAGAACTGCATTCACAGATTTTTTTAAAATTGCCTGCTACAACGGGGAATCAAACTCGTGAAATTTCGAAAAAAAAAACAACATATTGGTATGTTATTGCTATGTTATTTAGCAAAAAATAATCCTTATGATTAACCCTTTGTATGGTTATCATAAGATAGGTCGTGTTTTTTTTATTCGAAATTTCACGAGTTTGATTCCCAGTTGTAGCAGGCGATTTTTAAAAAATCTGTGAATTCAGTTCTAGTTATTACTAAAAATAAAATGATGTCTTCTTTCAGTTAAATATCCTATCTTCAATATATAATATACTTTCCCTCCGTGTGAGGTAGCCATGGGACGCCCTGTATAAGTGGTCACAACGCAATTTATAAGTGGCGGCGTAAGCGGCAGCGATTTTGGTCGCTACACTAAATACGATAAAACGAAAAATAAGAAAAAAAAATATAGGTAAATGATTAATTGCGGTCGAGTGAAGCGAGACCAATCATTCATATATGATATGAAAATAATTTTCTCAACTCTGCCATCACTACAGATAGGGGTTTTTTGACGTTGGCGGAAATCTGCCATTTACACACCAGTAAAACCTTCGTACGGCAAACAATAAAATCGTTATAAATTGCCATGACAGTGCGAATGACAAACTTGATAATCCATCACTGATAAATTTTTGTTAACGATTCTAAGGAAATTTTACCAAAATTCTCAGTTAATTAAGTACCTAATCAAGCAAAATGCCGCGTAGGAGCGTCGAGAAGAGCCCCTCCCAAGTGGAAAAATTAAGGGACTCTAAAGCTGACCTTATGTCGCAGTCTGACCCAAATGTTAAAGTATTGAGAAATTCGGGTAAGCTTTTGACTTTCCAAGTGGCGTGATTGATATTAGATTTAAATTAGGTAGGTATATCTGCTGTAATAAGCTTAAGTGTATAATAAGTAGGTGTTGCGCAAAACTATTTAACAACAACGATTTGATATATGACTTTAATGTAGGGTGAAGAAAGAGGAATAAACAAAAAAAGTGAATTCTTTGTCTTTCTTGTATTTAAAGTGGCCTGTAAGCAACGTTATTGGGGTTAGAAGTTGGGCCAACCAATCAGTCTCTGACAAGGACAACATATTGGCGTATTTTCATAGTGGCGCCGCAAGATTCTTCATCGAACGAAATACGGAGATACGATTTTGTTGGTCGATCAAATATCCATCGCCAACATAACAATATGTTACTATAATTAGGCTTCGTCGATTTAAGATGGACCAGTATCTTGGCCCACAGAGGCAGCTGAATCTGCCGTGCGTCTTCAATTATTGTTGATTTAATCTTCGTTGATTGCACACGGGCGCTACATAAAATCTCTCTTTCTTTGTTTCTCTTTCTTCTGTTTCTCTCTACATGGGCTAGAGACGCTTCGATGCTATACATACAAGAAGCTTAAAATCAATGCTCTCGTCTTCGCAATCTATTAATAGTTCGCCAGTACCGTAGCTAGGGGGAAGGGGGGCATTATGGGGTAACGCTCTACCTTAAAATACCCTCCTCAAAATGTGGCGGCAGCCTGCTAAGGACGGCACGCCCCTGCTTAAGCTTTACCGCTGCCCTATCGTAAATACAACTCTGGCTACGGTCCTGAAGTTCGCGATCTCTTTCTATAGTCACGTCCTGCAAAGGATTCATTATGTGATGGAATACATACAATTAAATAAAACTAGTTTTAATGGCACGAACTTTATTTATTTATTGACGTTTCGCAGCCTTTTCAGGTCCGCATCGTCAGAATAACGATTTTTTATTTACTTTGTCGAGCTACCTTCCAAAGACTTTTAATTGAGCGTTCGGATATTTAATTTTAAGATTTTTAAAACTTTATTGGAATTTTACACAATACAGGTGATCCGTTGCTGTCGCCTCGCATGCGGCGCAACATGGAGCGGGTGGAGATGCTTGCTCGCCCGCCCGCGCGCCGCCTGCGTTCGCTGTGGGATGAAAAGTGCGCCATATTGCCAAGGGAACGCCGGGACAAGATCAAGAGTGCCCTGGAGGAGGAGTACTTTCTGAGCCCCGAGTTAGTACTATGTAGATATTATGAGAATGATGTATGCAACATGGAGTGCGTAGAAATGCTGGCCTATCCTCCCACACGCCGCCTGTGCTCGCTGTGGGATGAGAAGTGCGCCATATTGCCGATGGACCGCCGGGGTAAGATCAAGAGTGCCCTGGAGGAGGAGTACTTTCTGAGTTCCGAGTAGTTACTTTATAATATATAGACATTATTATGAGATGATGCTTCGCAACACGGAACGCAACTTAGGCTAAGAACTCACGGAGCGGTTTTTAATCGTATCCACTGCGGGCGACCGCAGAGCTGTTTTGTGTTTTATTTACACACTCTTGAGATCGCAGTTTAGCGTCTGTGATGCCGCGCGGCATCTGCAAGACCGCACAATGAGTGCTTTTTTTTTAGTTTTATTCTTCTCTATTGAGAAAGGCAAAGGCATAGCTATGCAGCCATCGTCTTATTTTTGTATTAATCTTCCTTTCTTTTTACATTAGAATGTGGGTGTGACGCATTCTAATGCTTCTTGGAGTGTTTGGCACGAAATATATCGAGTTGGCTTTTTCGATAAGCTTCTGTGAGGTAGTCAATACTACAATAAAATTCTCACGTCCACTTGACCGGAATAGCGTATATTTCCACTAATTCTTCAGTTGCGCAGACGGTTGTATTGTAACACAAAATCACACCAATTTTATTTCACAATATCCACTATGAACAAATTTAAGAATAATTAAATTAAGACGCCAACCGCACTCGATGAAATCCCGCCAAAAACCCCCCGCAATGAGTGCCGCAGCGCAAAGCTAGCAAACACCCGCGCGCTCTGCGGGCGTAAGTAAATCGCGTCATGTGCAAATGAGTTTTACCTACAATTTTACTTTCAACACGAGTTGTGGTCGCGCAGGCACGGCAGGCCCGGGGAAAAAGACCAACGGAGCTCTCACCAACATTGACCAAATTACGGTGTATTTTATAAGCGTACTGCTCAAGCTTGTGGATATTTTTTTATTGCCATCACGAGTGTCTCCCTAATCCACAACCATTCTCACACCCACCGCAATAGATAAGTTTTACAGCAAAAATTGTTCAGTCACGAAAAATACTACTAGTTATAGAAAATATAATAAAACATTTATTTCCAGACAAACAGAACAGTACTTTCAAATGGTATCAGAAACATCCAAACGTTGGAGCGGCCCTGGCGGTATGGCAGGCCGCAAGGAGTCGGGCGACAAGGGCAAGGAGCTACGCCAGCGGCAGAAGTGGCTCGTCAATTTCAGTGCGCAGGTTATAAACGCATTGTATTTCTTAGTGGCGCGCCCTCGCTTCGCTACGGCGTAGACGACTATGGTTTTTGTTAATATCACTATGACACTCCCCTCTCCCCAATCCATACAATACGAAAAAACTTGGGAACGGACAGTAAAATTCGGTTATTTATATTTATATTTATATTTTTTACCTCTCTGCAGACGGCGCGGAGCGGGCCATCAGATAATGTATGTAGCTATAAACGATAGGACAAAGAGAGTTTATAGGTTTCCCTTATAATTAATTCCCTTGCCAAGTTGCTGCCAACGCATCCTTTCTAGAAAGAACAGACGCTTCCCGATGAAAAGTCCAATCCGCAGCAGCTGTTTGGGTCCCCCCTTAAATTTCTTTATTATAATTACCATCTAACACAGTATTTAAAGATGTGGAGACCCTTGGTCAACGAAGGAGTGAAGGCCCCTAAGGGTTAGGAGAAATACGCCTGTATTTTAAAATCTCACTTACGATTTGCATTACCCTTTCAATTAAATGCAGTGACGTCAGTGACCTGTCCAAATTTGTTTTTTTTAACTCTGTTTTGTGTATAAGAGTAACGGAGGTACTGTATTGTTTTACAATACCATTCGTTAGTCAATTCAATTCAATTTATTGCACTCATGTGGTTACATCGATGGTTACAAATTGCTTATAGTACCTAACATGAACCCTGTCAGGGTATCGCAATATACAGTATTAAAGATAAAAAATACAAAAGAATTTAATTAATAAACAATTATGTATAATGAGGAACCTAATTTGTATTAAACCACTTAATATCTCAAATTATGACTTACTCAATTGATCTTATTATCAGTAGAAATATAATAGAAATTGAAATTTATTTATAAAATTCAATTAAATTTGTCAGTAATTAAAGGAGATTGGTCAAATTAGCCTAAATGCACAAAAAATATTGACATACACGGTAATTCTTGGCGTAATTTATAATTTAATTTACAGTCATTAGATTTCAACGGACACCTTTGTATAATATATTTACTTTAAAAAGGACTTTTAATTTTACCGGTTTGGAAAACATACCAATCATTTTAATGGCTATGGGTGTAGTAACATTCAGCCAAAGACTGATCGAAGTTGTTTATATAACATAAAAACAAATCTATTTTGTAAAGATCGATAAAATAAATCATTTTTTTTATTACACTATGGTATTAATATCCACAACTATATTATCATTTTCACTGGATGAAAATATGCTCAGACAATTATTATAGGATGGTAGGCGACATCATAAAGTCTATTGCCATACATTTTTCGCCAAACACCTCCATAAACACATTATAATCTGTATATATGTTAGACTTTAAGGTATCTATCTATGGGCCTACGTTCCCTGACTATAAATTAATAAATAAATAACATTATAAGGTGTGATACACTAAAAATCTAAAATATGGTCTTTCATCATTTCATCTTAAAAACTTAACAAAAATAATGAAGCTACTGAATATATGGCTATAGAACCTAAATCCCTTAGCTTTCTTTGGTTAACGAGAGTTAAAAATTCCCTCTAATCTGTGGTTCATTCACAATCATCACACAGTTTCTGTCACAGAGTACCATATTATAACCGGAAATGACACTTGTTTTTAAAGTTACTCTTATGCATTAACTTTAAAAACAGGAAACTATCTGTTAATCTACATGCTCTATATACCTGAATCTAATCCATAATTTCGGTACTTCGCTTGATTTCCCTAGTTTACTATATAACTTATTTGTTTTTTATTATTTTAATATGTTCAGTGTATATGGTTTATAGAAGTTCTCAGGGGTGTCCGTCAATAATATTCGTTTCTACAGTAATTTATATATAATTTCGAATCTAGGAAACAATTTTTCATGATTATTGGTCTTTAGGCCAAACATGTATGGAAGCCGAGCAATCTCCTTTAATAAATATGTCAATAAAAATAAAATAATATGTCAATTAACATGATTATTATATACTAGATTTGTATTTTAAAAAATCGCCTCTTTAATATTATTTTGTTGTAAAGTATTCATTTATGTTATATTTAAAATCATTTATCTAATAAATATATTTTCTTTCCAACTAGTCTTAACAACAATTTGTCGAGATGAGTATGAAATACAGACTATGCCTGCTTTGATCCAACCGAACTACCTCCTGTAACTAAAAATTATCATTAGTTGGGGCAACCTAAGAATTGAACTATTCTAACTAAAATAAAGCAATTATTTCCCTTTCACAGGTTGCTTACCGCCTTTGCGATTACATAGCGAAGGGCCAAAAGGAAATGTTGGTGTCAAATCGTTTGAGGAGTATAGCTGATGTGGTTTTGGAGAGAGTCGCTGAGATTTTGGGTGATTTCATAAGTATAAGCGTATTTAACTATAAAGTGCAACTGATTTCTAAATTGGTGATGTTGCAATAAACATTGTTCTTTTGTTTTACCAGGCAGATGTCGTACCTGTCTATCAGAAAAAATAAAAAGAATTAACTGATGTTCCTAAAGCTCCCCTCGCGTTGATGCTGCGGTGCATCTCCTCCTAGAACCTTAACCGGCTCATAGTACTTAAGATGCAATTATGTATTCGATTGCACGAAAGTTATTCGATTTCGAGCGAGCCATGATGGTTGGTGTAGCAGTTTATAACTGCTGTACCAGCTATCTTCGCGTTTGGACTTTATCACCGCTTAACATCAGGTGGGGTACAGTCATTTGCCTACCTAGCTATAATAAAAAACCATTGTCTTATTCACATTCGAGTACCTACAGTGATGTCAGATTGAGGGAACCAAATTGAATACGGGCGTAGTTGACACCGTTCATTTATACTTAGTCGTTTGTCTGAATTTCATAGGTACTCCTATATGGGCTAACGAACAAGTGTCGTCATCATCATCAGCCTATTAATATCCCCACTGCTGGGACACAGGCTTTCCCTATGGATGGAATAGGGAGATCGGGCCATGACCCACCACGCGGGCCCAGTGCGGATTGGTGGATGCTAACGACTGCAGATGCAGCCGGGACCAACGGCACGCGTGCCTTCCGAAGCATGGAGGAACTCGAGATAGAAGATTTTTGGTCACCCATCCAATGACCGACCACTGCGAAAGTTGCCTAACTTCAACGATCGCACCCGAACGCGCTAACCACCTGCGCCATCTAGCTCCTCACTCACGAACAAGTGTAATTGCACCTATATACAGTGGTGGTCACATAATTAAAGACACCCCCTAATTAACCACAAAAACTTATTTATGGTACTAAAATTGGTATTTAATCTAGTGTAATTGTTATTAAACTATACACGACGTTGAATTCTTACTATATTATTATAAATTCATTATTAAAGTTTTTGGTGGTCAATTAGAGAGTGTCTTTAATTATGTGACCACCACTTGATTGTATGTATATTTTTTTTTATTATATTTTTTTCAATAAAGGTGAGCCTAAGCCGTCCCGCACGCACCCTGGCCGTCTAGCCCGTTTCATGGTGGCCATATCTGACCGGATCGCGGTGTGGATCGAGAACGCTGTGTACCGCGCCGACGCCCTGGAGCCACCGGAATCGGAGACCGACGAACATATGAGGCTCGACTCTGAGAAACCGCTCATATGCTGAAAGGCAGGTATTTGCAAGCTCAGTAATATTATTTTCTATCTTATTAGGGACCTCTAGGCTGTTTTATGGCGGCAATATGGGATCGGATCGCGGTGTGGTAATGCGCCGATGCCCTGGAGCCATCCGAGTCGGATACCGACGAGCATATGAGACTCGATGCTGAGAAAGCGCTCATATGCTGAAAGACAGGTATTTGCAAGCACAGTAATATTATTTTCTATCTTATTAGGGACCTCTAGGCTGTTTCATGGCAGCCATATGGGACCGGATCGCGGTGTGGTAACGCGCCGACGCCCTGGAGCCACCGGAATCGGAGACTGACGAACATATGAGGCTCGACTTTGAGAAACCGCTCATATGCTGAAAGACAGGTATGTGCAAGCTCAGTAATATTATTTTCTATCTTATTAGGGACCTCTAGGCTGTTTCATGGCGGCCATATGGGATCGGTTCGCGGTGTGGTAACGCGCCGACGCCCTGGAACCTCCGGAATCGTAGACCGACGAACATATGAGGCTCGATGCTGAGAAACCGCTCATATGCTGAAAGGCAGGTATGTGCAAGCTCAGTAATATTATTTTCTATCTTATTAGGGACCTCTAGGCTGTTTCATGGCGACCATATAGGATTGGATCGCGGTGAGGCAACGCGCCGACGCCCTGGAACCTCCGGAATCGTAGACCGACGAAGACATGAGGCTCGACTCTGAAAAACCGCTCATATGCTGAAAGACAGGTATGTGCAAGCTCAGTAATATTATTTTCTATCTTATTAGGACCTCTAGGCCGTTTCATGACGACCATATAGGATCGGATCGCGGTGTGGTAACGCGCCGACGCCCTGGAGCCACCGGAATCGTAGACCGACGAACATATGAGGCTCGATGCTGAGAAACCGCTCATATGCTGAAAGACAGGTATGTGCAAGCTCAGTAATATTATTTTCTATCTTATTAGGGACCTCTAGGCTGTTTCATGGCGACCATATAGGATCGGATCGCGGTGAGGCAACGCGCCGACGCCCTGGAGCCACCGGATTCGGACACCGACGAACACATGGGGCTCGACTCTGAGAAACCGCTCATATGCTGAAAGGCAGGTATTTGCAAGCTCAGTAATATTAATTTCTATCTTATTAGGGACCTCTAGGCTGTTTCATGGCGGCCATATGGGATCGGATCGCGGTGTGGTAACGCGCCGACGCCCTGGAACCTCCGGAATCGTAGACCGACGAACATATGAGGCTCGATGCTGAGAAACCGCTCATATGCTGAAAGACAGGTATGTGCAAGCTCAGTAATATTATTTTCTATCTTATTAGGGACCTTTAGGCTGTTTTATGGCGGCAATATGGGATCGGATCGCGGTGTGGTAACGCGCCGATGTCCTGAAGCCACCCGATTCGGATACCGAAAAAAATCTGCTTTTAATTTTGTCTTTTCATCAATTTTTCTTTATGACGACATCGAATAAAGCTATCGTCCGTAAATCGACTTTACAGACATTTTTTTTCCATGGAAAGTTTAGCTCTACAAAAAACGTCACAAGTCTACAACGAGTCTATAGCGAAGCGAAGCGAGTACGGAACAGTAGTAAATCATAAATTTATCATCAATTAATTAAATTATGTAGTTATAGGCATAGTAGGTTGACAAAATCGTTGTAAATTGTAATATGCAATCTGATCGACCAGGAAATTAGCATATACAAAACAACACAAGTAACTGTTGTTCAGTGTATTGCATTATGTATTTGATGGAAATATGTCAGCAGTATTTATAATAACAAATCGTAATCAAGGACTATCTATTCGAGGTAAAGTGATGTAATATTTGCCTGATTTACGTTATATTTTTTTAGGTTTTGAGTTATGTCTCCACTGGACCTCAAATCATCCACCTTTTGTTTTTCCCATTTTTCCATCCACCCAGTGTGTAAGTATATATATGTGCGTGAGTGAATCTGTATATAAGTGCGTGGGTGCGTGTATACTCTTACGCGTATGTAAATATCACAAAAAAGTAGTGAAGCTCAAAATTAGTATAAATGCACGGGTTTAACCGCACATTGTACTAATAATAAGAAGGTCGTCAGCAATATGACCCGCTGCGCGACTTATTACATTATAATTTAATAATTTCATTGTTTCGTAATAATAAAATATTGAATCTATAATTAGTGTTTATCCGGTAGCCTTACCAACCGCTCGTACTCACTCTTACCTTTTCACCATACGTTAACCATTCTTTCACCATACTTTTACTTTAGTTTTCCTGAGTATTTTATAGACTTTGTTGTAGTAGTGTAAATCTCAATAAACTCTCAGTAATTGTTTCCAGTGACTTTCTATTTATCAATCTCTTCCCTAAAGGTGTTTTTTTTTGACGATGGAAAATTCATTTACGGACCATACCGCGCGCTGGCTAGGCGCGTGACGTGTGCGGGACTCCCCGACGCGGAACAACGCCGGTCCTACCCACTAAAAACCACCGGTACCCTCCTACGCCCTTATGGGAATGTCTCAGGATCGGCGCACCTCTGTGTACGCCACTTCACTGGGACGCCCCCGGGTCGGCCCGGCCCAACGAGTGGACCGGGCGACACGCCTCTGGGGGATTGCGCTAGGGTACTCGGCAATCCCCAGACGGGGTCGCCTATGCCTAAGCCTAAGCCGCGCCCAGACCACCTTAGGGCCGACTAAGACCGGCAGTCACGGCTGCCTGCCTTCTTCGGCCCACCCGTCTACGTCGGAGGGGAGCGGCTAGAGCGTCCTCCTCCCGCTCCCTCTCCGCGGCCTCCCTCTGCGTCATCACCGATTCGCAGAAGGAGGCGGCAGCCTTCCAGGCCCGCTCTCTACCAAGCATGGCTCTAACCATGCTTGGCTACGAGAGGTCTCCACCGCCGAGCGCCGCAATCAGAGTGCGGCGCTAGTTTCGCCAGGCCGGGCACACGGTTAGCGTGTGCTCGGCCGTGTCGTCGGGAGAGGCGCAGTGATAACACAGCATCGACTCCTCCCGACGGGCGACACGGTGCAGGTAGTGACCGAAGCACCCATGTCCGGTCAGCCCTAAAGGTGTATAACCCGTACAATATAATAAAGTTTGAGTTAAAGAAGAAACTTTATTAAACAATTGCTTAACTAAACATGTTGTAAAATAGTGTCGAATTTCTTTGTAGTTCCACTCTACAACCCTCGATGTTTATTTTTGTTACATTCATACCATAATGTTCAATATTATGCAAAACGCCTTTCTTATTTATGTGTATTAGGCCGTCCTGTGCGATAATCAATTTAAATCATTCAATTAAATCCAATTGTATAAAATGTTAATACAATGTAGTGCAACATTTGTGCATGCTAAGTGTCGATTTAACATTAATGAGCTCTCGTTCAAGTAAAACTGCTTTTTGGTGTCTCTATTCAATCTTAGTTAGTATTAATAATTAGTTAATTCATATTTAGGACATAATGTATGTCTTCCCTTAAGTATTCCATATCAATTTAATGTCTTGCGCAGACGAAGGACTTGCGTCCGCGGAGGACAAAACTCCCTGAATCGTGAAAAAGATGTCAGCCGCGAACTTGTCGCGGACTCAACGCACACGATGTGTGAACATTTGTGCCCTGAAAGTTTAGAAAAACTCGCGCAATGGAAGTAAATATCCTTTAATTAAAAAAAAATGTTTTCGATATTCTGCTATTTGGGGCGGACACGTTTCCAAGAAACCCGAGCTCATTAAAATGGGTCCAGCCGTTATTGAGTTATTACTTATATAAGTGTTCTAACTAAAACGACTTCGTTTTATACACATATATATAACGAGCCCGTATGATGGATATTTGCGCAAATTTCATTAGCGAACCAATTAGCTGTTTGTAGGTAAGTAGATACTCTAATTTGCCTTAAACACTTTCACCGTAAGTAACGGATTATAATCACATTTAATTAGACGTCACGGTGTTCAAATAAAAATCTACCCGTAGCGGATTTTAAATTAATAAAACTGACAAACTGTCAGTCTCAACTTTTTTTCGATTTATCGTTGCGTAAAAACAATCAAAGAGTATGTAAAATTATACAGCATAGTAATTAATAAATAATTGAATTTGTAGAATTTTACGCAGACAACAGGGTAGGGGATTGTTTAGTGTAGGTATAATTATTTTACATTTTTGGGGCTATGCAGTCCTAATGGGACTGTAGTCACTGCGACCTATAAGATCTATTGTGAATAGCCACCAAGTTAAAATATCTCTTTTAGCCCGACAGTTTCCAAGAAGCTGAAAATGTTTCTAACTTTAATAGACTTGATTTCCTCTGGGCGTATTATATGACGTCCCAAATGAATACTACGATTGAGAATGAGGGGCTCACATTTACATAAAAGGTGTTTTGGTTTTGGAAAGCACAAGCTGGAATAAAAAATTGGGCCAATGAATTTGTTACTATGATGGTAATGTTATTGCAGTCTAGTAATAAGGATACTGATACGGGAAGCAATTTAGGTACATGATTTCGTCGTCGTTGATACCAAGTCGTAACGTAATATGCACCTATGTTAACTAGAAAAAAATAGTGGCGAGTTTAGGTAGCTCTGATTTTTTTTCTAAGTAATTTCAGGTGGGATGAACCCCCTTATCCTCACTTCACACACACAGAGGAACGTTGAATTAACTCGTGACAACGTGACATAACGTCACATTATTTTGTACGTGCAGCCGGAGTTCATCGATTTATAAGACGTTATCACGTCAAAAACAAATGGTGATCAAAGCAACCAACTATAAGCGGAACGCAAGAGTCTATCTCTCAGAGGCTTCGGTGACTGATAAGATACATACTGTCAGTGCAAATAAGCTAGTAAAGTTTCACCCTATCAATGTATATTGCTAATAACCGCCATATTCGGTGAGCAGCTAAATAATTATTTATCACCTACCCACTGAGATTTTTATAGGCATTATAATTATTCAGTTATCGCGACCTTAGATAGGTCTAACGTCTAACTAGGTGGATCTGGACGACCTTCTGTAGGGCGGTATATATGCTGTGGGTTTCCGTAGGGCGGTACAGTTTGCATTCGGAAGGCTTACGAGCAGTTCTAGTGAGATCTACCCTAACCTACCTTCAATATGAAATACGCCGTGAGTTAATTTAAAGTTTTTAGTGATAGCTTTCTGTGATATAGATTCATCACAACTCTTATAATAGGGTTGATACTGATTTTCTAAATTTATGAATCGCTCGTCTCCAGTGTTACCAGTTTAATATATAAAATTTTATTCATTTCGCGTAAAAAAATAAAAACCGGTAATTACCGCAGTGAAAAGGAAACGAATAATTCCCAAAAAATGGCTATTAATGAAAAGGTCAGAACGTCACAACAGATCGTGATCTTATCTTTATTTCAAAAAGATTGAAAATCTTGAAAATATATGTCACAATAATTTGATACAATACGACCATTTGCGACAATTCGCCAATGGAACGATGCAAAATATGGAATTTATTATGTCGAATGAAAATAAATAGAAATCGAGAGTTCGACGCGAGGCGAGTGAATCAAAAAATAGAGCTCCTGATGATACATAATAATCAACAACTTGTGCTTTGTTCAGCTACCATTTCAAATACCTTGTTTTTTTTTTCGTTTCTGATCTCGACAACTGCTTTAACTGATCTAAATGGGTGTGCTCCCTTACCCAGGTGTTCTTCCTGCTGTGCTGCCTGGCGCTGGCGTCCGCCGCCCCTCAATTCCTCACCTGGCCCGGCATCGTCGCTCCCGGCTATGCTGCAGGAATATACAATCCCGTGGGCAGGGTATGTAACGAGTTCACAGGCTATTGAGTCCACTCATCTATAACAGCCTTTTATATTGTCCGCTTATGGACATTAGCCTTCTCCATATCTTTCCATATCTGTCTCTCTCCCATATAACCAGTAGCGTGGTGCCTGATGTCATCCACCCAACGTAGTGGCGGACGTCCTTTATCACGTGTATTTGACCAAGGTCCCCACTCCATCACTTCTGGTCCATCGATCTCGATCCATCCTGGCAACATGTACCGCCCATTTCCATTTCT